AAATCACATTATGACCGGTCAATCTAGCTCTCTGATAATATACAATAAACAAACGCCGGTATGCATAGTCGATCTTCGGCACTTTGGCCGGAGATTGCGGCTAATTGCCTGGAAGGATAAGATATTATATAAATAATTCATAAAATAACTATTTTTTCTAAGAAATGTCATATTAACGGTGAAAGCCGTTATTTACGTTGAGAAAATCAACCACCTGATTCCGAAACCTCTTTTCTAAACATTAAACAAATGTAATGCAATAATAACTTAGTTTATTATTATATATACTTAGTATACATACAAGCTTGAATATTTTTCACCAAGTAGGGACTGACAATAAAATTGATTAAAAATATCTATTATCGAAAGAACAGGAAGGTCGCGATTTGTGATTTGTTCCTGGTGATTGATTAATGGCAACAAAACATTTTGCACAATTTCCTTTGAGAAACGAAAGCGTTTTCTAAAATAGGCTTCAGTAAATTTCTCTAAGGTATTTTCCATATCACGCTTGTTGGTGTTTTCTTACGTACCTTTGTGGTATGTACAAATCTAATTCCAAGTCTAAGTACAATACATCGAGACGTTTTTTACATATTTAAAACAATATCGGAGACGCCTACACCCATCTTGACAAATCCCCACCGCATCGCCCAACAATATTAAAACGCGCGTGTGTCGGATGCTCAACTGATCGGCTGTGCAACCAAAACTGCCACCCGCGAACGGCGGAACACCGGCGCTTCGTGAGAGATCGACTATGCATACCGGCCAAAGTGTTTTATAAAAACCAAACGTTGCTGCTTTTTATACAGACGATACATTTTTTATTTCCTAAATATACTCTGCTAACTTCATTCTATGTTTCTCAATACTCGCATCCTAATATACAGGAAAATCCGAAATTATGTGACAAACTTTTAACTACATATTCTTCCAACAAAAAATAAAGTAAACATTTCATAGAAACACAGGTACTCAAACGCATCGTCTGCGACATGCAGGTGTTTTTAAAAACATATTAATTCTCATTTAACCATGTTATAACTATTATAAGTCTTTTTTGCGTTAGCAATATTCTCCATCATAGTTCCCATAATCATTAACTTGAAAACTATGACAGATATGAAAATAAAGTGACGCTGCGACGCTCCACCAAGGGAAAAGTTGTCCTAAATAAGCAGACCCTAATATTATATACATATTGCTTTTAATAATTTAAATATTTGCTTGAAATAAACTCAAAGACAACACTACAAAATATGCAACTTTTATTTAAGATCTGTGATATGTGACCTGGAAAACCCCTGGGGGATTTCAATTAAAACATTTTTTATATAAAGCATGTCTCGTATAATTTTCAATTAAATCTTCCAGCTGTAAAATTTGTTCAAAAAAGGGTTGGCGAAGTCACGTGTTAACCTTTCATTTTCAAGACCAGCCGCCTGTTTGCAAACATTACGCGAATTTCACTACTAACTCAAACTGAAAAAGATAACATTTGTTTCCCTTTTTGCTTGTACACAGACATGAAAAACCTGTTTGCCATACACATCAGCGCTTTCCCGAAAAAAACTTAATTCGAATAAAGCCAAAGCGTTGCCCTTTGTGCTAACAATTCCGTAATATATGTATAAATCTGCACCCAAAAAATAAACGGAAAATGTTCTATTGTGGAAAATTCAATTTGGCCTTTCTCATCCTGGATACCAACGGGATCGGGATATGTATAAACAGTCGGACTTAACAAGGTAATATTATCGTTTAGGTGTACGCATTATCAAAACTGCAGTATACCAGCGATTACAAGCATGTTCGGAGACCCCTGTCCTGGGACACATAAATATTTAGAAGCTCATTATCAGTGTCTACCCGGTAAGTTAATTAAACCTGTACTTAATTTAAATACTTCCTCGATTTCTAGCAATACTTTGTCGCCTATCTAACGCCCACGCTACGACAGCTTCTAGAGTACCTAACTTGTTTAAAAAGTTTATATTTTACGTTAATCGTTTACTTATACCAGTAGCAGAATTTACGTGTTTGCATGTACTTAATATAATACAGCTCTTTCACTTTTAAATGAGAGTTGGAAATTATGTAACACAATAACTTTCATAAAACTTTTCAAATTACGTCAAGCAAAGTTGCCAGGGTTGGATATAAAAGCGCGAATAATGGTCCCTCTGGATACCATGTCTTACACCTCTCCAACGGTTGGTGCAGGTTTTAATATACGTATTTAAACCATTCCCTTAGGAAGACGGTAATTTAAGTGATATTATACAGAAAGTAAGAGATTATGTGGGCAGTTTTTGTTACTCAGATAAATTACAAAAAAAGCCAAAAAACTAGTACTTGAAAGAGTTTTAAGTTCGTTGTCGATACCAGATTTTTAAATAATTCTATTGAAGCAATATCTATGTGCCCGATGTTGTCGGATATGCTACAAGTTATTCAGCATCAAGCGTTGCTTGCCGATTGCAAGAAACCCTTTTGAGATTTGTGCAAAGCCACCGTTTATCTGAGTTGAAATTAGGGAAATGTCCGTAGAGCAAGCAGCTCAATAAACGTGATTCGTTGTTGCGTGCAAAAGATACCTCAATTCACATTTTTTATTCAAACGCCTAAGTACTGTCAGATTATTCTGCGGAATGTTAAATATTAATCCTCAAACTGTGTGCCCTGTAACTACGTGGATTAAACATATTCAAATAAGTAGTTTTTAAGATCCACCTTCATCCAAATTAGTTACAAGATTTAAGTAGGATCTATTCGTCGTCAATGGATGAAAAGACAAATAAAGCGACAAAATGTACGATAAGGGATAACGAACAGTGAATAAAGTCGCTCGATGGAAAAAGTCATTAGCACATGAATTGAGACTGAAAAAGTGATTTCACTGGGCATAAATGTGATAAAGCACAAAGCTTTGAAAAATTGCTACTACTTGAAGGGAAGGTGGAGAAATGGGTACTTTGCAGCCAGCAATAGAAGATAAAAAGCATCAGCTGATGAAGATTTCGCCGAAATATATCCAATGGTTCTTGAGAAGAATTAAAGATGGTGGATAATCACCATTAATGATTCAGACTATACAAAGATCTCAATCTTTCTGCATTGGAAAACTTAACTAAAGGTAATATACCGATACCGTCAAGCGCAACCGAAAAAGCTTAGGCGACAACTGTATTATTTAGGAAATGTAGTAAATTGGATAATTTTCCCAACCATCAGCACAAGATAAATAACCGAAATATCCCAAACACAACTGCTTTTCTTCAGCCGATAGATCAAGGAATGGTAATTTAAACCAATTACATAAGATCACTGCAATGGTTTTCACACAAAATCGATGATAAATCTACAAGGAGACTTGACAATTTTGGAATGCATTACTGTAATAAACTCATCTATCAGAGAAGCAAAACCTACAGCATTAAATAGTTGTTGGAATAAAATATCGCTAGAGTGAATTGATGTAGGATCTGCTGTAGGACTGCTATCTAATGCAGTTTGACATCACTAGATTGCCAAGAATTACTGGTGGTAAAAGCAGATTTTGTAGAAAAAAATATCTCGAATCTTGATAAATCATAGGATACATAAATCCGCAGTTAAACAATGTAATCTACATAACATTAAAATAATATATAGAATTAACTTCACAGTTAGTCACCGTTCTTGAGGAGCGTTCAAACGAACGGAGCATAAAATTCAACCGAGAACCTTTGCTAATGTTTTGAAAAAGTTCAGGAATTTTATAAATATCTTCTAACTAAAAGCAAGCAATCAAAAATAACAGATTTTCATGCATGGATCTGAAGTGCAGATAAATGATCGGAAATGAGGATTTCTTGCCAAAAGGAAAACGCCCGTGGTTACTGGTGCTTAGTGTTAGCACGAATTCGCATGACGGCATTTTTTTTGGAACATAACTCCAATGTTATACGAGGGTTACACGTAGTTGCTTTTGGACCAGACTTTTGTTTCAGATCCAGAATTTTAGATGAGATGATGGCTAGGTAAAATGAAGAATTGAAACAATAATTTAAAGGAAAATATGAAAATCCAGTCAAGCAATAACGGGAACAACGAATTGTTGAAAACGAATGAGTTATTTGAGGCAATGTTTCTGAAAATCTAACGAACTAAAGCGAAAAGTCGATTGTTGCTGAACAAAAGCGTACTTTTCCAGTTTGGATCATTCAAATCAACTGAAATTCAATCATTTAGTTAAAAAGAGCTTTTCTCCTCTATCGTTTGATTTAAAATTTACGTTTACATGGTTTTACAGCCGATCGCAACAGGGCGCTTTTTCAAATACCGATAAATTAAGCCGATTTTCTCAGGAATTTCAAATGGAATGGCACGTCTCGATTCGATGGTGGAAAGAGGACAAAAAATTGATTTGAATAGTAGAATCTGTCGTTTTATAACTTTGTTCTGGCCTATTAAAACAGAAATAAATGTTAATATAGTAAACTGAATTTTTTATTTTACCAAATTTGGTTAATTGCATTGATCATTGGAACATTTTAAATGTATAGGGTACCCGATATGTAATATTTCTATTCTATTTTCTTACTATTCTATGCCAAAAAATATTAGGGAGAAATGTATACCTTTTACTACGTAATATAGCCAACATAATTAAATTATCGGTATTAAATAAAAGTTATTTTTAACCTTTTTTTTTCAACCTCAGTTAATAACGGAAACGGCTGAATAGGTACAATCGGGTTTGAAAGCTTGATGAAGAATAACTCCGAAACAACCCGGAACCGAAAAAAACAGCAGTCCACGTTCAAAAACGTCCGAATCTGGGAAATCTGCTATTCGTTGGTTTATATTCAATTTTGATTTAACTGCGCCTGAAAGATTGTCCACATAATCTGGAACCGTATATTATGCAACGAGTTATTGTAAACGTTTCATTTCATTTTGTATAATTGTTAATTACAAATTAAAGCAGCACATGTTATTCACGCAATTTCTAGCGACTACAACTACAACAACAAGCCGTCCAAGTCCACCATGGCTGATAACATCTCAGCCACCCATGTGGAGTACCATTAAAACTCAACCACCTCGTCCTGCGACTACAAAGGTTACCATAAGTCCCCCGTCTCCCATTCCTGGGCCAATTCCCTCCGCGACTTCCGTCAATGTGCCCACATCTACCTCAAAAGGCTACCAAGACCTCCCTGTTGATAACAGTGGAGGTGCGAAAGACCATGATGTTTGGAGTTGGGAACCGAAAGAACCCAATAAATTCGACAGTACTACGTTGCCTGTGGCAACAATAACTCCCAATGAGAATTCCAGTAAAAGACTACCGACATGTGAGTGTTAAGTGCGAAAACGCACCCGGATGCTTATGAAAGTTTTGTGTTTTTGATTCTTTCAGCAGATGCCACGTCTACATTCACATACTCACCGTCGATTCCCAGTATTTATCCCTGGCCAAAAGACTCTGAGTATCTTCCTTACCATTGTAATTCAACAACAGTTAGAAATATATTTTGGAAAAGTACCCATGTGAATGAGACAGCGATTCAGCCTTGTCCTCCAGGTACCACTGGGTTTGCCAAGTGGCATTGCTTGGATGTGGCGTCTTCTAACTACCCAGAATGGGTTCCAATTAATCCAGACTTGAGCGAATGTCGATCAGTCTGGCTTACCAGCCTCGAGCAAAGACTAGTCTTAGGCAAAGACCTGTTAATGTCAATCATCCGAGATTTGTCTACAGTAACTGGTAGCAAGACACTCTACGGTGGAGACATGGCTATTACGACCAAGATTATACAAAAAATGACTGAAAAGATGTCCCAAGACATCCAAACGTTTCCCGACACCCGACAAAGGGAAGAAATCGTGACGGAAATGTTAGGATACGTAACAAAGACTAGTAGTAATCTCTTAGATGCTACCCAGTATTCTTCATGGAGGGATTTAAGCTATAAGGAACAAATGGGCGTCGCTACGTCGCTGCTCATTGGACTGGAAGAAAACGCTTTTTTGTTAGCGGATACTGTAACTAGTCAGAAAACTGTAAATAGAAAGGAGAAAAACATATGTAAGTGATAAAATCAAACTAACATTATTGACTGGGGGAAATCTCACGGTTTTTTGCAATAAACATCAGTTTATAAATGTTGAAGTTATGGTTGTTTTCAGTGCTTTCTGTGAGAGTTTTGGATACGAAATTTTTATCCGATGAAACATTTCCTTCTGAGGACAGAACTAGTATCTGGAATGCCAGCAGCGATTCAATAGAATTGCCCAAAGAAGCTTTATTGGAAAACAGCGATGGTAATCTTGTTCGGCTTGTTTTCGTCGCATTCGACAGACTGGAAGAGATTCTGCAGTGGCAGCCAGACAGTGCTGATCATGGAAATAATATTACCAAAATACTGAACAGTAAAGTAATATCAGCCAGCCTTGGAAAAGGGCGGCATATTCAGCTGAAAGAGCCTGTAAGACTGACCTTGAAACATATAAAAATAGAGAATGTCAGTAACCCAAAATGCGTTTTTTGGGATTACACTATGAATTCTTGGTCAGAAGAAGGCTGCCACGTGGACACGTCAGATTCGAATTATACCCACACAGTGTGTTATTGCGATCATCTGACTAACTTTGCAATTCTGATGGACGTTCATGATATTTACCTCCCGATATCTCATGAAATTGCTCTTCAAGTGATTACCTACGTGGGATGTATCATATCGATTATTTGTCTAATACTTGCCATTGTCACGTTTCAGTTATTTCGCGGGCTCAAGGTAGTTATTCCTTTATATTGAATTATTTAGATTGATCTAATTTAACAACTGTATTTTAGAGCGACAGAACAACGATACACTGTAACCTATGTACATGCCTCCTCATAGCCGAATTCGTATTTTTGGTTGGAATAAACCAAACCGAAAATAAAATTTCTTGTGGGATTATTGCTGGTGTTTTACAGTATTTCTTCCTATGTGCATTCGTCTGGATGTTCTTTGAAGGTACTAACTACTACTTATATATCAAAGACTGCAATGCCACCAAGCGGTTTGCACAGACTTCGTTTTTCTTACACGTGCGTGCGTTCGTTCCAGTTCTTTTCGGGCGTTCCACAACGTCTGTAGGCAATGAACGTACATTTTTTTTCTAGCCATCAGTGATCACAGGTTTTAAAAATTCAAAATCTTCACTTCTTCGTCTTGCAAAAAAACGCAAGGTCGCGGTAAAGTAAACTCCTTAACCAAAGCTAAAAGCTCTTTCGCTGAAAGTACGTTTCTTCTTCCATCAGCAAATTGTCATACCAGATATCTGGTTCCGGACGATCTTTTTAGTAAGTTAATCTGGGAGTGTTACTAGCGCTTTAGTAACGAGTTCTCTACCGCCCTCATTAATTCATGCGATTAAAATGGTGAAAAATAATTGGAAAAAAGCACGAAGTGTTCGTTGAAAATCGATAGTGCGTGTGTGTGCGTTCCAGATATTTTTGCACCTTCAAAAGAACGTTTCTTCTGATAAATTAAAGTGGAAATACTGCTTACGTTTTAGTAAGCAGCTTTTGGACTAGGTTCTGTTCAATTTTTGCTAATTTTGTTTCACTGATTCCCGCTGTTAAAAAGATGAAAAATATTTGGGATGTTTTGTCACTCCATGCCACAACAACATGGTTTTAACTGCTCGTTCCAGAACGTTCAAAATCTCACAAGAATAGATATCTATTCCATTCACTCGTACGGTTCCACCTGCTCATTTCATAACAGTGCACGTACAGAGTGTCCCATTTTCCACACTTTTATAGGGTTATTAAAAAAGCAGTATTATTATCACTATTGAAAGGGTCAAAATTTAAAAATATTTGCTCGCTTAAGAGATACGGGCGAAAATTAAAAAAAATATATCAACCTAAAAATAACCCTATATTTTCTTTTTTAAAAGAGACACAGACAGATGTTTAATGCAAGATTTTCTTTATAATGATTGTTGAATAATTTGCCATTTTAAGTATATTGGGTGAGGTAAAAAATGTGATTGGGTCTAAACTCATTTTCTTAAATCGAACATCCTGTATATTTTAGTCGAAATCTTGGTCTCCTCGGCGATTGATTGAAACTTTAGAAAAATATTCCGAAAGCGACAGATTATGCAAAAATCATTATAAAGAAACTTTTCCATAAACCATTTTTCTGTAACTCGTTAAAAAATAATTTTGGAATTGATTGACAATTTTTTGACTTTCCCCTGAAGAAATTGAAAGATACTCTATAAAATAATAAAAAATGGGTCAGCCTGTACAGTTTTAAAGTTAATTAGGAAATTGAAGTGCAAGTACTGCTTTGGTTTTAGTAAGCGGTTTTCAAACTACCAGCTTCTGTTCCTTCGTTCAAAACGTGTAGAAAAACGAAGTCCGTGATGCCGTTTGGAAACGCTATTTTATTGCAGTTGAGGCCGCTATTTTCAAATGCAATGCCGCGGTAGTAAAACATCGCGATTTCCAGTGAATTAACCAGTCGTGAAATTTGAAATTTTGTAAAATTCATATATTTTGTACATTTCAGGTTTTCAATTATACGTGATGTTAATTGAGGTATTTGAGGTTGAAAAATCGAGACTACGTTGGTACTATATATTTGCATATGGCCTGCCATTTTTAATAGTATTTGCATCAGCAACAATATATCCGCAGGGCTACGGTACAATGAGGCATTGTTGGCTAAGAACCGACAATTACTTCATCTATACCTTCGTAGGGCCTGTCTTTCTAGTAATGATGGTAAGTGAACCCCTTTGTACAATGCACAAGTTTCTTCGACTTTAACTACTATTTGAAAGAACTTTAATCAGCTTTTATTACTTTGAAATCGCCTTCATTGAGAGTTGTGCTAAGTAGGATTATTTTCATTTTGAAAATGTTTAAGTGTTGAAGCGCATTTATTCATAATACATGGCATACTGAAGATTTCTCAACTTTGTTTTCAGCTGAATGTCATATTTTTGACAATGGCAATAGTAATGATGTGCAGGCATGCAAGCGCTTCTGTGTCCATGAAAAATAAAGAACAATCCCGTCTTGCTAGCACGAGGTAATTATTTACACATATGTGGCAAATTTACGTTGTTTGCTTTTATATCAACGTTTCAATTTTGGTGTTAGTTTGACTGTGATGGTAACATAATTTTAAAACGTAACAATCAACTGGTTCAAACATTTGAACTCCATCAGGAAAAATTTCCTAATGGAGTACTTTCCGCACATCTTAATAATGAATGTTGCATCTACCGCATGTTAACTTATTAACTACAATTGTTCGTAGTATGGTCACCACACACTATTTGTAATAGTTTTCATTCAAATTGCTTCAACTGAAACCGGATTCGCACATAAAAAAACTAATCTACTCATTTTAATTAACATTGATTCACTGCAGCCGCTTTCACTTTTAGCAATTTGTAATCAATAATAACACCATCGAATCAAAGAATAAATGACAAAACTTAGATACCCACACATTCACAAACAAAACCAGTTTCACCTTTAGGGAATATTAAAAAATCGTTTTCTTTTGTGATAGGTAACCTTTTAACGAATAGAATTCTTTGCTGCCTTCATTGTTCGAAGTTTGAATTTAAGTTAACTAATTTTTGTTATGTAATGTGCATATATAATGGTTTTGGGACCATGCATTGAAACTGTTCTCTTGATTGACGCGCTGTTATATATAATTGCTTTTAAAACAGTTTGTTGAAATCAAAGGCGATCATTAAATAGAAACTAGTTCGAATTTATATTTGAAAAGAATTAGATTTTTCGCGCTATTAAAAACTTTCACTTGGAGGGTTATAAATAATATCATTACGGAGAAATCCATACTCTTCAATTTCAGTCATAAAGGATTGAGAACGGTAAAGCGATTTAAAAGCACTCCCTCGGGACGGCGTTTAAATGCTTGGAATTCTAAAGAAATTTCTCCGCCGTAGTAATATCCAACTTGATTGGCTAATTATGCTGATTAATGTGCGACAAATATCATTAATAGGTCTAATTATAAGTATTAAGGCTTTAATTGTTGTAGCTGTTGAAAAAATGTGTTAATTTGGAGGGTGGTGTTTGTTTATCGTTGAATGCAGAAAAACTTTATACTCTGGGTGTAAATATTTTTCTAATATATTATTTTTCTTGCATGGCAATCTTACATTGGTAGTGGAAAGGAAGAAAGTGCACTTCGAATGAGATTTGACTTGTAAGAACACTTTTTCTAACATATACTAATTGTTACACCTGATAATGATGATTGAAAAATTACACAATACACATAGGGCTGCCACATCTGAATGGGTAACATGCTAATATAAACTAGCAATTAATTAAATAGATTAAATTGGCAAACATTGTCTTTGTTTATTTCACCATTTTGTATTCCATTTCGTAATAAACGTGTTTACATATAATATATTTACGGTTTCTATTATAATTTAATAATGTACATTACCATGTCCAGTCAATGTTTAATCACTTTAAAATTGTATTTTTTTCTTGTTGAATTAATATTGGCTTAGTAACTCATAATAAATTAATTAAAATTGCTGCTAGCAGACATTTATTCAGATAGTCTTTTCGAAGTCAGCTAAAAATATGCAACATTTCTACCGGGGCAATGATACACATTTTAGTTTATTGGTATAATGTATGCTCTTGTACAGAATATATAGAATAAATACAGTTTAATGCAACGAAAGTTTAGAATGACCAGTTGCGAAACATTGTTACGTTGCAGCTTGATTTTCCCTAATCAATAAAAAAACATACCTTGCTTCTGTTCTATTTACCTGCAATAATTTTAATTAAGTGTGATATTTGCATATTTGAAAAACGAAAAGTGTTAAGCCATTCAATACAATAGAAAATTTACATAATGAAAATATTGATTACCGAAACGATTGAACCGTGTTGCGGGTTTACACAATTAGAATTTCCATAATATAAAATACTTTAGCTGAATTAAATAGGAAAATAATGGAAAAATAGAACCAGATGAACAAAATGTTTTGTTTAAAATTAACTTTCCATTACTTAGATAAATTCCGTAAAAAAGTTTTTTTTTTTAATTATAGAACGACTGCGATTATATAGGTTTTATTAATTATTAGTATAAACGCACCTTCAATATACTGGATGATTTTTTTATTGTTTGAATTTGTATTTCTTTGATTCGGTATTGAAAAACTTACTAAAACAGTTGCTTTTGGGAATTTCAGATAATAGTATCTACTTTTTTGCAGAAATATCCACAAAAAATTTCATATATGCAGTAAAAAGTAGACTAATTGGAACATTTAAAAAGCCTCAAATAGAAAATCTTAATCACATCTTATAAGACGTCTTTAAGATTTTCCTGTATAACAACTTCCACAAAACTCAGTTTTTGATTAAAGTCAATTGTTAATAAACTGGGTGTCCTAAACTAATACAGGGTGTCCCGTAAGAACATGATCAAAAGGATACTGCGATATTCTTTGCATCAAAAGAAGACGATCTGACCTAACTTTTACTAACAAAAAATGTCTGCCTCCTCTTCTATTGATGGTCAAAGTTCTTCAAAAAAGTATCTTTTGAAATATTGGGAGCATGGTACTATGTATTTTAGTGAAACTCGCTGTAAATTTGTTCTTATGTAAGACTCATATTTTGATGAAACAATCGAATTTATCCGCTTTGTACAAGTGGTGAATTCTTGAGTGTCGTGGTACAAAAACTACCAGAACTTTTTATTTGGTGGATGAAATCAACTCATTTTTTTGGGTTAATGCACTAATATGTTGAATAAATGATTAGTGCATCAACACAAAAAAATGAATTGATTTCATCCACCAAATAAAAAGTTCTGGTAGTTTATGCTTGTCACTTATGCTCACTTGTCCAAAACGGATGAACTCGATTGTTTCACTAAAATATATGAGTCACATAAGAATAAATGCACAGCGAGTTTTACCATAATACATCGTACCATACTCCCGATATTTTAAAAAAGATATTTTTTTTGAAGAACTTTGACCATTAATAGCAGAGGAGCCAGACTTTTTTGTTAATAAAAGTTAGGTCAGATCGTTTTCTTTTGAACCAAATATTATCGCAGTATCCTTTTGATCATGTGCTTATGGAACACCCTGTATTTCTAATAACGTGATTCTAGAAGTAAAAGAAATATAGAAACCTATATTTTGATATTCTAATGTTTTAATAATATTGTGTCGTATACAGAGCCCAACGAAGTAACATTTTAGATATTATTACAATTTTGATCAAATTTTATTTGTAGTTAACCTGATTTAAATTAATTTAATATGAATAACTTACGTGAAAATCTCAAGACCCATTTAGCTCAGTATTATGACTTCAGTATATTTTTTTCGTTCGTTTAGGGTCGGTAACACTTATTACCTTTGTGCTTTTATTCTATTGTAAGTTGATTAAGAAACCAACCAAGAAAATTTTAAATTGGCGAAAAGCCAATAACAGGAGATTTTCCTACAGAATTTAAAAATGATTATATAGGGTGTTCAATTTTAAACAGACTCAACTTTTCTCTTTTGTTTTTGCCATACTCTAGTTAAAAACGACTGGTCGCAAAACTAAAATAAGACACTCTATTTTCGTATTAAGTAGTAATTAAATAATGTAAAACACGCCTGCCTTTAATACGAATAGCTCGATCAGGAAGAATTAGAAATAAATAGAAACATTTTTGAAGATGTGAATCATCCGCCTCTTCATACCATTTGATATAACAGGGCATTCTATTACAAAAAAGCGTGTTTCGTTTTACTGGCTAAAAAAACATTCTTATACAATCGATTTGTTTGCTAGACACTTAGTATTTTCTAAACGAAAAATTTCATTCAGGTTTAGACCATATTCGGATGGCAGCCTAAGATAGCTTAAGGTACTGTTTTTAGTATGTTTTTCCATTTTCTTGTACATACCTACCTATCGACTGAAATATAATTTTTTATCATCATTGGCAGGTTTTATGAGAGCATCTTTAGATGAGCAAGCTTTAATACAAATATGGCATGTTATTAAAAAGCATGCAGACAATCTGTCTCATAAGTAGGATTTAGGAAAAACAAACATTTCCAAGTTCAATAAGAGCAGGATCCGTAACTTGAGTAAACATTTTAGGGCATGGTTGAAAGGAGCTTTCGTTCTAGTTTTCCTACTAGGATTGACTTGGATTTTCGGATTTTTATACGTTAACCAGGAATCAGTTGCGATGGCGTATTTGTTTGCCACTTTCAATTCCTTCCAAGGCTTCTTTATATTCGTGTTCCATTGCGTTCAGAATGAAAAGGTAAGTTGATCTGGGGTTTCAAATGAAAATGTTCTGATTTTAAACTTCGTGATCATTGACTAATCGCGAATGAATTTATCGTTGCAGGTGCGAAAAGAGTATCGCAAATTTATTCGAAAGCATTCCTGGCTGCCAAAGTGTCTTAGATGTTCGAAGTCAAGCAGCGGCCCTGGTGGTAGCAGCAGTGGGAACAGTGGCAGCTGCACGACTTCAGGCGGCGCTGGCAAAGAAAGGAGACCCAGTCTATATGGTTCCAACGGGAACCCGTCGGGAGGAGCTAACACACATATAACGGACAATTCCGTGTTAACTCCTCACGGAACAAGTGTGGGTACCAATAGCAACAACAGTATAGTGATCTCGAATAATCTAAATAACGCGCGCCCTACGGCACTAGTGCAGATTTTGTCTAGAACCGATCTGAACAATGCTAGTACCACCATGACCAACCACAATCGACAGCATAACGTGTCCCAACAAGGTACAAATGATGTCTAAAGGTGCGTATAAACTAGACGAGCCAAGCTTGTAATCTAACAATCATTATCTCAACAATTCTTCATGCACTTCACACAACTAGACGCTTTTTAGCAGAACAGTTGGAATAAGCCTGATGTAGAAAGGATTTTTTACGATATAAATATCTCAGTTTTAATGAAAAGGTTCGAGCAACATAAGTTTTTGAACTGAGAAAGAATTTTAGTGTAAATTGTGTCCATGATTCCCATAATGACATAAATGCGACGCGGTAGAATTATGCGATTACCCTGTCTATGAATCTGTTTTATCTGCACCAGGCATACGACTTATTTAATTTTATTTAAACACTCTAGTTACTCACATCAATTTTGCAAAGCATCGCAACATATTTCTGATACGGTTCATGTTAACGTAATACTAGTTAAAAAATAGTGAGTTACATTACAAGCTTAGTTCGTCTGGTATATACGCATCTTCATACAATTCATTGTTTTGCGTCTTCTTCATAGTTTTGAGTTGCTTTTCTATTTAACTGTCGTGCAAGTTACAGTTTTACGTTCAATTTGTGTACTTCAACTATCTACTTCCTTGTTTGTATTACTTCTTTTAATACACTACATCACACTAGCAATATAGCACGCAGCTCAATGGGAAAGTTTTGATTTACAACTAAACATATGCCATAAATTTTCTTCGCGGGTTTTCAAAGCAGTAATCTATTTCAAAGTTAACATAATTTATCAGCGTATAAAATTTCGATGCAAACTTTTATATAACAAATTATTTGAGCTTAACCTGGCACGTAATGCTTTCGCGCGTGAACATTTCTGCTCCAGTTAAACGCACTTTAAATCGACTTTTTCGCTGGTTGATTATATATTATTTTCGAATGATTGGCATTTTCACATCTAGTTCGTAATCGTGATTATTTTCAATTGTTGAGAGTGATAAATAAACTTTCCTTTTGAGGACAAATTAGCTTCATCCTCTTCCGGTGTTGCATTAATGGCACAAGTAGAACAACATAGACGTGATTTAGCATCCTCTTTATGTCTTCATGTAGAGTCAGATACGACTGCTTGCCATATCAATCGAGCATGTATCGTGGAACAAATCACTAAATCAGCTAACACGTTTCATGATGCATCCTGGGGTTGATCACATCAACTACTTTCATGTGCATAAAAATGATGGGCTATCCCACTGTCCGGAAAATCGCCGATTGAGACAAAATACATCATCAAATTTTGAATCTTACCACACGAAAGGAATCGGCTTAAATGGGAATTTTCCGTTCAACATTCAACCACCGAATTGTAGGACCGAAGAAAAGTATTTGAAAATTGAAACGCGTTCAAGCTTTTACTAACTGTGGAGTGCTATGGTGGTGCCCGCATTGTTGCATTATTTCTCTAGCATGACTCTTTAGGTGATACCCAATGTTGTGGAACTGTACTAACGCTTTCGCTTTCTCTAATATGCCGTGTATCAAAAGATCAATAATCTGCAATTTTGTGTTTTCGCTCCGTGGTTCGAGGTTCATCCCTCATACCTCATCGTCATTTCATGCAGATAAGAGTAGTGTTCATACAGTTCACCAGATATTTATATATAATGAGGGTTACATAGATGAAATATAGACACAACAACCATGTGTCTTGCGAATAGCATCAGTACTCGTCGCATACTTAAAAACCATATTAATAATACATAATTACCAGAAGGAAATGTTTTCCGGCAATTACATTGCCATTAAAATATTTTCAAAGCTTTAAGCAAGAAAGCTAAGGATACTTGGAAAGGATGTTAATTGCGACTGATCTTGCCGAGGAGCTAATGAGAATACAAGTTAATGTGATGTATACCAAGCTCCATACGCAGCTTGCAAAATTGCAGAAAGGCGACTTTTGATAAAGGCGATAACAGATGGTGACGGTTCGATTTTAATTTTCAGTTGCAACGAGGTTGGAACTCCCAGAGCTGTACGAACGTGAATCGGGCTTGTCGCACACCTGTACCCACATCTACGTCGGCCAACATGGCTGCTACTCTTTGTCGCCCCCCTCGTCTCACAGATTCCGTTCCATCTCCCGACCTAGAAGCCCCTAACACTTCCACGCTTCCTTACATTCGCAATTTCTATAAAAACTCCACCGTTAATCCTAACATCCCTAAATCGGTCTCAACTTGGGGTCCCTTGCACAAACCCTTACACTGGAAGGTTCGTAATGTTAACTCTGCTTTTGTAGTTTTTCTATTAAATGCATGAACACTTTTCTATTCACGAAACTATTCTATCTATATAACCACCGCTTATACACACTATTTTTATCCTTATTAATAGATGAGGAATGGAGTCCACATAAAATTCACTTTAAAAAAATATGAGCAGTGAAGTAGAAAAAGCCTCGAATATGTTATGTTTGAAATAATCATTCAAGGTGCATCAAATCCAGTGTCTCTCATTATCCACTTCTTGACCATTACTGCAGGTACGAATGATCAAACTTGTAAGATTTTTTGCGCTAATGAACACACAAAACCGAATGAGTTGCAACGCACATTTTGTTCTACATGCATTGTACTCAAGACTTAACAGGCCCTTTGTACCTGCTTATATTGTTCTTTAGTGAATTATTCGCCAAATTTATTTTCAGTCATGACTCCACAAGACACACCAACATGTGAACATGACCAACTTGCATGGAATTAATTGCATTGTCTTATAGTTTATAGTAACCCATTCTGTGCAAGGATGGAATAACTAAATTATTAGTTTAAAAACTCGTCTTCTGAACGTTTTGAAATGTTTTAATTGACAGAAACTAATATTCCATATAGTTTATCTTAATTACTTAATGGTCGGAGCTTCAACTTTTTCCGGTGCTTCAAATGCTCCCAGCCTATTATGAATAACTCTGAATATTTGCCATTGTGGAATCCTGGTCGGAAACCGTTTATCATACAAATATCTTGCTAAGTCATTCAATATTTCATTATTTACTTTCAAGCTGAACAACTCGTAACTTAGAAACTGCAACAGCTTTTTGTCGAATTCGGTCATTTTGGAGATTTACGTATGCTATTTTGATCCTTAATTTCTCAAAAATGAAATGAATGGTTTTAATTTCAATATTGTTGGATAAAAATAACAACTTCTTTAACATTCAAAGTCGTCAATGTTTAGTTGTTTAGCTTAACGCAACAAAACCTGCTAGTGTAATACTTGATTTGACTTATATCTACAATAATAAAGGAGTTGCACTTAATTTGATTCACCTTGAATATTCACGTAGTTGATTTTTATTTTTTGCCCAAAACATACAGACGACATTGTGAAACTAGGCCGATTGAAACAAGCTAAAATCAGCTCATGTAGTTGTATTGATCTTGATTGAAAAGTATCAAAATATCTGGAATGCGTAAATAAGTCGTCCTGGTAAGGCAAATAAAAATTCTGTCTTTAATTGCCTTATATCTAACACATGCTAGACATGAGGTTAATTATAGAAAGGAAGTTACAAGTTAAACGTAGGCCTTTATAAAGGATTTGAGCATTTTCCGATTATATGTTACAAAAATCCAGGAGAGTCGTTACATACATAAAAATCGATTGAAATCAAGTAATTTACTCAGGAAAGGTTCAGAGTTATAAGATCAATGTTAACGTTTTATCATAGATATGAAACTGTTAAAAAACCGGTTAGTTGCCTCAAATTTAGGGTCTTTGGAATGACCGAATTTCCTTACGTATTTGATTGCAAATTGATAGTGTTTTTATATGAAGAACGCATTCATTACAAAAACGTAATATAAAAACACCACCTAGTGCGAGCATCAATTAGTGAATGAAATTAAATTTAAAATGCTACCTTGGCGTTTCGGTGGCGATTCTGCTATTTTTTCAAAAAATATCTGAAAATGAATGCTTAAAGTAAGAAGAGAGTGAATCAGAAAATACCAATACCAATTAGACAAATTGAAGATCTACCAAAACGACAAATCTGAAAATAGGAAAAACCTAGATTATAAAATTCCTTGTGAATGTGATCAAATACTTCAACAATGTTGGCAAAGAAATAATTAACAAAAAGTGTACCTAAATATCAAAAGATTTGAGAGACAGTATAGAGCATTTAATTTAGGCAATACATATGTGCTAAAATCTGAAGAAGACTTATGAAATATACACCTAAATTAAAGTATCATGAAAACTATATTTTAATTTCCAAACAATTATTAAGTTATAGTCAAAACCTCTTTCCACATTTGCCTGAAATGAAGCATTTAGAGCAAATTTCTTTCTAGTTTTTTATTCCATAATTCATATATGCACTAAATATTTCATCATGAGAGATGTGAAGTTTCTATATTACGCTATTATAAGGAATTCGTTCTTTACATACGAGACTTAATTCATAACGAGACATACATTTGAGGCAAAATTCTAAAACAGTGAAACAAAAATTTAAAACAATAAAGGTTTTGTACCCGCATCAACCCTATAGAACACTAAAAAGTGTTCCGGGATGGTAACCGATGGACCATTGTAATTGCTTCCGATGGTGGGGATAGAATGGGGTAACTGAAGCGCTTGGCGTCACCGATGTGCCCGCCTGGAGTTCTGGTTTAAAGCACTAATTTCTTAGGTCTTAGAGAGCGGATTGCTGCCCCACTCTTTCCCCACCACCAGGCGTAACTGATACTTAAAAAAGTTATTTGTAATTCCTCGCAATACGATCAATTAGTAAAGTTCCCAGACAAAACGCAATAAACACGTCCTTACAACTTATGTTGTTACCTTAACATAGGAAAGTATGTGGCAGTTGTATATTAAGCGGAATGGATGATCGACTTTTTTGGACTTTTTGTACCGATGCCGCCTGAAACACGTTTATATCGTTTATTAATGTGCTAATTTTTCAAATATTTCTATCCACCTATTTCCATGATGTCTGTCCAAGCAAAACCAGTTTTCCGGAAATTCATAATAGATTTCAGATATATTTTAACGACTTCTCTTTTAATACAATTAAGTGACCTGAGAGTGTTTGGACAATAGTTTTAAATAATGGATTTTTGTTTTGCAGAACATTTCTTTTAAGTCGTACAGCCGTGATTCTGGACATGGAGGGTCGGAGCAAGAAGAATCGCCTAGGTCACATATGATTATAGCAGAAGCACACCGTCACTCATCTGCGCTAGCTAAGGAAGCGCCACGACAAGCCCCAAATAGTCAACAGAGTGGTTTTTCGGATTATGGAATGCGACAAGTTTCACAACAGGCCCACTGTGTTGCTACAGGAAGAAAGAAGCTGAATTCTGCTAAACCTCATCACTGGGGTCACCATACATATACTGAAATATATGACGGACAGAATCCGAGAGGATTGTTAACAGCAGAGGATGATCCTGTTTACGAGGAGATTGATCGAAATGAAATCCAAGTGAGCGATATGAGCGATGAAGACGCAAAAAGGCAAAGCGACATGAGTAGACAAAGTTCTAGATCTTACGGAGACCATAGACCATTGATTCCATATAGCCCAGGGGCGGAACGTAGCTTTCTGGAAGTTTTGAGCAACAATAAAGAGTTGGAAAATGCTTATCGACTACGATGCAACAACGTGGGACTTCCGTATCATACACCTCAAGATGCTTCAGTGAGGTCATTGGCAGCTGTGCTAGATGGGGAGACTGTAGTGTGTCACTTAGAGCCTCAGGAGATGTATCCTCATCAACATTTAGATGTTACTTACGTGTCTCGAACTTTATCCCACCTTCCTCCTTATAGTGAAAGTTAGAAACTGCCATTCGCAAGTAATTATCTGTGATTATTGCATGATCAGACTGTTTGGTCATATTAATTAATAATTTTGTTAGTAAGGCTCAGCTTGAATGAAAGAAAGTGATAATTTTATATTAATCAAGTATTTTATAAAAAAGAACTAGTAGGTATGAGTTATTCCAGTCAGCCTGTTAGGTTATTTCGTGATTCTCTAGGTATAAATGACAACTGTGTTGCTAAGGATAAAGCATGGTTATTATGTTATAATCTAACAAGCTTTAACACAAACATTTTGCTTTCTTACTTCAACTCGTATGGGTGTTACTTAAGTCTATGACCTCTGTAAACCCATGAGTAAATAGTTTGCTAAATTTAAAAGTGTTTTTCCTAAGCAACACCTGGTGTTCCAAAAGAAACGACTCGTTGCAATAAGTTTCTTGTTTATATAATCGTAGAGCTGAGTAAGCCCATATGCATATATAGTTTCCGTAAAGTATGTAAAATTATTGTAACTTTTAAAAATTTGTTACTAATAGGGACCTAATCAATGCACCTGTAATAGTACTCTCCCTTAATAAGTAATTTTTGATTGTCAATTTATAAAGTGTAAATTTCCAGTCTTGACAATTTAAAAAGTAGGAAAGCGGATGAGAAATTCCAGGTGTGTTAATATCGACTATCTGATCCACAGCAATGTTAAAATAGAAAAAAACTATTAATTGATTTATTCATGTTGTTAATGTACCTGCCGAGCTTCGATGTCTAACCTGTTACCCTACTCGAGCATTGACTAAATGTAACATGGACACCCTATATAATGGCATATTTAATTTAATCGCAGTTAATTAATATTGTTGGTATTATAGGTCCTTGAACAAAAGCAATCCAAATTTTTACATAATCTAATTTTAGCGGGAAATCATTTTTCTTTATTTATTTGTAAATAAAATTTGTCTGTTTTATTTCGTAGTGCTGTTTAAGTTAAGACTTAGCTAGCACGGTTTTGTAAATATTTAAATAAAATGGCAACTGCAAATGGTTTTTTATTTCGCCTTTTTGTAGTAACCCTATAACGTCCGCCTGTACAAGTCCTATTAAAGTCTATGTTTCATTGACTATGCTGAAACGAAATAGTGATTCTGCTGAAAAATGTTTTATACGTAAAACATAAAGTGATAAAAACGGGAATAGAATCCGTTTCCGGAGAAAAATGTTTGCTTAAATTGGCGCATTCCCTTGCCACCTAACACATGCAGCAATGCAAGGGAAGAAAAGCGAATTTTATAGAAAAATTCCTAATAAAGCGCTTTCAACCTCGCGGACAAGACACGAGCGCAGTCAGGCGTGCACAAAGATCACATATAAACTGCGTGTTACCCAGCAATACAGAACAGTGTAATGGTCAAATGTTTGAAATTTGTGTTGCCTGAGAAGATGACGAGAGTTTTTCGTGGTTTACAAATATGTACAGGGTGTTTCAATCTACAAATTAATAATTATTATTTCTTCTTACTTCTTAATTATTATAATTAGGTTTGTCTGTCTCCAGATTAACTAATGGATTGAATAAACATTATCCAGACAAGCTGAGTTTTTTATTTTGTTTCCGACAGATCGATGATCGCCATTCCGTATCAAGAAATATCCCATTCAATATTGATTGATTATGATAAAATTTTGCATACCTAATCTTGGAAATCTGCTTGTGCAGTATTTTTACTAAGTTAAATTAACTTATCTGATATCAGCATTTTAATCAGCGAAAAATAAGACACTATGTTGCTAATTTAATTGACATCGTGAGCTATAATAATTAATCAATTCGCAATAGTACACTTTCTATTTGAATCACCCTGTATACATGGTCCGTCTTTGGGAGCTTACACTAGAAGTATTCGCCAAACAGAAACTACCAGAGTTCTGAAACTTTCAATACAAGGTAATGATGTTGGGGCTAACTCATCTAAAATATTTTCAAGGCGGTACCACTTCGGGTTATACCGGAAGTAGGTACTTACTCGCTTCTTTTAAATGGAATACCCTGTATATTATTACATTTTTGGGTCATTTTGTTAAATGAACTGGGTACGAAATTTCAACCGTTGTGGAATTCGTGTCAATTTGAATATAACTTTAGCTTGTTGTAGCCAAAGGTGCCATATCTCAATGTGCAAAAAATGAGTTTTGCATCTTATAAAAAAGAAGTTATGGAAAATTAAACTTGACTGTCAAAAAAGGCATATCACCCAAAAAAATAAAATGGAAACCCCTATTTTTTTCTATTCAGATCGATTTAGTGAGAAAAATTAAGGCAAGTTTATAAAAAGGTTTATGAGGCTAAACGTAACAGTTTCATAGTAATTTTCAATAAACTACCAATTTTTATATCTGAGCTAAAAAACACGATTACATATATACATCAGAAGCAATACAAGGTAAAGTTATATTCAAATTGATTGACCTAAATAGGCGGAACAACGAATTATTTCCAAGCCTGCATCTGTCAATTTTTTTGGACAAATGGATATTATTCCACAACGGTTGAAATTTCGTACCCAGTTCATTTAACAAAATGACCCAAAAATCCGAACGAGAATCCAAAAATGTAATAATATACAGGGTGTTCTATTCAAAATAAGCGAGTAAGTACCTACTTCCGGTATAACCCGAAGTGGTACCGCCTTGAAAATATTTTAGATGAGTTAGCCCCAACATCGTTACCTTGTACTGGAATTTTCAGAACTCTGGTAATTTTGGTTTGGCGAATGCTTTTAGTGTGAGCTCCCAAAGACGGACCCTGTATATTGACTCAGATAGTTTTCTTGCAGTGTTACATAAATAAGGCAACGTAGATATTCGGAATAAATGTAACTGTTACTTCTTTAGAAAAAAATAATTAGTTCCTTCCTTTTATTTTTGTCTTGTTTTGCTCTGCAAATTGTCCCCTTCAGTTAAAGGATGTTAAAAAATAAGAAATAAAAACACTAGAAGATATTGAAACAAAATTTTAACCGAATCCTTACTTGATGACTAACGTCGTAGAATACTCAAGTTTACTTACTAATCCAAAAACATAATACATTATGTTAGAAACAATGAAGAATGCTCAAAATGTTGACCTCCAAGTTCGATACCTCAGGACCGAACAATCTCTCACATTTACCGATTACCGACACTCCATTTCAACCCTCTAATTTTTATGATTTCCTGACAAAGCACGATCCACAGAAAGCAACTTTATAAAAAACAAATATGATCATTTTCTAGTTGCCATCTCCCTCTCTATCGAAGTTGTAAAATGCTCACCTTATAGATAATCCGGTCAATAACAACTTTTCTTAGTGATGTTTCCCTCGGAAACCACTTTTCACTCGTTAAAATTCACTACTTTTTCACATGAAAACAAAGGACGTCCTGACATCCACGTTGTCTGTCATGGCGACGCAGTTTGAAAATTTTCGTACATTTGCCAAATCTACAGGGTGTCCCGTAAGCCAATGATCAAAAGGTTCCTGCGATATTCTTTGGATCAAAAGAAGACGATCTAACCGAACTTTTATTAACAAAATCTGTCTGGCTTCTCTGCTATTGATGGTCAAAGTTCTTCAAAAAATTTATCTTTCGAAATATCGGGAGAATGGTACGATGTATTTTAGTGAACCTCGCTGTGAATTTGTTCTTATGCAAGACTCTTATTTTGATGAAACAATCGAGTTCAGCCGTTTTGGACAAGTGGTGAATTCTTGAGTGTCATGGTACAAAAACTACCAGAACTTTTTAGTTGGAGGCTGAAATTAACTCATTTTTTTGAGGTTGATGCACTAATCATTTGTTCACAATTTTGTGCTCTTTGTAAAATCTTGTAGCATCCATAGTTTTTGCGAAAAAAAATATGTTTGTTTTCTAGTCACTTAGCAATGTTAGACATTTACTGCAAATATGTGCCGCGTAAACGCGTAGGGATTCACGCAAGTTTTCTTCGCAAAACCCTAATACTTTGACCATGTCGGTCACTTCGTCATTAGAAAAGGTCATTCAAAACGAATTTGTGAGATTGATTGACAATGATTTTATGCCTCGTATCACGATCTATCTATCTATAAGTGCATCAACCTAAAAAAAATTAGTTGATTTCATCCTCCAACTAAAAAGTTCGGGTAGGTTTTGTACCAAGACACTCAAGAACCTCTTGCCCAAAACGGCTGAACTCGATTGTTTCATCAAAATAGGAGTCTTACATAAGAACAAATTCACAGCGAGGTTCACTAAAATACATCGTACCATTCTCCCGATATTTCGAAAAAGATAATTTTTTTGAAGAACTTTGACCATCAATAGCAGAGGAGCCAGACATTTTTTGTTAATACAAGTTAGGTCAGATCGTCTTCTTTTGGTCCAAAGAATATCGCAGTACCCTTTTGATCATGAGCTTACGGGACACCCTGTATATTTTTTGTGCAGTTAATTTTTTATTAGAAATATTTGACAGGTTTATTTAAGCTTCGGTTATTTTTGGTAGTCAGAGCTGGGCAAGTAGTTAGGAATTAAATCACTTTTTGGTATTTAAATACTTTTTGGTAGTTAAATACCATGTATTTGACTACTTTTTCAAGAATGGTATTTATAATCGAACCGTCAATTACTTTTCATAAGTAATTAGTAATTAGAATTTGAAAATTTTCTGTAAATACTTTCATAAATGCCCCCAGCATCCACGCAATAACGCATCCAACTTTGTGAAGGCGTTTAAAGGTTTTGGAGTGTTACCAGCAGTTCTCATTAACTCACTTGGCGATAATTAGCTTGAGGTGGATGCAGACGGCTCATGTGCGGATTTTGATAGTGAAATGGATTATCGCGAAGATTATTTTTCGCACAGAGGACTAATAATGGAAAGCTGTGAGAAAAAAGTTGAAGAATCCCAAATTCATTTCCCTAAACATCATCGTAGCGTAACGCATTCGTGTAATCTTATAGGAACAACAGATTTTATGAAACTCATAAACCAAACTCAATCACTCAGATCAAAGCACGCTCTGGTTCTTAATAAATGTTCCAAACTGTGGAATAAAGCAGGATGACCAAAATCAGCTGAAATAATAAAAGATGTTCTGGGTCATTATTTAAGCTACCCAGCGGTAGTATGAGTAGTATGATTCGGTAAAACAAATATTGAAAGTTAAAGACAAAATTACAATTCTCTATGACAAATTAGAAATATGGACTAACGTTTCAAAAGAGACTGTGATTATTTATCGGAATATCTAAAAATTAAATTTCAGAGCCAATTACATTAGCAATTGACATATTGCAAGGTGAAAAAAACAATTACTTTGGATTAGTTATTCCTACGATTGCCAGCATGAAATCTAAATTGATCAAATTAAAAACCGAAAAATTTAGATTCTTGAATTCCATTGTAAATGGCCTCATAGAGTCTGTGTCCAGAAGATTCGAGAAATTTTTCGTTTTACATCCTGACACGCCAGATGCAATTATTGCATCTATGACCTATCCCAGATTTAAACTAAAATGGGTAAATTTAATATGGAATATGAAAGAAAAAAATACAAATGCCAAAAGATAATTTTTTTTTGTAAAGGCATTTAATAAGAGCTGAAAGTCAAAAAACGCCTCTTCCAGAACTGGATAAGAGTTCTTCATTCAACATGGACTTCTTTGAGTTCGATGACAAAGAATTGGGTACATCAGCGAATAATTATCATTCAAATGGGCTTAGTGAATTACCAGCTTTGCAATATCTGCAAGATCCCAGTTTTGAGCTGGAAATGTTGGACAAATATTCTATAGTAAAAGTGTTATTTTTAAGGTATAATACCACTTTACCTTCTTCAGCACCAGTTGAGAGAATATTTTCTTATGCCACTTTTATAAATGCTCCTCGCCGCTATGCACTATCAGACAAAAACTTTGAAAACCTAATCTAGCTGAAAAGCTAATTGTAATTGGTATTAAACAATACATTTGAACCTGTTTTTTTAGTTTTTGTCTGATTGTTATCCTATTTCATAAGTTCCTATGCTATGTATTCTGTTTTTTTTTTAATATTATTATGTATTGTTTCTGAATGATATTAAATGTTTAAAAAAATATTTTTTTTTGTAGTTTGATAAATGTAGTACATATATGATTCATCAGTGATGTTGATGTACTATAATGACAGTTGAGAAGTTAAATACTAGTAACTAGTTAACCCAAACTACTTTTGTGTTCTTAAATACTTTTTTGTATTTAAATACTTTACTAAAAGTATTTGTTAACCAATTACCGGCATATTCTAATTAATAATTAGTAGTTAATTACTTTTTTTAATGTTGACAGTATTTGGTAATTGTATTTAAATACTTTTTAAAATTACCAAAATTCGTTCGTTCGTTTCGCCAAACGGCAGCTAAGATGGCGTGGCCTGTTTCCTTATGGAAAAATTGCAAAAAATAATGAGCGAAAAGTGCTCGAAAACCGCATTTTTACAAAGAACATCAAAATTTTTCAAATTCACAGAAATTATTAGATAGTAATTGGAGTATCTACTAGGTAAGCATGCTTTTGACGTCAAACGCGAAGGGGATGGAAACTAGAATATTAACAAAAATAAAAAACATTTGTAACGAATTCACTGTTTCACTTATTTCCAACCTTTATGTTACACCCTGTATTCGTAAAACCATAAATAAATTAGAGTTTACCGTAAACAACAGTAATTGACTCCTCCTTTGACGAGCTTCACCTCAAAAATATCATCTGTGGCTCAAAATTTAAATTAAAATTTTTGGAACCGGGTATAAATAGAGAAACAGATTATAAAATCGGATTGTGCGAATACCGTAGTTATTCTGAACTATCAAAGTAAAGCATTGATAATTTTGCTGTCGCTGCGCAGGAAAGGATTTTAATAAAAACCATTCACATAGGAAAAAAAAAATTACAAAAATATCAATAATTAAGAAACGAAAATTGTCTAAACATTTATATAAGGGACTATGTTACTTGATCTAAATTAGTCCGTTGGTCGTTTTTTGGGTTCTTAAAGTGATTCAGAATTTTTTTGCCTAGCTCGAATCCTAAGAAGCAAGCTGCATTTGCCGGAAATGCCCTTAGGAGAATTGGAGTTATCCCTTTATAAAGAGCTAGTGGACCTTCTGTCTTGATTAATGCTTTAAATGCATCTTTTACTCCATTGGGATATGTTCCTTCTGGTGCTAAAAACGCTCACAGTTCTAAACAACAGTTATTCTATTGGCGGATGATACCTACCAGTTTGCAATCGGCTTTTGAGAACATCTGCTGGCATTCCAATCAACCAGTTGGCAATACCAGCTGCACCTCCACTTAAAATTGTTCCTATTATACTTGGTTGATGTTTGCCGTTTTCCGTTATATAATGCTGCACAGCATCGTAAGTTAGGAAATAAAGCCCACTTGCTGGCACATCTGAAAATAATTTTTTAATTGTCCTGTATCTACAATATCAATATAAATTCGATAAAATCTTTAGTAAGGATATTTTCAATTCTTAACTTTTCGCTAACTGGTTGCGAAAATCTACAGGGTGCTTTTTTCCAGTGTCATACTTCGGCCGAACAAACTTGTTCAATTTCATAATTTTTTATCTCTTGCAGTTTTTTTGCATCTGCCTTCGTTTTCGAGTTATTTATTTTCTCATAGTAGGCTGTGCCACTTTTTGTGAGAGTAACTGCCGAAGAAGTGTGGTGGAGTACCCAAGAATATTTCCAAATCGTGTGATTCCAAATCGACAAACATTTGCTAATGTTGGACGGAAAGCTCAGAAGATGGGCTCTCTTGCCAACGCAATAACGGACATAGCATTTACGCAGTGAACGCAACAAATGAGAAGCAAATTTTACGCCACCTCGGAAATGAACCACAAACCAGTATCCGAAGAATATCAAAGCAATTTAACATACCATCCATCTCATTTTCAAAAACTTCAAGAACTGTTACCGCAAGACTTATAGCGAAGGACGATTTATTGTAATCTCGTTTTAAATCAGAAAGTTTGTTTTCACAGAAGGACCCGCTTTACGCGAAGGAGAATCACAAATCGACACAAGAGCCATGAAATCCCATCAAAATCCACATATTACAATAACCCATCAATACCAAAAATAATTGAAAGAATAATCGTTTGAACGTGCAAGTTATTTGCTTTTCCTACAAAACATTCTTTCAGAGCTTCTTACCAACTTGTACTAGCAACTGGTTTCTTGAAGATTCGCCTTTACAATTGCGACTTGACATGTGGTATATGTACGATGGTGGTCACCGCGATCGTTAGATTTGAATAAGTGTGATTTTTTCAGTGGGGGACTTTAAAAGAATTTGTATATTCAACGCCTGTTGAAACTACAGAAGGTTTATGGAATAGTATCATTATAAAAAATGGCATCCAATTATTGGATAAAGTTGATTTTAATTTTCGGCGAAGGGTCCATTTATGCTTGGATAAAACGGAGGCCATTTTGAACAGCAACTTTAATTTATTAAATTAAAATTAAATAATTTAAACTCATTTAATTTTCTGAAATTAATTTCATAATAAATTGAAATATTGGTTACATTTTTGTGAATTTTTATTTGGATTAGCTGAGAGCCGATCAACCTCACAATTATTGTAAAAAAAAAGTAAAAAAAAAGCTTTAAAGTTCACTCATTAGCCATCCCTATTTTACCTTCAAATTTCGCTTCAAGCTTTCACAAAAAAATGTGACCAAAGGACACAAAAAAAATTATAAAAAATTTATAGAAAATCACCCAGAAACCATTCGTGAACATGTTTGTGGAAATAGCTCGGAAATGAAGGCAGATACGAAAAAACTGCAAGAGATAAACAAATTATTAAATATAACAAATTCACAAACTTGTTCGGTCGAAGTCAGTGGCGCATCACAAAAAGTGCGGGGGATAAAAAGGTATGTCTCTAAAAAACACCCTGTAGATTTTCGCAACCAGTTGGCTCACCTATGGTTTCACCTCACCAAATTTGAGCAAAATATCTCATAAACTGTAGGAGTTAAAGAGAAAATACCAATCTATTTTTAAAACTTTAACACCCTGTATCTATATACAGGGTGTTAATACATTAATACATACATTAATATACAGTATATGTATATATTAGTTAACCATAGGCCTGGGAAAAAAACTTAAATAAAAACTCGAGTTGTTTTGAGGTCCTCTACACGTACCTGCTCTGTGTCCATAAGGTTGTGAATTTGTACTTGTTGAGTGTAAACTAGAGAAGCAAAATATTAAACAGAACATCAAACAAAAAAATAAATTAAAATCCCCAAAACTAATTTAAAACCGGCCTTCATCAACTACAATGCACAAAACTTAGAGAACTGGTAAAACAAATACAACGAATTCGCACGCCTTAAGTGCAGGTTTATCAAAATAACTGTAAAACCCGTTTTGTCACCAATCTATAATAAGTAAAAGTCAATTAGGAATTCGCTGGAAACATGTATTTCACTTAAGTACAAGCGCAAAAATCTAGATATCAAAATGAGCTTATATCAAGTTAATTTTGATTAATTAATGAAATTGGATTACTTAATGATGACTCATTAATACAAACTAGAAAAAATAAATTTTTATGGAAATGTTCAGATTGAAGCCTTAAAACTGATCTGTATCATGAAAAACACTATTATTTTAGGAAAACAGATCATGATGTAATAACAAAGTGAAAAAAAAAACTAGATTCATTTCAATTAGAAAGTGCATGCTTGGCTACTCACCGAATTCTAATGTTAAATTTGAATAAAACCTTTATATTTTTTTAATTTCATAGTTTATTTTAATTAAATGATTATTTTATTATATTATAATTATTAATTAATTATTTAAATTTTATATTTATCCTTCAATTTATAACTTGTCAGCTTTTTCAATGGCTTGACTCCAATTATGATTTTCACAACTGGATAATAATAAAATGCGCTCAGTCCAAGTTAAACAAACGTATTCAGATTTGAAATCAAGTTTATTTTCAAATGCGATTTAAAATTTACTGTACTATTATATCATTATCAATGACTTCTATATCCGTATTTTAAACATGAAAAGTTCAGAAATTCCCGTAAAAGAATAATGAAAAGTCCAAACATACACTAAACCTCTGTCTGATAAGATACACTTAATTTAGAAATAATTAACTTCCAGGAAATTCATGTAATATCTAAGTCAGGTAAGTACTTAATTTATTCATATTACAAACACGATTTTATGCAAGAATGTCCTATTATATGAAATGGCATTACTTTATGACGATAAAAAATGATTATCTTAAATTTTATTTCGGCTTTTACGGAAATATGTGGGTGTTTGTATCCTGTAAAATATGACACAGAAATCTAGTCTCTGAGTACTCCTTCATCAGTGCAGTGAATTAAATTACGAATGCAGAGATGGAATTTTTTAAGAAATTGGCGATTTTTATGGTTTTTTGCAATGTTGCAGTAAGTGAATATAGATTTGCTTAATGTGGAGTAGTAGTGTTATAAGAATTGGGGTTTAGTGAAAAAAGTGAGCAACTTTTAGCAGGATACGTTATTCTAAACATTGTTACTTAAGAAAAAAATTAATCCTCATATTCTCGCCTCTTATTCCCAAAAACAGTGCAATGCTCAAAACCTAAACTATCTGGCTTTTCAGTTTCCGGTGATAGAATTTTAATTTGGCAGACATATTCTCAAAGTTTAATGTCCGGATGAAATTATTTAAAGCCCATTGTTTTAGACCCAGAGTCAACATTGATTTTATTCTTCAATATCTTTAGAAGCAGATAATAATAAAAATAATATCAACGTAGGTCCTCATACAGTCGTTACGAAATTTTAAAAACCAATGCATAAGTTTTAACAAATTTCACAATAAACCTACAGACCAAAATACATACATTAAAATGTTAATCAATTAATGCTTAACAAGGTCACAATTGCATTTAAATTCACGATGCATTAATATTATCTGCAACTAATAATCTTCTTTATAGTGTTATGGATGGGAAAGAGAAACGGCATGTCCCTTAATTTGTACTTGCAACTTTCAACACATATCAGAGACAGCGATTCACAGATTTCTACAGGAGAAAACCAAATCAAACCTTGGAGAGGCAGGTTTTGTGGAAAACAACGAGGTAAGAAATGCTAACTAACTAAATCTACTTGATGATACAAACAACTGACTCTAGAAATAAATCTATGGAATGTAAAAAAGCTATATTATTTTCGACATACATATATGAAACAGTGCTTAGTTGCAAGCTCGACTAAAAGATTATTTAGATGGGTAAGCGCACCATGGTACTTTTCAGTGGAGATCGCAACTAAATATGGTCCTTCGAGCCGGATGGAAAAGCCCAAAAAAATCAGTAATTTTGAAGTTGGTGTATATTAAGGAGTTTTTGTAGTACTGTGTTTCATTTCCGCTCGGTTAGAGGGTAATATTATTTACCATTTATCGTAAACCCGTATATATTATTATATATTGTTAACTCGTTTGTCTCACGTTCTCGTTTCTCGTTTAACTAAAGAATTTCAGTCTCACAGATATCTAAAAACTATTTGCCGAATTTCCGTCTATATTAATGAAATAACGTACATAAGTTAGTATTCTAGTACCTCTAAGTATTGTATAGGTAATACCGAAAAAGTCACGTTCAGTAAATTCCAGAACCTAGCACATCCTGAAGTTGCGTTGAAACTTATTAAAAAATCAGGCGCTCAAATCAAAAAAGGACTATCAAGGTTTCAAACGTTTTTAATTAAAGCAGAAACAGATAATAATCCTATATGTGTGCGTGAACTCGTACGGAATTCGATTCAGCAATCAACTTCCACTCACCCATTTTACTTTCTACGATTGACACTCATCCGGCTCGAAGGACCATATTTAGTTCCGAGCTCCACCAAATGGTTATTTAACTGGGTAAGTCCACAATGGTATTGTCTGGATCATTGAAAAGCACTTTAGTTTTTAGCGAATATTTTTTGTTTATTTATTTACTTGATGTTTTCTCAGGTTCATAGCAACCAAGAGACTATAGATATATAAAAGATGCCGTTGTCAAATCATGAAATTAATTATCACAGAGTAAAACCTAACCAGAACACTTATTTATTTCTAGGTAATCTATGACGAACCGCTAGATGCGATCGAACTTCTGGAAAAAAATCGTCGCAACATAGTGGTGAAATCCGCAACATGTATTCTACAGACCGAAACCGACCCTATGGAGCTGATAGATTCCCTATCAGCCAACTTCGAAAGTCTTACTTTCATCCAAGCGTACAAATCAGGGAATAAAACAATCAAGTTCAGCTGGCTAAGTAAATTCGAAAAACTTATAAGTCTTGAACTTATTGGTCCAACCATATTTCGTAAAGATGTGGATAATCATTTGCTATGTCAGATGGATTACGCTTTAGAGAATTTGAAATATTTGAACTTAGAAAGAGTGCTTGTGCAAAACTCTAAAGAACAAATCCAATCGTTCCTGGAAGTTATGAAAGAAAGTGAAAACATTACATTCGAGTATGTGCAAAAAGTCGACGGAAACTTCCATCCTTTAACAATAATTCGGAAAGGCTCTGCAGAAAATGAAGAAGTTTTGCCCTATGAAGTATTCAAGGAACAACGAAAGACCAGTGGAGAAATTCCACTTTTTAGTGGCTTTAAAAAACTATCATTACTGAGAATTGCAAATTGTGAACTGAATAATATTCATTGGGAAATGTTTGATGGTCTCAATGAGCTGCAATCGCTCATTCTGGAACGCAACAATTTATCTTACATTCCTTCATTCGCATTCTATGGAACCCCTAGCATAAAGAGGCTTTCTCTTGCCCATAATAAACTTCTAGATATTGAGATTACTGACCTAGCCGGACTCCTGCAATTGGAGTACTTAGATTTGACCTACAACAACTTCACGCAATTATCTGAACTGTCTTTTCCTCCATTTCCGAAACTCAAATTGGCGAACTTTGCTAACAATCCTATTGGCATCATTTTTCCTAATACTTTTGAAGTGATGAATACCACTGATTCGCTCATAATAGGCGGGGAAGATTTTCCATTAACTTTACTGCCGAATTCATTTGCCGGACTTGGAATGCTTAAAACGCTGACTCTTTATAATGTGAACGTGCAGTTGCTTAAACGAGACTTTTTTGCAGGATTGTCACAACTAATAGAGCTAGTTCTGACTGGAAATATAAGTAAAATAGAATTTGACGCATTCCAGGAAGTTTTAAACCTAGAAACGCTTATTCTGAGAAATTGTAGGATTTACAACATTTCAATGGATGGATTTCTGGAACTCAGAAAGTTGAAATATTTGGATCTCTCTAAAAACGAGCTGGAATACATTCCCACTGGAGTTTTTGATGACTTAATCAATATTCGAGAGATCTACCTCAACGATAATCAATTTAAAACTCTTCCAAGGGACATATTTTCGAAAATACACCCAAAGCTGTTGCGAATTAATGAAAATCCGTGGCACTGTACTTGTGAAATGAGTGAATGGAAGCCGATTATAGCGAGCAGAATTAAGCAAAAATATTTAAAAAATTGTGAATTCATTGACGATAAGGGAATTGGATGTGCTGGCATTGGAAGCAGATTTGAATATAAATATATATATGATAACAGAGTATCACCCAAGTGCGCCGAACCAGAACAATATAAGCAGTGGAGCGTTTTTCACGCTATGAGGAAGATTTTCAAGTGCCCAGACTACAAACCAAAATTAAAACCACAAATTTTCTACAAAAATAAAACAAACATTTCAAATTCCATCAGTGCCTCTGAAAATGACATGCAAAACCCAACTACTGCTTCAAACATTTCGAAACTTAAAAACCGACGACTCAAAGCCAAATTGAGGAAAACTAAGTATCTTAACTACAAACTGAAAAAGCACGCACTTTTGGCTGACCAAATCAAGAATAAAGGCACTGACTTGGAAAACGTTTTAATCCCACATGATCTAGAGAACGAGTTAAGCAATATAAAAATGAATTCAGAGGAATCAACTTATTTACTCACAAATCAATTGCATATTGAAACTCAAAAGAAACATCACAAGAAAAGTATTTAATCGAAATGTGTTAATATTTTTATAAAAATTAGATTTAATATAACATTTGGGAGAAATGCATTTGAAACTCAGTGTAAGCTTTCGAGTCAAATACCTCTGAGGATACAAGCCACTCGTGCTTGCAAAACGTCCGAAGTGACTTCGAAAGCAAATTTTGTAAGAAAAATGACAAATGCAGACTAACTAGAGTTATTTAATTTAGTAGACTATTTTGTAAATACTTTTTTGTATAGTTTTATAAACACCAAACTTGTATTGAATTTTTTAATAAAATAGATTATGTATATTGCTCAGTCAACTTCTTATTACACTATTTAATTGTGGACTGTACATACCTATTAGTTTGTTAAATAATCCCCTCAGAGGATTTATAAATATTTGTAGGGCAATTTGGATATTCAATCAAAAACATATTTTTTCGGCCAAAGATCAATCAATATTTAACATAATTGGAAACGAGCCTGGGAAGATAAACTTAAAACTGTTGTACCTATTTAGTACCTAAATTATATTTGAGTATATATTTACTCATTGGCAAAGATTTAATCAGTTTTTTCCTGCTCAATTGCATTTATAACTGCCGATCGGCATTGCCCAACCCTTGTTCCTGTGGGGATGTGGCTTTAGAGTTCAAATTGTACGTCGCAGCAGAAATGCAAAATATGATTTTATGTGGAATATGAGAAGTTTTTAAATTAATTTCAATAGTTTAAAAATTAAATGGCATATTTTTTTATTTAAAAATAAACCATATGTAAGCCACTGGTTCAAATGAAAATAATTTCCTTTTATTTGCATTAAAGTTCTACGCCCTATAAATCAGTAAGGAAGCATTATTTTCATCGTTTATATAGCAAATTAGTAATATTTTCGGGCATAAAATGTGTGCCCCTTCCTCATATGATTATAATGAATATTTTCCGTCTTAGATATTTATAATATAATAAATATTATTTTATTCTACAAATGTAATGTTTTGAAAACTATAGAAATCGGATGAAAACAAGAATCATCCGCTTAAAATAAGTTAGAATTTTTTTTGAAATTTTGGCCTTTTGTTAGAATATGTGTACAGTAGTATCATTCCCGGTGAAGTAACCAAACGTATCTGTACAACATATTTTTAGGTCCAAACTGAAAGCAAATATTGCCACTTACTAAAATAAATCAAAATATATTTTTAAATGTAAATTAAAGGCTTTCATAAACTACTATTCTATTTTACTTAGTTCAATTACTTAAGTGCTCCTTGGTTTGTTTACTATTAAATTAATAAGCAATATAATTAATAAAAATGGTTATAAGATTGCATAATAATTTGACGTTTTCTGGATAATATTTACAAGCAACAGCAGAGTTTTAATAAGTATTCAGTATAAAAAAATTCAATTTAACAGAAATGGACGAATCACATGCAAAAGAGCTTTCAGGGTGTTGCGTAAGTTAATTCATTCTTTGCTGGGGGCGATAATACAGTATAGTTTTGGCTAAATTACTTTAATATGGAGTACTTCAATCTACAGTGTTGTCATAAAAAAATCAAATTTATGAATATGTATTTATGCAATTTCCCAAACTATGAGGGCTGATAATGCTTTTTGTAATAAAAAAAGTTTTCATATTTTCCAGTGGCGTGAACTAACTTTAAACAAATAAAATATATTATATAATAATTGATTTTTCTTAGAATAAAACTGATTTTTGCTTTACCCCCTTAAACTTGATTTTTGTTTTTGGGAAAAAATAATAGCTTTATTAAATCACATAGTCGATATTGAATTATAACTTAGAATAACTTCATGGATGAGTACATTTTTTTAGCCCGTGTAGCTCAAAATCTGAACGTGTTTAAGATATATTATGTTAAAGAAATATACAGGGTGAATCAGTTTATAGTAGCAGGACTTTAACGTTCAATAAAAAATCCAATTTTGAGATAAAAATAGCATACAAACATATATTGAATTCGTTTTTAAGATGCAGGGTGGCACATTCCTCTGAACATTTGGCGAAAACTTGGGCACGATTGGAGGTGGTATTGCGATAAGTCCAAGAATATAAAAGTTTATTAACATTACTTAAATTTTTGGGTGAATTATTTAAAAAAACTGAAAATGAGATGTTAACTTTGCCACACTGTATACCAAAAACGAAGCCGTTTTGAATACGTATATGTTTGCATAATATTTTCATCTTAAAATGAGATTTTCTACCGATCGTTAAAGTCCTGCTATTATAAACTGACTCACCTTGTATATAAAGTATTTTGCGTATAGTAAATTAAACTATTTCATTTTTCATGTAGATCCACATCCCTAAATATTCGCATGTCAATACGGAACGCCTCGTAATTCCGTAAATCAATTGCATTAATAGAAATTAACATGTACTTACCTCTAAGCAGTGTTGCTCCGCCTCCTCTATATAAAGCAGCAATTCCGCCCTGTTTATATAATTTTATAACTACATCTAGAGGTCCATTATATTGCTTATTAGCTGCTACACCCTCTTGAATCTGTAGTAGACACTTAATTCGTTCTCCTGGAGCCATAATCGCTGTAGTACAAATGCCAGAAAATGCTCCAGCCATAAAATATTGAAAGTAGGTATGTTGTAATGTATCCGCAGGGCAAAATATTGTTTTTCCAACACCAAACCCCATGAAGGAAAGTGCAAATATTGGAGACACGCCCAGCAAGGGTACCCCCATACCTTTATATAGACCTTTTGGTCCTTCATATTTTATCGTCTTTTTAAGACAGTCTAATGTACTTGTATAATGAGGCAATTCGCCTTTTTTTGGCACTGGCATTGTTTGTAATCTCACCTGCAAATGTATTCATTATACAAATATAATCAAATAATAGAACAGATTACACTTATAACGTAAGCACGAGTTATCACACATATCTAGAACTATGCGAGGATTTATTTGGCTAGTATTTTACTTGATATATATTTCTTTAGTTAATAGTTTAATTCTTCAGTTAACAGTTCTAATGAGATGGGATGTGGTGACATTGTAAACAGCACCCTCAAACTAATGCAATTCTTTTCAAGAAGTAAAGTGCTTCCCTTAGCAAACCCCATGACTAGTTGTATTAAACACAATAAAACCTTCCAGTCAAAGAGTTAATAAATAGAGCATTTGTGCTTTAGCCGTACCTAATTATTTTTAGCGTAAATACATTTTACAGCGATATTATTTCAAATTTAAACAAAAACATAAATTACTTTAATAGTGTCCAGTGGGTGGCCAACTAATATAGTACTAATACCCCCAAATCCTCCACATATGAAGTATTCTAGGGGGCTCAATTCGCTCATTTTCAACAGAGTTTTCCTGTAGAGATTCAAAAGTAAAATTTAACTTTGAAATTGTCCAAAATAACATAACCTATAGTAAAGTGAAGACTTTATCACAGAACATCCCCATGGCGAGATGTTCTGTGGTCTTCATAAAATATATGATGAAGACTGAGTTAGAAGAGGTAGGAAAACAACAACAGAGATAAAAGATGTACTTTGTTGTCCCGATATTAATCTTTTTATTTTAATATATTAATATTAAGCAATATTTGGTTTATTGTTTAAAGGGCCCAAAAAATACTATTATATACTGACAATTCTAACATATAATGTTAAAGTAAAAAATCATGCAATTAAAACATTATTATAATAATATTTTTATAATTTATAATTAAGTTGTTAAAAAATTGTATTTTGGGTATTATGCTTAGGGATGAACAGTTTTTGGGTTTTGAGAGAAGTCGGGATCAGTATCTACTAATTTCCGTAAGTCGTATGCACAAATTCAAGAAAAACCTTCCTTCACATTTTTTCTTTGAACAAAATAAGGTAAGCAGGGGCGGATTAAAGCTTTACCACGCGCGACTTGAGATTAACATTTTGTTATATCATTTTAGTACTTATTTTCGTAACATACTATTTTCTTCAGGCTTACCAAATAACTGTTTAACATGTGTAGTTGTCTTAATCTATGTATTTGCTAATAAGAGCTTTTCTTACTGAACTGATTACAGTTTTCTTACAGATTTGAGTATAATTAAATGAAACGCTGGATCTCTACTAGGTAATGTTTACGTGTTTCTTTATTTCTAACGGAAAATAAATCTTTGTTGATTCCTAATAAGAAACGTAGGAAATTTCAGATAGTTTTGTCGCATTTTAAATTATTTTTCAGGATATGTATGTATGCAGGGTGCACGGAAATGACCCGAACAAAATTACGAGTGATTTTGGAATCATGGAAATATAATGTCTCAAGTTCATATAGCAGTTTTTTAAAACCACAAAAGTAACGCAGCAGCGCCTAGGATTTAAATTTTGTAAAATACTGTTTATTTAATATTTTCTTTGCCCACTCGCCGACCTCAGGATGGATGTTTTACTCAACTGCTCTCTCTCTCTTTTCCAAACTAATGCAAGTAGCAGTTTAAAATTTCGCCATCGCTTAAAGACACTTGGCGCTAAATAAGTTTAAAGTTACATACAATTTTTTTTTGTTTTTGCCAGTTTAGGACAAAATGAATGTCCGTCCCCAACAGCAAAATCCTCGTTAAAAATTCGCAAGTCGGCAACACATACAAGTAACAATATAAAACTCGCAGAACATCCCAATAGGGGATATTCTATGATAAAACTTTCGCCACTTTTAGACGGCAGTCTGCTCTAAAGATGCTGAATTGCGAGTTGAGAAAAATTTCCCAGAATATTGATTTTTTCAGCTTAGTAAGTATCAGTTATCAGTCCCCAATGGATGATTGTACGCAAACATCTGATAAAAGTTAAACAATTTTTAACTGTTGCATGGGACTTCAGCTGTAGGTGTTATTATTAATACGGTATTATCAATAGATATACAAATAGATGACAAAAAAATGTTTGCCACTGATCTGTGCTAAATCATTATCTCCCCATGTTGCTAAAACAACATTTCCTAACTGATGTTTTTATTTTATATTCAAATTAATAAAATCATTCTACAAACTAATTAAAAATTTTCTAATACGTTTTCTATTTTTTATTAAATTTTAATCTTTCAATAAACTAATTAAAGTAATAATAAATATCGCTATATCCCCATGTTGCATTAGCTGATACTCACATCAGCATTACCTACTCATCTTCGAGTTTGGTATCAAGCTGAACGCTGGGGGATCCGGACACAGTTTGGAGGTTTCAACCAGAGATGCCATCCGTGGATCCCTCCTGCAATTGCCGGAATTACAAGCGGAGTCGCTGCATACTAGACAGGTTGGTCGATGATCAGAAGGAATGCCCAGTACTATTTTAGGGTAGGACTACACTGAAACTACCAACTACATAGATTTTACTTGATTTAATTAATGTCTCTTCCTTCGCCAGAAAAAATGCCAAACAAACAAAACACCTGTGCGCTTCCTTCGGGATTGTCTTCGATCGGCTTCTCTTTTGGACCGTACCATCGTACCTCTCTTTATTCGTTCAGGGTGCCTGTTCTATCCCAGCAAAAAAGATGTTGAGGGCACTCAAAATAAAATATAATCGAAAAGAAAAAAATGTTTATTAATAGATCCACCGAGTGCATACGTCAGTTAAATACATAAAAAGCTCGCATGACTCAATAGAATACCCAAATTGTTTCTGCAAATAAGTCCAATACTATCCAACCAAAGTACGTTTATATATTAAAAATGTAAACGGAAATGGATAAGCACGCTTTGAAATACGAGGTTAATAAATTCCTGTTTATTAGAAAATTTCAACAATATGGAACACATATGCACAAAATAATGAAAATATAAATGGTAAAACAAAATAATAACCTATAAAAAGTTGGTAGATCAATTAACATAGAATAAAGTGAAAGAAATTAATTCCAGAGGAGTTCATATTCAAAAAGGATTTCGTGAAGTATGTACAAGAAAAATTACATTTAGTAACGTAAATCCGTTGTTCAAACGCAAAAATCCTGGTATATATGATTATTTTAACATGAATAACTGATGATCAATTGATTAATAACACTCCTCTGACATTAACTTCGCCTGATATAAGCAGTTAATGAATTAACTGAATATTATTATTAATATACACAGGTTCAATCAGAATATTGCCTTGCCTCAACACTGTATGAAAGATATACTAGTCTAACTGTTTTTAATAGTCTGCACCCCTGCAAATTAGTGGCATAATCAAACAGAAAAAAGGCGCTATGCGCTATCACTTCAACCTCTTTCTTAAATCTCGCTCCTTGGTATCAGGCCATCTTATTTACAATTGATGCGTGTAATGTGCTTAATTGGTTTGCCCACCTGTCTAAAGCAATATATCTAAAAAATAAACAATAACAGCACTCAAATAATGTCCCACCAACACATACCAATATATCTTACCTGGCTGTATTTATTGTTCTTCTCTCCAAAAACAACACTTGATTCACTTGATCAATTCTTCCTTGAATTGTACTGAAATAATAAATATGTTAAAACATCATGTTCCTTCTATCCCAACTTATTAAGATACACTTACTTATCTAATATGCAAGCAACCAGCAAACTTTCCACTTCTTGAACATCAATATTAAGTTCAGTAGAAATAAACGGAATCTGTATCCGAGTGTAGGGTTTGATTAATTTAATCAGAACTTGTGTTCTGATGTTTCTTAATAGATCTGGAAGCAGATTTAAATTAATTTCAAATTAACATATACATCATCCACTTGAGAAAAATCATAAGAAATCAATACATAAAAATACGTCACATATACATATATACCTTCGATATGTTCACGAATGAAAGGATCATCCATAATATTCTGCCTATTTTGTTTTAAGATATACTCGAAATCATTAATATCATTATTTTGATAAGCCGTGACCAGATTTGTCATTGCTAATATTTCTGGATCATTTTTGTAGGGTTTGGCTTCCTGAGAGTCAAATGGATTAATTCCCGATTTCATTAACCTGAAAAGTACCATGAAAACAAAATATTTTATCTGGGATAGGCAACCTTTTTTTATACAGCAAAGATCACGACGCTGACTACGAGTTACTCAATTAAATTCATCGTCAATAATTTCAATTTGCTCTATTGTTAATATCAATTGATTATGAGTGTCCATAAAAATTCCCTCATGCGGCAATTCTGCTATTTTTAATTAATATGACATTTAATAGAAGTCGCCGTGGATTTGCTCCCTCGCTTTTTACAAAAGCCATCAGAACTTTATGAACAGGAATTTTTGGTTTTTGCTCTTTAACAAACTTTCACGTAGCAGATAAAACACTTTCGTAATTCAGCGTTTGTCAGTGACTGTATTACTAGTAAGGTTTTTCCAATAGTCCAGCTATATTTTATTCGTCGAGACAGCACTACAATTTTTAATAAAAAAACAATTTCTATATTGTTCGGTGCCATTCATTCAATTATTTGCCGCTGCGTTTTTAAAATCCAAATTTTTCCAGTGTGAGTTGCTTTTTAAGTTCTAATGCGTTTTTTCCAATTTTTAACAGAACCTGTTTGTAGTACTAGTTGATGTCTCCGTTATTTGAATTTATTTTTAGTGAATTAACATTTTATACGATTATTACAAGAATCGCAGTTGCTGTTTACGGTTGTTAAATCGCCATGAAAATGAAAAAAATGTTTGCGTAAAAACTACCAAATCTATAAAATTTTGAATCGGAATTGGAATGAAGGCAGCTAAAGAGTTTTAGTTAGAACCTCCTGAGATGCATTTTAGAGACTAGTTGCAAAAATATTGGGAAAAGCACATAATGTTACGCGGAAAAAGCATAAACATTTCCCCAAAATAGTCGTTGTGATGAATGATCGGCAAAATATAAAATTTATTTTAAGTTTTGTCTATGACATACGTTAATAACATCAAATTTTCGCCTCGCTCGGTGGACAAATAATTTAAAAAAACGACAATAATTGCATCACTGTCAAAAAGCTTGCTTCAACAGGCTATACCTCTAATGGGCCATGTACGTGAATTCCGAATCACCGCCTTATTAAGATTACAAAATAACCAAAATAAATAATTAATTACTTACATATTTGCTAAGACTAGATATTTCAGGCAAGTTGTTCGCCTAGGACTTCCTGACTCATCATAGTTTTTAAATGCTTCAAAAAAGTCGGTGTGAGCTTTTTCAAATTCCCCTTCTCTCAAGTGCATTTTGCCCCCACATTCTTTAATAAAATTTTAAAAATCAACATTGAGAATGATTTTAGCAAATCACTCTGTTTACCTCTAATGACGCCCATAATCAATGGATGAGGAATCGCCGACTTAATGTGCAAAGATTGTTCATACAGAGCTTTCAGTTTCTTGTTGTTTTTCTGAGTAGTATACATTTGAATTTCCAAGGCATAAATTTCTAAGAGTTGAGTGCCTTTCTTCAAGTCGTCTTCTCCGTCATCGGTTCGACAAGATTGGTGTAACTGCTTAAGTATTTTTCCTAATTTATTAAAGTCTCCTCTATCATAATACAGCTTTCCAAGTTTGGTGTTAGTTTTAAACCATAGCCTATCATTCTTGGCATCTTTTAAAGCTTCTAGTGTAGTTTCGTAGAAATTCTGCAGCAATTCCATCTAGAAGCAAATAAGAATGCCATAAAACGGTATATAATGTAAGCAAGCAGCAAACCACTTACATTTCTGGAAGTTGAAATGTAGTCCAAAATGGAGTTGATAGATTTTTCACTATGATTTCTGGTTACTGCACTTTTGATGTACGTTAAGAGTTGTTTATAACGTCTCATCATCTCGTCGTAATTTGATAAACGAAAGTTTATCTTAATCATTTGCTTCAAAGCTTTGAAACCCCATTCGCCCTTCTCTCCACCCTCTAGATCTAATACTTTCTGAAATGATGTTAAAGCAGCTCTCGGTTCCTCTTCTTTGAGAGCTTTGCTGTTATAGTATTGGTTCTCCAGATCAACATCGGGTTCAGAGTTACTGTCTTCTGAGTATTCCTGTAATGATCAATCAATTATTTACAAATGGAATATCTGGTCAATAAAAGTTAGGTTAGATTGATTTTTTTGGTCCTTGAGGTAATTTACTTACCAAGCCGTAATCTTCTTCATCATCACACATAAAATCGTCGTCAGACATCTTATGCAGTTACAGTTCACCTGCAGTTCGGTATTATGCGTGCACTTTCCTTTACACAAAAAATAAAGTTCTTAAAAATAATACAGATGTGACTGAACACTGAAACCACCACAACTGCCCTTAGCATTAACAGGAACGAAATGGAGCTGTCAAATCATCGCCGGACGGCACAATCAAACAATGATAATTCACTACTAAGTTACTAAAAACAACAGAAATATTGCAAAATACACTCTCAAATTAATATCCAACTTTTCTTCAAATAAAAGCCGATCGCTATTTACACCGATTATTTACTACTATAAATTAGGGATTTAATTAAATACTGTCTCTTGCTCCGTTTCCCGGTGTCTAACGCAAAGTAAAAACTAAGCGAAGTTTCATGTAGGTAGTTACTATGCATAATATTTTAATATAAACCTGATGTAGGAAAATTGTATTTCTAGAAGCATTAAATTTTCACATTCTATTAATAAGTACATGGAACCGTCGAAAACTTACCCTTTGTTTCGTCAGATGATGAATCTAGTAACAACAAACTTCATAACACTTATCTCTTTTTTAGCACATGACTTGATAAATAACGTATGTACAAAAAACCCTACCGGTTAGACGCCACAGTCTAGTGTGCGCATTTTTTCAGTGCATTGGAACGAGATAGCATTATAAATCATCTAAAGTCCTAATCTATCTCTTCGCCTCGCTGATTTTGCAGTTTTGTGCTTTGACTTAAGTGATGAATAATTAATCAAATTTATTAAATTCCGTATTAACAGGGAATTTAAGAGTTTTCAAAATTTACTACTGCCTTTTTCACTTAAATTAGTAATTGAGCAGTTTATGTCAATATCAACGTTTTATAAAAAAAAAACACCTCAATATATGTGAATAGTTATATTGACTTGGAAAAAAGTTAAATATGTATGAATGTACACGTCCATCATCCATCCTTGTCAGTGTGGAAGATGGAAAATCTAACCTAAAACCTTTTGTTATGTCATCACTGTTATAAGGTAAATGGAGCACCTTTTTAAATTTATACGTATTTTGTACGAATTTTTCCATTTTTTTTGCTTTAGCACCTGCACTCACCTAGTGAAAGATGGCTTTACGTTTCGTTCAACAATGTCCCATCAAATGGGCAAGCAAATTGGCCAGGGTTAGTAATTATAGTCAAATAAGCTAAGCTATCAAATTCACAACAAACAAATTGGTAATTTTTGGGACCCTTTGCGCTATTTAACAAATCGCGGTTATTTGGAGATAGCTGCAAGATTTCGTAAAAATTCTAAGCCGTTTATTTGAAAATGAAAATGGACAAATTATTATGATTTAAAGTGGGAGGGCGACAACCTATTTCTTTCGTCGTTCCATAAGTTGCCCTTAACACAAAATAAACGCTCGACGTATGCATTGTTAGTTACTACGCAAGCAACAAAGCGCTGCTGCTGTGCCACTTTTTGCTAATGGTACCCCATAGTCTTTCCTTTTACAAGTGTATGTAAACAACACGAAAATATAAATTGATTCTAGATAACTATATTATATTATTATAATTGCTTTTCCAGGGCTCGAAATCTCCGTTTTATTCAGTTGAAATTTTTAGATCTGCTGTTAATTAAGCCCGTTTTGAAGTGCAGATTGTGAAGCGTGCCGAAAAATGAACTTTCTGGGATACACCCAGCTGGAGCTTCGGCGTTTCAATGTACTTGCGATTTCTTAAATCTGCGTTAGAAATATCTGTCTTTTTCATCTGAAATATCAAAGTGTGGGAGGTTTCGATAAATGAACTGTCCGGGATAAATCTCGCTGGAGCTTCGGCGTTCCCTTGAACTTACGATATCTGAAACCTGCGTATGAATGCTCAACATATCTGCGATTTTTTCAGTTTTTTTGAAATTTGAAAATCGTCTCCTTATTCAGATCGTTTTGACATGGAGAATGTAGAGGGTTTCTATAAACGAACTTTGCCAGAAAAATCGCATGTAGTTGCAGTATCGTTAGGAATTTAGGAAAAGTGCGTTTGGAAGTTCGAAATATGCGCTTCATTGCTAATCTGTGTAATGCGTCTTAAAAACCAACTTTCGCTGAAAAATCGAGCTGTAGCTGCTTGTGTAGCACCGTAACCATTACGGCGCTTTAAGGAACTTTCGCTGTCTGAAAAGTATCTAGGGTCACAGTTTTTAAACCGATTAAATCTTTATTCGATTGACACAATATTTCTGATTCGGGTTTATCAAAGGAAACTTAATAATCCGTAACCAGATATTTTGGTAAGTTATGATATAAATTGATTCCAGGCTCAGTCTACTCTCTCAGCTTTTGAGATACAACACAAGACTCCCTTAATTAAAAAGCAAAGCCCCATCCCTATTGCTATGTATGGGGGTAGGCATGCAGTAACAATGCTGCCTGGTGGCGGAATAGGGCCAGAATTAATGGAATATGTTCGTGAAGTGTTCAAATATGCTGGCGCTCCTGTGGACTTTGAGGTGATTGATATCGACCCCCGTTCAGAAGAAAGTGATGCTTTTGACTATGCTATCACATCTATTAAACGAAACGGCGTTGGAATTAAGGGTGCTAATTTTCGTGAAGCACACAATTTCAATTAATAACATGGAGTTTTTTTTATAGGAAATATCGAAACTAAGAGTGAAAGTGCCGCAATCACATCTAGAAATGTCGCTTTGAGAAATGAACTGGATTTGTTTGTTAATATACTTCATTGTAAATCATTCCCTGGTGTACCAGCAAGACAGAAAGATATTGATATTGTTATTATCCGACAAAACACTGAAGGAGAATATGCAATGCTAGAACACGAGGTAAAATAGAAATTTATTAAAGTGGGCATGAGTCGAATGTGAAATATTTTAATTTTTCATTCAACGTGCTTGAATATGTTCTAGAGTGTTGATGGCGTGGTAGAAAGCATGAAGATTGTCACAGAATCTAACTCTGATAGAGTAGCAAGATATGCCTTCGAATTTGCCAAGCGAACTGGACGAAAGAAGATCACCACCATACACAAAGCCAATATTATGTAAGTTTTATATTTAAACAACCAAACCTCGTCGAAAAAAATGATAACTAAACCGTAAGTAAAGAAATTTGATTATGTGCATTGATAGTTAACTAAAACCTTTGGACTTTAAAGGGGTAGATGTGTAATCTAAGGTCAAACCCTGGTTTATTTTATGAAAAAAAAATTATTAATCCATAGGAAATTATCAGATGGGCTTTTCCTGGAAACGTCAAAGAAAATTGCGAAAGAATACCCTGAAATTGAACATAATGACATGATCATAGACAACTGCTGTATGCAGCTGGTATCAAAACCGCATCAGTTTGATGTAATGATCATGACTAATTTATACGGAAGTATTGTTTCCAATGTTCTGTGTGGACTCATTGGAGGCGCAGGTATTTTATCTGGAAAAAATTATGGAGACCATGTAAGCACTTTTTTAAATTATGTCAGTGTTATATACGATTATATGTCGATATTTTCAATTTCAGTATGCTATTTTTGAACCTGGAACCCGTAATACTGGCACAGCTATCGCAGGCAAAAACATTGCCAATCCTTTGGCAATGCTGAATGCTTCAGTAGATATGCTGAATCATTTGGGTCACAAAGAACATGCAGATTTAATTATGAACGCTATGCTTAAAACTGTATCTGAGGATCACTTACTTACCCCTGGTACTTGAACTTACACTCTATAATTATTAATAAGGTATTAATTATTTATTGGTTTCAGATTTAGGAGGAAGTGCAAGTAGTACTGAGATAGTCCAAAAAATTATTGATCACATATTGCAAGCCGACATCCGGCCATGGTAATTTTTTGATTGTGGTGATGGCATGACTCTGACTAACTTGCCACATACTCACACTCATTTTACCTATCGAACTTCACAAATCACTAATGTTTCAGTGTGACATGGAATTGCTCTAACAAATGCACTTGAGTTGTATCTCATAACTTGCTATTTATCTTTTCCTTAACAGTATTACTCAAACTAGTTGATCGAAATACTTACTATTTTTTCTTTTCTTTTACAGAGAATCTATCTACGAAATCTCTTATTAAGGTTCATCTCTTTTTTCAAGTTAAAATATCTATTTATTGTGTAAATATTAAGCAAAGCTAGGCTAAGCTTTAATATATGTAATATGTTCAATAAACTGTTTACGTTTTGAGTTGTGTCTCAATTAGACTCAATACAGCTATCTATGAAAGAAAAGTCGTCGATATGAAAGAATATTTTATTATGAAACTTTACTAACAAACAAACTGCAGTGAGGACATTTAAAAGATTCAGAGATTTGAAAGGTTACCAAAATGTTTTATAAAATAATTTCAATTGATCTATATTACATCCAGAACAGGAAAATTGCTCAAGACCAACTATATACAGTCAAATAAAATCAGACTAGATGTTCCTTAGCCTCAAGCTAGTGAAAGTAGTTGAATAAATATCGAACCAAATATTAACTATAAATAAAACTTCCAGACAGCTTTAGGCAACGTAGTTGTATTGGATAGGGTTGTCCTTGTCCCTTTCCATGTAATCACGGTCGATTAAGGATTCGATGCGCTTTTTCAGATCAGCGGGCTTTAAAAAACAGTATATTTTTAAATTTCCTTGATCACCAAATGGTCTTACCTTAACGGGAAACTTTAACTGAATATAAAGCTCACTAATCAGTAAATTATGGCTAAGAGTTTTTCTCATCTTCATTATTCTCACTATAGCAGCATCAATTTGGTATTGCCTATCCTGGAATACTCTCTCCTCAGTGGCTTTTTGTTCTTCAGTCTGGAAAAAACATTTTATTCCCTCATTTTCATCAAATATAAAATCCACTTACCGTTTCCTTCATTTGAATCTGATTGATTTTGATTCGGAACAATTTATTAGTAAATTCATCGTTAAAGCGAAAACGATCGTCATCTTGCACGTCCCTTCCTTTCGGTATCTTTATCAACACCCTGGCCTAAAAAGTATCAATTATCTTTGCACCTCCATAAAACATTTACAAATATATATATATTAAAAGCTGTAAACTGCAAAATGTCCAAGAATTTTCCTGGGTATTTAGAGAAGCAATAGGTTCATGAGTCCCATTCGAGCAACGAAGAAATTCACTAGAATTCTTTGAGCAAAAAAGTACCACTTTAACGATCCAGCGAAATAACAAGTCATAGCTCACCTTTCCACAAGCTAAAGATTGAAGAGTTCTTCTTAGTTCCCCATCTTCTATATTTGTCACTTCTTTGATATAGTCGAAGGCTAATTCGTAGCAATCATTAAATAAAATGAGGACTAAAGTTTGAAAAAGGGAAACAACTAACTCTTTTGACCCCAGTTTAAATGAGGCTTTGAGAACGCAATGGCCCAATGTGGGTTGCCATTGTAATTTGCGACCACTGTGTTTGCTGAGGTAAAAATCCTATTAAAGAAAGAGGTTTGCAATTAATTAATACAGAAAAAAAACCGCTCGATTTTACCTTAAAGACATCCTGTAGTCTAACCATTTGATCAGGCAAAGTCACTTCCATGGGTTGATAAGTTGGCCAATATCCCATTGTTAAAATGCTGACCGTCATTTCAATTTGCGGTAGATCTCTGCTGTTAACAGTTAGATGTTGCTTAAAGGCTTGATTTATGTCTTTACTCAGTTCCATATCTTTAAACATTCCCTCCAACTTAGATGTAAATCCACCTCCACATTCTTGTTTTAGTTTACTGAGCATACTTTTTTCTGCATCAACACTGGCTGACTTACCAACTAATAAACGTTTAGCAAGATCCTGAAATAAATGCGTCAAATAATAGCATATATTTCATTTAACACTGCACAGGGAAAAATACCTTTTTATAAAATGCTTCAAAAACGTCTTTTCCATGTATAAATCTAAATAGAACCATTATTTTATCTAATAAACGCTCCAGTTCTTCTTCAGTTGCCTCTTTATTACCTGCTCGCAGTTTTGAATCGACAAATTTCGCTAAAGTGTAATAAGACAATTAGCATTCATTTATTTCGGTCTTATAAAATATACGGAGTGTCTCGAAGCACAACTTAGAATGAAACTTTTTTTGGTGCACCGCTAGGAAAGCTCAAATTCCGGGGCACAGTTCATTTATTTAAAACAATGCCCAGCAAGAAAAAAGAAACGTGTCCTTGTTATTGCATAAAATGAAGTATCTTGTTATTTTGCATGGGCGTTTTTTCAACATTTGTTTGTACAAAGTGACAGAATAAAATTAACAAAAGCCTTTTAAAAGCGTTTATCTGGGACAACTTTAAAAATTATTGGAAAAATAAAATAGTTTTTTATATAATTAACAGTAAACAAGCTTGTATTAGACAAAACCAAAACATTATTTTTATACGAATTATTTTAAGTCGTAAAATTATTTCAACATTTTAAAAATATTTAGAAAACAATAAAACGCCCATACAAAACATCACTACATCTAGCTGCAGATGGTATTTCACAAGAACACCCTAGCTAATAGCATTAAAGAAATAATTAAAAAATAATCTATTGGCGTAGAAACGCTAAAAATAAATTGACCGCAACCAGCAAGTATATGCGTTGCAAGATGAGAAAAATTAGAACGTTCTAGCATAGCTATTTGTCACCATTTGTAAGCATGCTGCTGAAGTAAACAATTATTCAGGTAGTTGAAATATTTTGTTTTATTTCCCCTGTTTTCCATAAGGTTTCTCCTTTCGGCCTCATGTTCAAAGTATTTTTTCCGTTTTTCATTGCTTTATAATTTCTTTAAGTTATATATATTTTCCATTAAAAAAAAACAGTTGCTAAACTACTTTATTTGAATAGCGGTTTTGTGCCTCGACAACCATGCACTTTCTTGGTTCAATTAGTCGTCGAAGACATACAATGTGTTTTTTCAAATCGCAACAAAATTTTATCTGTTAACTTATTAAAGTCTAACATTCTATTCGCATTATTCAGAAAAAACTTGATTTATACTATTAATGAATGTGAAGAAATAATTGTTAACTATATAAGCCGAATGAGTTTGTCTAGATGCCGATGAATATCTAACAGAACAAACGTGCGAACAAATTATGTCTGTAGGTTTGTAGTCAAATCTCACTTTAAGCGAAAAAGACTGCTCTAAGAAACGAAGTCTTTGTAATGGGCATTAGTTTAGAACTGACGGAGAAGAGAAAGATCAAAATCTAAAACATGTGGTATCCAATATCACGACTATCTGCCTAAATTATTATTAAATATTATAAGTCAAATCTTATTTACTAATGGAAGCGTCCTTTGGTGCAACGGAAACAATTCACAACATTAAAATATGGACTAGCGACGTAATTCTACAGTTCAAAAATCAGCGGCGCGAAAAAGTAATGTTTGTGTGGGAAATTTCAGTCCAATTTTTATAGAATATCCGCTTACAACTGCAAAGTACTTATGTGAAAGTAATGACAACTTAAGTGATGATGATAAACAAAGTAATTCTTCAACATTATGGAGCTCCGGCCCATAGTGCCGCATTTTTGGCTACATTTTCAAGCTTCCGGAGAAGTTAATTGAATGTTATAGACCTTCTAAATGGTTAGCGCACAGTGCAGACATCTCGGCTTTTTTTTTAAATTACTGTTCTTGCTAATCCTTCACGAAAATTTCAGAGAAAAATCTAAATAATCGCATTAAAAAAAGCTCAAAGTATTTAGAGATTTTACTACCTTCCTCCACGTTGCATAGGTATGAAGCTGATACAACACGGTTCAATAAAATCGTATGTTTTGCGTCAAACAAGAGCATTGTATATTAAAATTATAGCAACACTTGAATTTTAAACAACTCGGAAGTGTCCAATTTTATCAACTGAGACGTGTATTATGCTTCCAAATAACAAATTTTTGCTGCTAATAGTAGGGCCACTCTATATATATATATATATATATGATGTAATAGACTTACCGATTAGTTCAGCTGGCTTGTTGGTTCGTTGATTGATGAAATTCTCAAATGCTTCCTTTAAAGAATTACCAAATCGTTCATGTTTATGGAAACAATTATTCACTACATTATCCATGGAATCCTTGAAGTCCAAAAGCTCTTGCACCATTGTTTTATCCTTTTCCGGATCAATGACTATAGTTCTTCCTTTCTTCTTAATGTAGGCATTGAATGCCGAACATAAATCAACTAAGCCGTTTTTAACACGACTTAGAAGATTAAATAAAAGGGACAAGTCTTCCAATCGAAATTCACATAAAAGTTGATCGAGCCCTTTTTGTAAAATTTGAGTTACATGCTCTCGTAATAATTGCTTTTCTACTGTGTGTATCAACTGATATTTCGTGGCAGGATCCAAGTAATGGATAACTCTTTCATTTTCTTCAGTAATACGTTTGTCTACGTGCGCTAGATAATCTGGCACTTCTAGTTCTTGCATTAGACGTTGTCCTTCAGCTGCGTAAAGCCTTTCTGTAGCTTGTAAAAATTTCTGCTCAAAAGCTTTATCGTAAATTTGAAGATCAGTGAGCATTCTGAGTAAGGATTTTAGTAGAGTGCGATCAACCTGAAAGATAACATCCACAAATAAAAATAAATTCGTTTTATTAATGTCTTACTTGATTTATTACCTGATCTCCTTGTCTTTCCTTTTCGATGAGCATTAAAAGACCTTCAACAACACGAGTTTGAACTAGAGTATTGAGAAGAATATATTTGCTAAAGAGCTCTAGGCCCATATCCCAAATTGAAGAAATATGATTCTGGAGAATATAAGTTCTGTCTAGATATAAAAATATGCTGCGAACCATGATCATTTGATTGCAGTGAGCTTGCCAGGTATCACTCATTTTCTTTAGAAACAAATAACGATCCATTGATTCAGTCAAAAACTGTTCAATGTTATGGGCAACATACTGTTCAGTGAGGCTATAGAGCTTCTGATACAATAAAAAAGCCATCTTATGATTGCACATATTCTCTACAGCTTGATACAATTCTTCTAGTGAATATTCATTGGGTTTGGATTGCTGAATGGCCAATACAGCACTTTTCAACTTCTTCCATGTTTGCTCTCTATAATCATCAGGCAACTTCGGTTCACCTTAAATTGAATTTGTTATAAGTGAACTTGCCAAAAGCCCCTAAATATGACGGTTAGTAGGTCGGTAGTTTCTAGACTTACTTTTCAGATTTTTTATGACCAACTTTTTAGCTGCTGTGGGTTTAATGTTAAGGGCATTGTGGCTTCTATTGTTGACATTTTCCGGCAAATTGGAAAAATTTGGTCTACGATTTGTTGTATCACTCATTCTTAAGATAATTTTCTTCAGGACAGACCTGACTTTCAACTTGACATGGAAATACCAGTTCCAACTAAAGTAGAGTGTTCACTATAACTTAACTATCTCACTATGATTCTCTGGCACTTGTTGAAAATGGACATGGTAAATTCAGATCATAAATTAGATGGTAAAGAAACCAAGACTATTCACCACATACGACTTCATTAAATATCTTGCATATTGTTTGAATCACGCTAATTAATCTGTTTATTCTTTTGTTGTAATTGTTAAGAGTGACAGAAAACAACTGTCGGACGTATGTCGTGGTTTACGTGCGACATTTAACAAGAACCAATCTCGCTTAAAACGTCCGGAGAATATAACCAAACAAATGGAAGAAAATACTTCGGAATTTGTATTTCCACTATATATGTACTTTGGTTTATAATCAGTACAGCGTAACTACCTAATGGCAATGAATTGTATCAAATTTAACACATTGAACAACTCCTAATAATAATGAGTGTTAATTTGTATACAGGGTGTTCCATAAATATGGTAGGGCATATAAAACAAGATTTTTTCTCCATAAAGAAGTTCCCACATGCACAGCTTTTTGGATATATAAGGTGCACGATGTATTTTATTATTTCGGCTTGATGATAATCAATAAATTGCTAATTAAAAAGTTTGATAGAAATGCTGAAGCATTTGGTAACACTGCTTAATTGTGTTTCATAAAACCGATCATCACAGTTTAATTCTGAGCCTGCATTAATCTGTAGGTTTATTAACAGGTATGTTTTCGAAAATGGTTTAATTAGTTCTGCTATTTTGATCGAGTTTCCACCCCATAATTTCGGGCGGCCAAAGAAAAAGCAGTTGTATAGGGTTAGTGACAAAACTGTCAAAAGCGCGCCGATTCAAAGTTAGATTCTCGATGCAGATAAATGTATTATTCTATAAAAATCTGCCATTCTCTCACTCAAATTAGAGATTCTGCCTCGGTAATAATCGTATAGTTCTTTTCAGCGGGAGTCTGCACCAAGTACGACCTGAATTCTGAACTTGTCACTAAATAACGAATCTGTCTTGGCGCTACGAAACAAATGACGATCGCATTGTTAGACATTGTTAGCATAGCCTGGTACTCTTCATTTTCCAGTGCTTGATTATATTAATAGAAAATTATTTAAAAATTAAATGATTAAAGCAATTTGCCTAGCACTGCTAATGGATTAAACAATTTCAAAATAAAAATAATCTTTAAATTGATCCCTTTGTGGGTGGTGTTATAGCAGTTGTGGCACTGGCTAAATACCGAAGTATACAGTCTGAATAGTAATGCTGTTACAGTAGCGTGACGTCTATCACGAGTAGTATCCAACGTATATTTTAAAGGCGCCAGTGGCTTTAATATCGAAATATTGAAATTATTTTTTTGCACAGACAAAAGTGGTGAAAATATGATATGGTATAGAAATCGAAATAAAAATATAGTGTTCTGATAAAAAAATAATATGGACCCAAATAACATATAGCTGAAAGTTATGTTGCCGACATAAAAACTAACTATGCATAATTCTTAGTGGGGTTATCTCCGTTAAAACTCAATAGTTGTACGTATTTTATTGATCTTTTTGTAGTATTTAAGAAAAATTTGGCAAAGTTTAAAAATTGTCTATTACATGGACTTTCTACATTAAAAGGACACTGCATTTTTTGGATTCCATGTTTGACTAGGAAGGATTTTCGGGCACAATTTATATTCCAAATTTTCCGAAATATAAGATATAAAAAAATGCAACTTTGAACGGATATATTAGAGAAGCTTGATATACTTGAGACAAGTGTGGATTATATCAGATTATGTACCTGTCTTTATCTATATATCTCCCTATTATATGGCAACAATGCAAATGCAATGTCAACTCGTCAATTATTTGATTCATGGAATATTAGGTTCCTTGTTTTGTGGGTGTTAAAAAAATTGTGATAGTTTTTACTAAATAGTGTTTGAATCTTTGGAAGTTCAAGCGTTGTGTGGCCCGCAAAATTGGCAGCTGATTGCCCGATCCTTACCATCGTTAATATGAAAACCTCTGGAAATTAGGATCCTGGTTGTTTATTTACTATTTCACTATAATAACAATTCATTCATAAAGTACTACCAAGATATTTTTGTTGCCATCAGAGAACTCAGCAATCTCCTAATGTCAATCACAACCAGGTGAGATTAGATTTGTATCCCAATCATGCGGTTAATTGCACTGCAAACATTTGGTGGCTGAGAGAGATGATGCATCATTCTGCACAAAAACCTTTTAGAACCTATTCTTAAAATATTGCACTAGCAATAGGAGAGATCCCAAAATGGACATGGGGGTTCGTAAACTGCCCAAAAAGCGAAAATTTGATCCTTCAGAATTAGATGAAGGTGGACAACCTAACAGTTGCATAGCAGTCTCAGTAGTTCAAACCTTACCAAATGTTACAACTACTGAGTATCCTTATAATCAACAAAAAGTACCTCCTGCACCTCCACCTGTTGACCTTAGTGAATGGTGCGATCATAGAGTGTTAGCTAAGCAAGGTGATTGGTATCTTCCCGGCGTAATTAGGGACGCAGGAGTAGATTCCGTAAGTAGTATTTATTCTCATACTACAGCTCACGTTTTTTAAATCAATTTTATTCTAGATTACAGTAGTTCTCGATGAGAAAGGGGAGCGAAAACGATATGAAAATGTGTTTGACAGTGATTGTTACAATGTTATTGGTGATGCCAGCCCCTCAGTAAATCAAATAACTTTGGGTACCAGAGTTTGCGTCCGGCAGAACCAGAGTATATTTGTTGAAGGCATAGTATGCACAATTCTGGATGGTCAGCCAATACGGTTTGTAGTCGCAGTAATTGGTAAGTGGAAGTTACAACATGCATTACCAAGTTAATATAATATGTATTATCATAAGGAAAACGGACCCAACTGAAAAAACTAGTTTTTAGAAATTTTTGCACTTATATATTTCAATATGCCCATCCTGGTTTTTAATTAGTGTGTTCAACTTAGACATGCAGATATAAACATTTCATAGGTGTTAAGTAACTTGAGTACTATTCAAAATTTGAAACATAAAAGAACTTTGATTTTAAAGCAGATCGGACCGTTTTTTTAGTAATCGTCATAATCCAACCAACAATTTATGCTAACATTTACTACTGCATACTAATATATTTGTACTCGCATGTATTATTATAAAATCAAAAAGCACTCACAAATTTATTATATAAGTAATTTAATCACGTTTTGAACAACAAAGTGAAATCTTATAGTTTCATCTTGCTGCGAAACTACCACCAAGACAAAATTAGAGTGTCCAAAAAATGTGTTTGTTAATGTCGTAAGAATGTATATATGTGATTTCGTAAAAACCCGAGAAATGAAAATTAAACTTCTTCGGGTGTATCGTTTGCAACCGATAAATTTTGCTAAAAAAGAATACGATTTACAGGCATGTGGGTGAAGGGAAAACCACCCTCTTGATTTCTAATTTCTACTTTCCTTTTGAGGAAAATATTAGATAACCCTTCGACATAATTCTCCATACTTATGTGTACTTCCTCATTACTGCCCCGGACTAATTTCAGAAATGTTTCCTTCATTTTCATGTTGCGTAAGTAACGAAGTAAACGATAATCAATGCTGCCTCGGGATTGCTGAAAAACACTCAAATTGTTTTCATACGCGAGATATTACTAATATTGCTTATTTACTAATCGATATAATTCGAATTAAAACAGCTAGTCATTGTTAACTGAATACAACAGCAATCTGAATACGGACGATCGCATCAAAGTGTACAATATTAGCTGACCGAATGAGATAAAATGTTTAACTTTTGTTGGAAATTGGATTACATGTTCATAAGATTAGGGTTAAAAATACGAAAGTATTTAATTAAATGGGTTAATAGTTAACAAGTCCCGCCTGCAGTAGCGGATAAAAGTTTTCGAAGTTCAACTTTTTAATATACAGGGTGTCCCGTAAGCTCATGATCAAAAGGGTACTTCGATATTCTTTGGACCAAAAGAAGACGATCTGACCCAACTTTTATTAACAAAAAATGTCTGGCTCCTCTGCTATTGATGGTCAAAGTTCTTCAAAAAATTTATCTTTTTTGAAATATCGGGAGAATGGTACGATGTATTTCAGTGAAACTCGCTGTGAATTTGTTCTTATGTAAGACTCATATTTTGATGAAACAATCGAGTTCAGCCGTTTTGGACAAGTGGTTAATTCTTGAAGCAGAAGGAGCCAGACATTTTTTGTTATTAAAAGTTAGATCGTCTTCTTTTGGTTCAAAGAATATCGCAGTACCCTTTTGATCATGAGCTTACGGGACACCCTGTATATATAATATAAAACATCTTTATTTCCTTAGAAAAAGGCTATCGACCACATGGTATTTCTGCCCTTGAATTTACAATTCCTTTTTTTTTTTTTAATTAAACGCTGAAACTAGACTGTAATAATAAACTTCACTTGGTGGGTTAGTTGTGACGTTTGTAGATCTTCGGTGTTGTGGTTGTCGGAGAACTGAAACGAGATTGTCTTATTGGACTTATGAGGTAGAGAAGGTTCATTGTAGCCCAGTTATACGAGTTGTTTTTCCATTTCGTTTCAATTCGTTTTAGTCTGTCTGTTATTTTTACCAAGTTATAGTTACACTACTAGTCTTAGCGCAATTTGCTCTGTTGTTTGTATATGTCGCTTTGTTCTTTCCGATCCGTTTACCATGATTGTATGTCCGTAGTCTAAGAGAGGTCTGCTTTGTCTTTGTATGTTAGTGAACGGAAGTGTTTTGTTCTGATAATTCGTGTGTGTTTGGTGAATTCGAGTTTTTGGTCAATGTGATTCCTAGGTATTTTACGTCGTTTCTTAGGTCTGTTGTTTGACCGTCTGCAATGATTGTAGGTGAGTCGGCGTTAAGTCTATGGTTGGTGAGCAGAAGTTGATTTTTTGAAGAGTTTGGTGTTAATCTCATTGTAATCATTTATACAACCATAACATTGTATTGTTCGTTAGTGTTTGAAGTGTTTGAGTTGCCGTTTCCGGAGTTTTCGTTCGAGTCGAATACTTCTTCTTCGCGTAAAACGGACAAAATCCGTCAATTCTGTTATCAGCCTTCCTGTGATCCCGATGTCCAGCTTTCATACCAGCGTTTTGGGGGCCTGCCAGCTGAACGCCTTATTTCTGGTTTTTGTGTTTTGGCCCACTTTGCAATTCGGTCTCGACTCATTCGTTCTATGTGGTCTCTCCAACACTGGCGTCTGTTTCTCACCCATCTGACAACGTCCTGCACTCCCAGTTCTCTTCTGGTATTCTCGTTGGGTGTGCTGTCATGCAATGTGATTCCTTTTATTGTTCTTAAGATTTTCATCTCCGCTGTTTTCATTTTACTTTTGGTAACAGACGTTTCAGCTCTTGTCTCGGCGGCGTAGATCATTATAGGCCTGACGCAGGTCTTGCTCTCTGTGGTCATATATTTGTTCTTCCAAATTATATCTTGCAGACACCCTGATACTCTTACGACTTTTCTGATCTGACTGTCACCTCTGATCTGACATTCACTGTACTTCTACTGCTCGATACCTGTACCCCAGATAGTTGAAATTCATCACCTGATGTATAATGCGCTCACTCACCACCAACTTACATCGGATCGGATCTTTGGATTAAAATAATGTATTGGGTTAACCATAAAGACTAAAATTGAAATTTATCTACAAGGGCCTTTTTTACAATGAAGAAAACTTAAAAAAAATATCACTTTGCTTGCTCACTCACACAACTATCAAAAATGTCATCAACTTTTCTTAGCAGCAACATAGAATCGATTAAATCCATAATCATAAGTTATAGGGATTCTAGTCATTACCCGTAAAATAAATCACTGTTTTAGTTCTGAAGACTGAAGACGATGTAAAGCGTCTTTTTTGTCTGGCTAATCTGCGCTTTCAATAGTAAAAGCAAAGCCAATCGTTTGCTAGTTTTTGGTGAGCGGTTCGCTTCCGCCTTTTTCAATTGAATTGTTTGGCTCAAAATGATGCCTTGTATTGATTGCATCACCCCTTGATATTTTGAAATATTCATTTGTCTCCAGTAAAACACGAAAATTTAAATACTTCTTGCCGAAAAGCTGCCTTCCATTGCGTCTCCGTTTGATATCAATAATATCCTATTTGACGTTTATATCTTCATGGTTCGTTTTTGGTTCAAATTTCTTTATTTCAAAGCATGCTTCGTACTACATCTGTTTTGATATCAATAGACACATATCATTTCTCCTTCTACGCAAATGTGGAATTTACTATGGTGTTTTATCACTGATTCAAGGTCTATTTAAAAGTTAAGTCTCGTCTACAGCGACTAAAGATTTCATTCGTGGCGCTTAGAAAGCAATCATCTCACTTATCAACGCGGCTCTAAAAAAATTATGTCAATATTAGAAATATTAGAAGATAGACATACATCGGATTTAATAGCCAATCACATAAAGTACGAATATTGTTTTTGCTTAGGTGAGAAGTCTTATGAACTAAGAGTTAAAAGAGCTGATTTACGTCTATTGCGACCCCCATGGTGGGATGAACTCGAACACTTAGAATTATCGACAAATCAACAAAATGACTATGGTCGGTCATCAACAACTACTCTTCATACTCCTGTTAGTGCATGTACTCCATTGTCTAATGGAAGGATGTACGATGAGTTTTGTGAAAGTGAAGATGAGTTAAAACAAGAAGGTTTTAGCACTGAAGAAGCGAAACTTTCGGGGGGAAGCAAAAGAAGTAGCATGCACAGCAGAGGGTCATCATCTAGTAGTGTTACTCCAAGTCAACCGGCCACTCCGCACAAATACAAAAAGGTGTGTAGTTGACATGTGCGAATTTTATTTGGTTTTGTGTATTTTATTCCATATTTAATTTTTCATTATATAGGCAATATACAGGGTGATTCTAAATATCCGGTACAAACTATAGGAAAATAAGTTAGTTTATTCTATTACTAAAGAATCAAATATAATATACAGGATGTTCTATAGCTGGAGCAAAGGATAAAATTGGCTTGTTAACGCTTACAGGCGTATTAAACATAGACACAACACATTCACATATTTTCACATGTTGAATGTGTTAATACGGAAACTTTGAACCTTGGGTGGATAATTTTCTTGAAATGGCATGGTTTTTAAGTAAATTGCTATTTCGATTTGGAAAAGTCAGTAGTTGCCGAGCGATTTTAGGCCCAGCAGGCGTAATGAATTTATTCTGCGATATTTTGAAGAAATATTCTAAATGCTAAGTCCAAAAGTACGCCCTAGCGGAGCTAACGGCTATGTAATTTAGCAAATATTATTTTAAAACGCAAAAAAGTCAGTAAACTGCGAAGACTGCATCAAACTAATTATTATCGCTCATAAACTTCTGGCGAGGGATTTAGAACCAGCAATCGATTAGTAAAATTAGTTGCACTGTCGATTTGGTAGTTTATGGGAGAGTATACAAGCTCGCATTTTATTTGCATATATCTACATGTATATCTATCTTGCATCGAAAGTTATCTTTAGAAAGGATCCTATCTGTAAAAAAAATTTAACGTCCCCGGTATCTTTACTCTCTCAACAGAATTTTGAAATAGGTTAATAATAATTTTATTAATACTGTGAAGCCTAACATGCATACCAAGTTTCATTCCCCTACAGATTGTTAAGAAATTTAAAAATAAATAATTATAAGATTAAATCTTAGGAGAGTAAAAATAGTTTGGAGACGCGTTAGTGCGTTTTTAAGAGCCAATATTCTACTACAAAACACTTGTAGACTGTATTGTAATTTCGGTATGTTTTTAAATCGCGGATTAAATTCGGACCACTCTGTGTATATGGGTTCGTAAATGCTTCCCTTCTAGGGTGTGTTGAAATTTAAAGATTTTTTTCAGGTTTTCTAACACCACTCGGTGTGATATTTTTGGGGGACAAAATCAGTTTTCCGTTTGGATTACTAGTACTTTTTTCAAGCCGTTATCGAGAAAAAATTGAAACGAAAATATGCAGTATAGTGTTCACATGAAGGATTCCGTGTAATACGTAGTACTTGCTTACAATGCTTATAATGAGTAATTTTATTTTCATTAATTAATTTTCGGTAACGGTCGCAGATGCTAAAAAACAAAAAATGAAAAAGTTTGTAACAAATCGCGAAATTAATTATATATTTTTAGAGTCTACCAGCGGCTCACTTGAAAACATCTCTGAAAGGAAAAGCGAACATGACCCTTGAATAATTATCACTCCTTAGATTCTCCGAACCAATTCTACAAATTCTACACTGTAACTCAGGAGGTCACGTTTGAGCATAATATCTCAGAAACTGCATTTCTAAAGAAATAACTAAACAAATTACAAAATCTTGTAAATTTGAAGCGAACTACTTGCAGACCTATTTTCATATGATTTTTTTACCGTAAAATAAGCTAAATTATTACTCCCCTCCGTATGTACAGGGTGGCTCTTATTCTAGGCTTTACTTCACGAGTAAACAAATGTAAATGTCTAGTCGAACTTTTAGGATTTTTTTTAGAAGCGTTTCACATTTTATAATGAGATTCAACTATGCAGGGTCGCTAAAAATTGTATAGCAAAATTTTGTTATTTTAAATACAACACTTTATCTATGATTACATGGTTATTTACTTTTACAAGTTTATTACATTCCATTGAAAGAATAAAGGTCCTGTTTCAAACCGGACTCAATTCAGAGACAGTCAAGGATTTGATCGTTTGTCATTATTAAAATTATCTGAAAAACGATTGATTTTACTTAATTGGTTTATTGATTTTAAAGGTGTTATATTTTTAGCCCTTATATGGTGTCTCATTTAAAATAAGCCGAAAAATTGAGTCAAAAGTTATGTTATTTAGCAGGCTTAGAAGTTGAATAGCTCGTAACGTGGTTCTATAATTTTTTGAATGTTGTCTTCCGTTTTCACATTTTTCCACGATATGTTATATCAAAGGTTCACAGTTTCTATACTATGCCTTATTGCAGCTTATTTTGTATATATATTTGCTGTGGCATTTATTAATGTATTTATATATAGGGTGCTCTGTTTAAAAAAAAACAAAATTGATATGTTTTTTGGGACATAAGTTGAATCTAATTTTGGAGTGGCAGGACCTATTTGTTTCCTGGTAAGATTAAGTCTAGAATAATGTGGGTTACCCTGTACGTGATATTAAGGAACATCCTGCATATAAACATTTTCATTAGACCGTTAACGTTGGGAAAGTAAAAATATCTCTCTTCATTTTTAATCATCAAATTCTTGACAGTCCCGTTTTAACCAAGAGGTTAATTAAATTTATTCTGTCAGGGAGATGTTGTTTCTAATCCAAACGGTATTCGAAAAAAGTATAATGGAAAGCAGTGGCGTAGATTGTGTTCGAAGCCAAATTGCAATAAGGAGAGCCAGAGACGAGGCTACTGTTCTCGTCATTTGAGCCAGAAAGGGAATGGGCTTAGAGGAACATTTCCTAGAGCTGGGAGCAAGCAAGACGGTGAAGACACTTCCAGAGATTCTGAAACATCTCCGAATGCTCAAGATCGACGAGTAACTGGACGATTTGATCAAGAGGAAACTGACGTTGCAAATATGTTAGGTAAGTTATCTTACATTGTTTATTTGCAATTTGCATGGTGTTGATGAATATGTTTTTTTCAGTATCATTAGGAAGCTCACGGTCCGCAACTCCTGCTGCATTTTCCCCTGGTACGGCTGGCTCTCCAGTTGCCCGGCTTGGAGGAGTGCCGTCTCCCGTAACTGTAGGTCCTAGGCAGAACGTGTTTTTGCCGATCGGTGGTGGAGCTCCAGCCTATCCTCCCTACCATCAACCAGTAATAAGACCTGAATTGGTTCGACCAGTACAAACTGCTCAAAGCGTTATTCGAGTGTCTCCCAGGCCGAGGCCATGGGGCAACATTAACTCAATAGAAAATGCGCAAGCTTTACAACACAATTCCCCTGTTGAGGAGAGGGTTGTTACATTAGCTCCACATACTTCAGGTTAGTTACATCTTTACTTTCTGGCTTATACATGAGGTGTTTATACGCCACTAAGAAGCGCTACAGAGACGCCCGTGTGAAAAGGCGTTTAGACGCTGCGTCTAACCTTTAGAATGGCACAAGTTCCATCTTCAGCGACTGTCGCCCGCAGTCGCTAGTAGTGGCTACAAAAAGTCGCTCGTGCGCGACTGTGTTTAAAATAATTATTTCTATTTTGAGCGTTAAAACTGTCGCGCTACAAAAGTCGCTCGTCTGCGGGTGCCTTAAGAGTTAGAAATAAAAATAGTTTTCATTTTATTGAAGTCTTTTTGTTCACTAGATTTTACATATTTTATTAAGAAATTAACTTAGATAACGTAATGTCAACTAAAATTTTAGAGGGTTCTCTTGGGATGAAGGCAAAAAATAATCGAATTGTCGAAAGCTTGGTAGCTGAAAGGCGTTTCTATTTTCTTACCACTGCCCAGGCCGAATCCCCAAAACAACTAATTCCCATTTATTCCTGGGGGTATCAGCGCTAATGTATAATAAATTACTTCTAAGATATTTAGTAATGCCACTTATCCTGTTACTTTTGGTAGGGTCATTATACATAGTCCCTCAACACCAAGACCAGAAGAATTTGATTGTTATTAAGAACGTGATGAATGGCAGAATAGACGAAGCTAAATCTCCACAAAGACGAGTAAGTTGCAACATCGTAAATCATGTTTGCTTTTTACTACATTGCTGTTTTAATAAAGGTGATACAGAGTGATCACATGCGAAGCGCCCAACCGGCAGTAATTGTTCATCCGACTCAGCTTGTTCCAATTCTGCCTGCCGCTCCTCAATCTAGATCAGTACCTGCTGGTGTAATCGTTACCCCCGAACAAGCCATTGAGTCGTCATCTCCTCAGCAAACCACTTCCAATCTGATACAGTCTTCTCAAGTCGGTAGTCCCGCGTCTGCTTTTGCAGTGCCCTGGCACGCAATAGTTCCAATATTGTCCGGTGGCAGTGGAATACACGCTGGAACCATCTCTCCTAATAGCAATGATATATCTGAGACTGATATTGCTGATCATGAGGTGGTTCCAACTCCTCCCGACGACGAAGATGACGATGATGTCTTTGAATCTGAAAGCGGTGACAGTTCAGGAGGTATGGAAATCGGAAGGACTTCAACCACACCGCAGCGAAGAACCCAATCTATGAGCGCATTACATGGCAGAGATGCTAAGGTAAAAATTATATTTATTTTTTATATATAGGTTTTTCAGGGTGATATAAAATTGTGTTAACACTGTAGTCTTACAAGCAAAAATAATAAAAGCGATTCAGTCCGCAGCATCAGTTCAGTGTAAGTGTACCAACAAAAAAAGAGCAGTATTTCTTGCTGGAAATCGGCATTTATGAGCTTCGATAATTTTCTTAACTTTTAAATGGCAGTGCACATAATACAGCGCATCGGAACTTGTTAACAGTGAGGCAACCGGCGCGCCGCAAATTTTTTTTACTCTAAAATATTTTTAATTGTTGGCTGCTGACGAAAATATTTGGTGGATTTATTTTTTGGTGGATCAGTAATGTTCTGGGGAGGAATCTGCTTCATGGTCGCACAGATCTGGTCCCTATACGGAGAAGATCCATGAATTCGCATTTCTCCTTGGAAAACGTCTTAGAAGAACATGTGATGCCATTTGCACCATTTATCGGAAACAATTTCTTATTTATACAAGACGCTAGGCCCCACGTTGCTAGAGAGGTTGAGGTACTTAACTACCTTCGATCCGTGAATATTCCAACCATGAACTGGCCACCAAGGAGCCCAGATATGAATCCGATAGAGCATCATGGAATGCACTTAAACGATCAGTCAGACAACACATACCAGGTCTTGTGAATCTTAGGGAATGGGAAAATATTACCCAAGAGACTATTTAAAATTTGATTAACAGCATGCCCAGACGAATGGTAGCAGTAATAAGAGCTAGAGGAGGTCTACACATAAATTCGAATTCTTGATATTTAATTTAACTTTAAAAAGTTTTTTAAGCATTTTATTGTTAGGTTTTCATTGCACTTGACGTTATTGTTTTTTTTTCTGTTTTTAGTCGATTTTTTTTCAGATTCAACCTTTATAATTTGTCAAACATTTGTAGAAAACATTTTGTTACAATATCACGTTGGTTGTATGATTTCAACCTTTAAAAAAATAAAGGAAATACTGGACATTTTTTCTAATTTCCTTTTGATGCGTTAATTTTGTCCAGAGGTTTATATAATACAACGGGTCATATTTTTGTTTGGCTTTCGTCGACGTGTCTTGCAATTTCCCGAATATTTCTTGATGGATCTTCTAGGATAACACGAAATTCGAAAGACGATTATTCCGCTATTTGAACATTTTTACGTGGTCTACTTACATAAACTCCGCGATGTTCTCGCTAGTCCTAGTTACTATTGCTCTATGCACTAGATTGACTATATACGGGTCTGAAGGTAACTAAGAAAACATGCGGTTGCAGCATTTCGTTGACTGACTCCGTAACTCATCATTTTCATAAACATGCACCGTTTTTAGCATTAACATTTGATATTTGGAATAAGTTAAGTAAATAAATATAACGCTTACCTTTTTGAAGTCTATCACTTAAAAATCGCCTTGTATATGAGATGTTTTCATTTCAGAACAATAAGGAGAGGATACGAAGACCTATGAATGCCTTTATGATTTTCTCCAAGCGTCACAGGGGATTAGTTCATCAACGACATCCCAATCAAGACAATCGCACCGTGTCAAAAATCTTAGGTGAATGGTGGTACGCTTTGGGCCCAGTGGAAAAGAAAAAATATCACGAACTAGCCACTGAAGTCAAAGAAGCTCACTTTCGGGCGCATCCAGAATGGAAATGGTGAGTTCTCTATCATTAGATTTGTTTTTTAAAGTGATTGTATTTCGTAATTTAATTTAGGTGTAATAAGGATAGGAGGAAATCATCTACAGGATCCGGGAGGAGCAAATTGAGTTCAACAGGAGAATGCGATATTCCAGTTAGCCCTGGTCAGACTGAACGGCAGGTTGATGATGAAGACGACGATCACTTGGTTATTGCCGATCCCCTGAGTCTAGAAATTGACTTGAAATGTAAAGAAAAAGTTACTGATTCCGACTCTGAGTCTCATTATGAAGCTGATGGCCCTCCACAGTCAAGCGGCGCTTTCAATACAGCTACTGCCACTTCGTCGAACCATTTGTCATATTTTCAGCCACGAGGAAGCCATTTTAAAACAGTACCTTATTCTCCTCAATCAATTAAAACGGAAGACATACAATCTTCACAACCAAGTACACCAACAACGGCTTTTTCAACCGGTAAGGTAGTACACTCACAATAATTACAGTTTATAAGTGTTTACTGTTTTAGTTGGAAATGGATCATCACTGGCAATTTTAAAACCGGCAATGTCAGCTAAGGCTACATCGGACAATTATCAATCGCCGTTAACAGTTCTAATAGGGAATGGTACGAACTTATGCATCAGTGAAGCATCTTCAGATAGACAACCATTTGTTATGCAAGTTTCTTCCTCGGCTTCTTCAGATATGCCCTTACAGTGTGTTTATGTTCAACCGCCAACTTATGATCCTTCTCGCTTATCACTACAACTAATGCCTAAAGTCACGGCCTCTAGTGCTCCACCACATTCAGTAATCGTGAGCCAACCTTCCAGAGTTGTAGCCGCTGTTGATACGCCCAAAAGAGAACGTATGTCTTTAAAAACTTCCGGCGAACAAACGTGTTCCTACAGAAACATTTAACGTTTTCAGCTCTGTTCTACCAGAAATCTAAAGTTAAATGTCCGTCTCTAGAAGATGATACAAACGCCCAAGACGATGGTGGTGGTGAATTCAAATTGGCTCCTACCCCAGCCCAACTTGGTCGAGCACCTTTGCAAAGACGTCAATCCATGGCAGTTAGTATACCTTCACAAGGAAGTGCTGAGGGAAGCCCGGACCTGCAGTCGCCTTGTGCCAAGAAAAGTTTCTTCAAGCGAAATATTGAAGACGGAATGGACAAGTAAGTTGTATAACATTTTTTACGTTTGAAAAATTTTCAAATTATTAATGCTTTTAATTCGTGATTTAGAGCTTGATAAACTAAAGAGACTGTGGAATACATTCGGCCTTTAATGCATTTAAACTAGAATAATTGTTCCAATTTAGAGTGTTCTTTCAATCACAGGCTAATAGATGAGTGATTGCAGTGCTTTCTTTGATGATGATGATTTTTCTACTTGATGCAGAGGCGGATTGTCAGTCAATGCGAGCAAAATTAACTACAAATAGTTAAATCTTTAAAAAGTAACCTATTATTTAAATATGACCAAAACCATTAAAGTTCAAATTCCAACATACAGAGCACTTGGCATAGTGTTTTTTCCATTGCTGCGTTTAGGATTCCTGTGAGGGTTCTGTTTGTGAGTTATTTAACTAAAATCAGATAAAGCCACGAAAAATAAGTTAAATGAGTGTAATTTTTTCAACATACAAATTACGTGGATATGTAAAATTAATGTGTAAACTCCCTATACGGTGACGTGTTACATGCTTTACTGAAAACATAAACATGGCTTTTAAAATGTTATTTTTTGTGTTTTTTTAAAATAGAATGTCGTATTTTTTATTGCATATTCGGGCTATTCCTAAAAATATTCGGGTTATTCCTAAAATTCTAGGCCTATTCGATATAAATGTTCTCTATTGATTTTCAACTGTTTTTCAGTTAATGACCAATATTGATTCAACTTTTGGCCACGCTTTTTTATATCTAATTTGAAATTTAGAGAAGAATGTTGTCTACAAAAATTGTAGATATTTACGTCTAGTTTATTTTAGGATAATACCAATTTATACAGGGTGTATCAAATTCAAGTGGCAGATCAAACATACATTTTTTTAATTGGAATGCCGTACTTTCTATTGCATATGCGAGCTAATTTATATTTTAAATATATTTTTTATATGTTTGACAATATCCAATGCCAAACTTAATCTTTATTTTTGTTCTATTATAGTAATTCTTCTATAATAATTCTCAAAATCGATTCCCAAATTTTACTTGAATTTTCAAGGTTAACCTTTTATCCTGTTGCAATCGATTTCATTGAATTTTAAAGCTGCGTTGTTCCTCTATCGACCTATGTCATCGCCAGCTAATTGGAATAATTCTTAAAATTTTAAAAAAATTTGTTTACATAAAACATGGACAAGTGGAAAATTTGCGAAATTTTTTTCGATTCATTGGTCTGTTTAAAATCTGAAACTTATAGCTTTCCATTATGGTATTCAAAAATCATTAACCACATCTATTAGCTATGTTTCGGTCTAACTTGAATTCATTCATTATCATTTTCTGATTTTTGGAAAGCATTTCATTGCATTATATGGAGTTAAATGGAGTTTTTTTCCTTCCACTTTACCGAATCGATTTGACATGAAGTTGATTCGTATTTGTCTCAAAACTAATTGGTGTGAATTTCAATCAATTCTAATATCATTTGACAATTTTATTCAATTTTGAAAATTTCCACAGGGCTTGTACAAACTTTTTCGTCTTCCCCTTGTAGCTCACAGAGGAATTTTTTTTGAACCAACTAAAGTTGATTTGTCATGTAACATTTCCATATCTAACCACCTGTCAAGGAATAGTTTGAAAACAAAATACAATTTTTTTGGCAAACATTTTGATGGGTGAAACTTGCGATTTTTTCGAAATTTTACATTTTATTTTTTTTACTCGAAAACGAAGATTTCTATTTATTCTATATAAAATCTCTCTAAAAAACCTTTTCAGTTTTCTTAGTTTTCGCGAAAATCGCGAATATATGGTTTCCAAAAAACTGCAAATAGCTCGGTAACTAAAAGAGCTGAACTGAATCTAATGAGTCCAATCGATCGACCGTCTGAAGCTCCATAAAAAAGTTGGTATTCATTTTTCCGCTACTACTTCATATGGGCTCTTATGGGACAGAAATTTTCATTTTGATTTTTGATTGCGAACAAACGCCAAATGTCAAACTCTTTGACAGGGTGTCTTTGTGTCTTCAAAACAATGGACTAAAAAACATTTTCAGGTCGCTGTGGACCGATTTATCGATCGACAATTTCGTTTACATGAGCTCTTAGGAGAAAGGCAAAATTTTGACTTTGGCCTTCAATTGAGATTTCCTAGGTTAATGAGGTTTCATGACCAGATAGCCCCCATTATCTGGCTACAATCTGGTGTAAAATTTTAAAAAATCCCTTCATAATTGACTCGTCCAGAGGCCGTTGTATGCAAAAATGTCCGGCTGGATTGTCTACACAGTTTCACAGAGTTCGTTGAATTTAACCAATATTGGTTATTAATTCAAAAACAGTTGAAAATCAATATAGAACATTTATATCGAATAGGCCTAGAATTTTACGAATAGCTCGAATATGCAATAAAAATGACGACATTCTATTTAAAAAAGAGTAGTTTGGTCTGTCACTTGAATTTGAGACACCCTGTATCGATTGGTACTATCTTAAAATAAACTAGACGTTATTATCTGCAACTTTTGTATTTAAAATTTTTCTCTAAATTTCAAATTAGGGTGCCAAAGTTCAATCAATAACCTTGTACAGTGTGGCTCATACTACGATGCATAGCAAAAATCTTTTGCCCGAAAGGAGACACAGGTTGTACATTAACTATACCTATTTGTACGATTTACTTTAAAATTGAGAAAAACGAGATTTTTTGCTTAGCTGCTTTGCATCTATGGATAAAATTTTAAATATAATAAATTAATGGATAACATTTTTAGACGGAATTGTTCTTGTTATTCAAAAATATTGCTTGTTTAATTTCTCATACGTACTAAATTTATAGCTATTTGTAATTTAAGAATACTGAAAAACAGTTCTATGGCTTTTCCATTTATTTCATCGAATACGAGGGTCGTTTGTTAAGTCAGTGACTTTTTGAGTTTCCCGCGCAATAACTTATAATTTTAACTATATAAATATATTTATAAATTTAACACTACTCCTGTAAGCCGCCGTTTGTTAGTAGACTGCTGTAAAATGTTGAGCACGCTTCGTCATTTAGTTCGTGTTTAACTGTTGAAAGGAGATCGTCAGTTTCGAAGAAAAAGGAAAAAGCTAATTTCGAGTGCTGATCAATCATTACTTTTTACGTAAAAACTATCAAAGAAACGAAGGAAAAGCCTTATAAATACCATGGGCACCATCAATTTAAATGGTTAAGAAGTGGTTTACTGAGTTTCGTTGTGGTCGTACAAATGACGCAGAACGTTCCGGTCGTCCAAAACAGGTTGTTACGCCAGAAATGGTCGATAAAATCCATGGAACGATCCTGGACGATCGGAGAATAAAAGTGCGTGAGGTGGCTGAGGCATCTCAACTGAGAGGGTACATCACATTTTACATGCATATTTGGATATGAAAATTCTATCCGCATGATGGGTGCCGCGATTGCTGACACTCGACCATAAGCGCTTCCGTGTGACCATTTCAAATGAATATTTAGCGATGTTCCGTGACAACCCGAAAGAGTTTTCCGACGTTTCGTAACCGTTGACGAAACGTGGATCCATCACAATACACCAGAAACCAAGGAACAATCAAAACAGTGGGTTTATTTAGGTGAACGTGCACCAAAAAAGGCCAAAATGGGTCTGTCGGCCAAAAAGGCGATGACGAGAGTGTTTTGGGATGCACGCGGTGTCATTCACATCGATTACTTTAAAAAGGGTAAAACTATCACTGGCGCATATTATTCACAGCTTTTGGACAGATTCAATGTTGACGGCCGCATTTGGCGAAAAAAAGTGCTGTTTCATCAGCACAACAATGCACGGGGCACACGTGCGTAGTCGCCATGGCAAAAATCCATGACTTGGGCTACGAACTTCTACCCCACCCAGCATATTCTTCAGATGTAGCCCCCTGCGACTATTTCCTGTTTCCAAAACCTGAAGAAATGGCTGGGCGGTAAGAGATTTGAGTCCAATGAAGAGGTCATCATTGAAAGAAACGCATATTTTGAGGACCTCGACAAATTATATTATTTGGAAGGGATAAAAAATGGAAAAACGTTGGTCTAAGTGTAGCGAGCTAAAAAGAGATTATGTTGAGAAATAAAACGTTTTTTGGCCAAAAAAAAATATTTAATTCAAAAAGTCACTGGCTTATCAAACGACCCTCGTATTTAAGCCAACAAATATTCTCCGTTTCCCATTTCCTGTTCTATCATGTTTTCTTTTAAATCAATGTTATTTGTTATTTCAATGAACCAAACTATACTGTAAATTATCCAGTTTTCACATTGCTGCATGAAACGTAATTTTGTTCGCAATTGCACTAATTGCAATGAAATAAAACCGAAATTTCAAATTGCACGTTTCGGTTTTTAAATCGTAATTAGAAAAATTATTTCTAGAAACTCATTATACCGGATGTATAATAAATTTGGTTTGCATTTTGTTCAAGATCAATAAATGCTTTGTAATGTTTAAAAATTTGAAAATCCTTTTTTCTTCACAGTTCTTCGGTTAGGAATTTTTTAAATTCCTAAGAATTTCAGTTAAATAAACAATGTGATATTTTCCCCAGCTTCTCTATTAAGTTTGTCGTTTATCAAATCAGCCGACAAGTATTACTTACGTATTTACTTTTATTGATTTTATTTTATCATTTATTTAATATTTTAATTCTGCAGTCATTATGCCAAATTGAAATCAGTTACTATACTCTTATAATTATATGGTTTTCAAACCGCTTTTAAAACAGTTAAATTGTTATAAGTATATTAAACTGGATGAAGTATGTGTGGCTCGTTTTTAACTGCTTTTAGTACGTTTGTCGAGTTTTTGTACAATTTGTCGCTTTATCTCTAATGTATCAAATGATTTAATTATACTGTGGAAGGACGAAAATTATTTAGCAAAGTTAATGCAATGTAGTAAAGTTTTGTACAATTGAAATCACAATGCCGTAAGAATTTATAAGGATATCCCGGTTTTAGTTGGCGACACTGTTCGTGACGAGCCGCCTCTAAATCAATGAAGAATAAAGTAGTACGAATGAATACGCGTTACTAATTTGAAGGCTTTAGCGTTTCTCATTCAATATCAAAATTATCGTAAACATCAATGAAGACTTAATTTAGTATAGATATTAGCATGTAGCAGTCAGTTTAATAATTACATCGAAATTGACACTATCCAAGTATCCTCTTCCACAGAGTGTTGGAGACTGTAAATTTCGAAGCCAAATTTTCGTCCCTTCCTCGATTCCAACCATGTGATGGCCAATCACCAAGCGCCATTTCCATTCCAAGTCCTTCATTGTTTAATTGCGGAAACTTAAGACGAAGGGGGCCGCCTTTAACGGCACCTGCAAGAGGCCCCGAAGAAGATCTTAGTTCTGCAACTGAAGCTCCTTTATCTTTGCCTTCTGCTCATCCCGTAGCAGGTACGCATTTCTTCGGGCCCGATTTTTCTTTGGAGAACATTAGGGAATTGCAGGAGGCAGATGAAGGGGCTTCCCCTTCGCCTCGTACTCCGCGCACTCCTGGAACTAAGGACCCTGATAAAGGTCATAGAAGAACATTAGAACAAAGGCGTCAATTAGTGATGCAATTGTTTAAAGATCACTCGATCTTTCCGTCGTCTAAAGCTACTTCCATGTTCCAAGCGGAACATTCTGATATTTTTCCAACGAGAGGCACTTTACAACTTAAGGTATGTTGAATTTTTTGTAATTTTATTATGGATTATTATGAAGCTTTTACTAAACCTGCTAACAAGAGTACTTAATGGTAAGTCATTGTTTATTTGCAGATACGTGAGGTACGACAGAAGCTAATGGCGCAAAATAATCAATTAACTCCTCTTACTCCCAGCCCCGGACCACAATCAGCTGGACCTCATGAACCATTAAAGGTATCCTCCAACAGCTAGCCGGATAAATCATTTGATCTAATTACGTCTTCCTTCGCACTGTTTTTAATGCGAAGTTCATTATAAGTACGTTATCGGCGATGACAGAATTTTAAGGCTTACCCAAAAGATATATCGTCAGGGGTAATATGTCTATAAAACATTAATATGTAGTAATGCCTATAAAACATTAATATTAATAGGTTAGTTGTAGTTTGATGGATAGGGTTACAGACAATCAAAACGCAAGCTGCCAAGAGCCTATTGAAGAACTTTCACATACTTACCATAACATTCTCATAATCTTTCACTTTAAAAAATTCCAAAAATTTTTTTTCCTTTTGGCATTTCCAATTATTCTTCATAGTTGATGCTTTTGCATGTCCACTCTAGTTAATTTACCAAAAAAGAATTTATTAACACGTTAAAACAATTTTTATCATTTAATGTATTGCTATTTATTTTAATAAAATGTGTTTATTTTTTATATATATTATTTAAAAGGTTTATTAATGAAAAATATCCTTAAATATAAAAGAATTAAATGAATGGTTTAGCTAAATCGTCTGATGAGGGCATGATATTGCATTCGTTTACTGTGTCATTGCTATGTTTGGGTAAGACTTAAAATTTGCAATATTAGATGTAGTACTTTGCCCTCGTTCTGGGTACCATAGACTAGCGTAAGCGACCCCCTTTGTTAAAGCTTAATGGTCTGCATTGCATTGTTTAAAGAAAGTACTTTAAATCAGTTAAATTTATTTGTATTTTCACAATTGTTTCAAGGCTATAGAGCCTATTGTTGTGACACAAGTAAAAGTGCCAAGTCTTTAATGTTTTTTGAAATTTTATTTGCCATTGTAATTTTGGTAATCTATAGGTATATCTATAGTTTGAAGAAAATACAGATAATTCCTTGGAAATGTCGAAGTAAAAATTATAGTTATTTAATCTATTTTGTATATACATATTCATATAGGGTGTTTCTAATATATGCTCCCAAAAAGTGAAAACTGGTGGGTTGTCAGAATATCTGATTTATCTACTAGAAAAGTTATAAATCCCGTGTCGATTTTTTTAAACAAGCAAGTGCAAGTTAGAGAATACATTTTAACATATTTAGCCATCGCTATAGATCCGAGATTTTCTAGAGAAAATAACAAATATATCAAGCGTAAGCCCATAGGAACTCTAATAGTCTTGATCTCCCCAAACATTGCTTAAAACCTATCTAATATGTTAGAAAGCACCCCCGAATAATCAATTATGAAAATCCACATCGTTTGGCAAATTAAAATCCCATTGACAATTTTTGTTTAAAGGTGCTCCTAGTTTTATTTTAACTATGGTAAATATATAATATTACGATAAAAGATTTGTGCCAGCAGTAGACAATTTACAGTAAGTGATTTTATCAATGTCTTTATTTTTATGCACGGTGCAATAAAAATAGACCCTTATATTTATAATATGTAAGAAATGTAATATGTTGACATTTGTGATTATACTTAAGCTGTTAAATTTATTCGCAATAACTCGTATCTATTATTCATTGTTGCTATATCTAGTTTACATTAAGTAGTATCTATTTCTTCAAATTGATGTCGTGACACATGGGAGGCATGAGAAAAGAAGTTATTATATAACATTATATATAATTTTTAGTTCATTCTAGTCATACAATCAATTACATATACTGCAGTTTTTGCTACTTAATTGGGAATTGTGAGATATAATTAATTGTGCCGAGTATCAAAAACATAAAATTTTATAACTGAATGAGCGGGCTTGAAATTGCATTTTCTACTAATGTTTTTCAAATTATTCTCAAGATTTGTGAAGTTCGTGGTTTTGATGTGGCTTGATACGTTAAATTCGACTGAAAATATGTTTCTTATCTCCACGTCAGGTCTTATATTCTTAAATGAAATTATAAATTAAACCCAATCTTAAATGTAGCAAGTTACTACATTATTAATTTATTCAGTGTCCGTCCATTATTCTAACATATTAATTATAGCAAATTGCCCGACAGGAGCAGACGCCATCAAGAAACCAGACAGAACATGCTAATTAAAAAACCGAATTGTCTAAAATCTAATCAAAACGTTACAATGCTTGATTTTAAAAGGGAAAATTAAATTTACTAATTATATTTTCTTAGTATCCAGTTTACGATTGAACGGGAATCATTTCTAATGATACCAATTTTACTTAATATTAACATTTTCACACTTCTTTAAATATATATAATGAAGAAGGCAGGTACCTTTCGTTGATGCAAATAATAACAATTTTAAACAGTCAATTTATTCATATTACATTTAGATACATATGCGTCCAACTCAAATTGGATTGTAGATTTGCCTCTTATGTGTACGATAGCATTATTTAAAAATTATCATTTTGTGATTATTAGTTTGATTAACTACAAATTTGCTTATTAAAGTATTCCATCTATCAAATCTTGTACTATTCAATATTAGTACAAAATGATAATTTTTATATAAAAGATTACAATTATTTTAGAACACCTTCTGTCGCGTTTAAAGATCAACCGATTAAAAGTTCTTTGTTTTAAACTGATGATTTAATAGAATTAACGAGATTAATTCACTATTAATTAGGTTAATAGTGAATTTCGTTATTTCGAAGTTATGTGACTAACATTCGCTTTTAAATTAGATCAGAATATATTTAAATATTGGTTGTGTTTTTAAAACGGATTTCTTTAAGATTAATTATAGCTTAAATTGGTTTTTAGTATATAGCATAATTTTAACAAATTAGGTACCAACGTCTGCTATCATAAAGTAGTAGCATTTCATGATCTCTTACATAATGACAATTATTACGCACATTTATTTTATTAATAGCATGTATATAAACCACATTTTAGTAGTATTTGTACATCATATTAAGATCACAGAATTCATTAAAAATTAAATGATGACACATGTGTAAATGTTTTGTGTTTAAATAATCCAGAATCTAATATGGTATTCTGCTCTAATCGATATGTACTATGCAACCGCAATCTTGTAGAAACCAAAAGCAGAATATTAATTAGAGCTTCTCTTCTGTAAAGTATCTCTTAAGGCCTGGAATCGCTTGAACGATTGATGCATGCGTCTGACGCATCGCATACGTTTACTCCATCCATTATGGTATCAACTGTAAAGCTATACAATCAAAGAAGATCCAACAGCCATCAAAAACTTCAAGATCGCGATTTGAACAAATTTTACGGTTTCAAAAATTTCTAGTTTGGCTTAAAAACTGGTGACGGTCCCACCATCACCAGTTTTTAAGTGTTTGTCACTCGAATGAATCATTACTAGACCGAGCAGCAGAAACACCAAAATTTATCACGAAAACTATAGTCCATATTACTTTAAAACTATTAAATCGGCAATTCCACCAAATCAAACGAAAAAAACGTGTAAATAAAATGTATTCAAAAACTAAAAATGTATTCAGTAAATACATTTAATACTAAATAATAAACGTGGGACAAACATGGATGAAATTAAAAGTGTTACAAATTCTCGTATTAGAACAGAAACATTCAAAACTAACTATCATTTGACATTACAAAACCAGTATTGGGTTGCAGTTAATTTTTAAGAGCTAGCGCAGTGCTGCGCAAATGGCTTGGTGCGCCAACTCAACGCACTGGAAAAACACACAGTTATAAAATGTTGACGACAATGGGGTTATTTATATTCCATTTAATATATATTTTTAGTTAAGTTGTGTCTAATATTTAGGACATTGACAAATGGTTAACGCCAAATGTTATATAACTGCAATGATTTGCATCAAACTGCCATCACCTAAAACGTCTAAAAATAACGATTGAAAATTTTAGCAACATAATATAAGTATATAATATAATAACAATATAGTCTTGAGAACCGGTGCAATTTGACGAAAAAAAATGCATGCTGCTCTATGCAACAATATAATTTAATAACTGTAAATCGGAAACAATAATCCATATCCCAATAATTCGTGCACAGCGTATTCAAATATAAAAAAAATAAGGAAAATAAATAATGAAGCTATCCTGATACAATGACGCTAGGCCCACTATAAAAAAATAAATTTAATTAGATATAAAAGTTTTTTTGACCTTCATGTTAATCTGAAACCAACATACCGATAAAGCCATTAATTAAAAACCAGATAACATGCAGCATCCAGTTAAGCCATGCAGAAATTTATAAGGCAACCACAAAAGCACTGAGGAATTATTACGAAGCACGACGTGTAACATGCGCGTTAAATACCACCTGAGTATTAGTTTAAACTAATCCTATTGATTCAAACTCACCTCTCTTGATTATTAATGTAATTCTCCAATCGTAGTTTATTACTTTTATAAAAGTGAACCAACCTTTTCAAGGGATGGTCAAATTCTTTGCCGTTTTCATACTGGATGTAGTGTATCAGCTGAAAATAACATTTTTTTTTACTATGCAAGTGTAATTCAAATAATTTCATATAGTACCTCAGGTTTCACATGATCGATCCAACATGCAAGTGCGTCAAACACGGGACAGAGATACTCATTAAGACGATCTTCATTTTGAATGAAGTATAGCAGTTGCAATAACGAAATAGTACACCGCCTTACATCAGATTCATATTCCTGAAACCAGAATTGATCGATCAGCCTATGAACGAAGTAACTTTACCTGCGACTAGTTATGTAATCTTATACAATACTTTGAAGGAAAATTGTATTTGATTAAAATATCGAGCAGGAACTTTCAATTAGTGGTGGGAAAAAGTCACTAATAGGAATTTGAGTACTCGTTACTCATCCGTATCCAAAGGAACGAATACCGAATCAAGCTATCAAACAAGTATTCAAGTAATCAGCAATTATCCTCGGAAAATCAAGTCACCCATCCTAACCCTCGAGCCCGAATCCAAATACGCTACTACTAGTACTCTCTCAGACTAACTGGTAACTAAAGTAGCTGGTAATCAGTACCAGTTAGGGATGGTCGGTATTTAAGGAACTGTGAAAGTGTTCCAGAAGTGTAACCTGGAACCGCAGTTACAGTTCACCAATTTAACCGGCTGTTTTTTGAACCGTCTCATAAACTCGAAAAAGTGTTTCGCACCAGCACAGAACCAATGCGGCATCGTCAAGCGATCTATCCAGTTGCAGCAGTTTGCCAATTTAACCGGTTGTTTTTGGAACCGTCTCATCAACCCGAAAAAGTGGTTCGCCCCAGCACAGAACCGATGCGACACCGTCGAGCCATCTATCCAGTTGCAGCAGTTTCAGTAACCATTTGTCAACGGAAAACATTTTTAGTTTCGCACTGCGTTGATGATTGTGTTTATCACCTTTCATCTATAAGAATTATTGTTCAGTTCCCCAGAAACCATAATCGGTCAGATCAGCGGAATATTGTTCAGTTTCGGTGGTGATATAATTGAGCATTTTTAGTATTTTATAAGTGTTACTGTTAAGGTGGATTATTTAATTTTATTGTTGACTTAATAACACGCGTCAATAATTCAAATGCTGTTACAAAAACTGTGGTGCCCCATCAATCAGATGAAGTTTAGTTAAAAGATAGACAAGAAGATTATTGCTCCATGACTAAAAAACATAGCTTTTGTCCCATGCGAGAGATTATTTTCCAAAGAGGCTGTTCATTCATCATATACGAGCGAAGAAATAAACTTCGCTTAGCTAGTACTAGCTTTTTAAACATTTTCGCATTCAAGGCGTATATTTTATTATCAATTTTTTCCTTCCAGTTGTTCCATATGACTAATGCTTTGTTTTTAGAATATATTATTTTTAGTTTACCAATGCTAAGATTTTTTTTTTATAAACTAAATCATTATTTATTACCACTATTTCTACCATCACCATTGCGAATTTTTTAAGAAAAATTAAAAAAATAACATGTTACTGTTGGAACCTAATACCAAAGTGAAATTGCAACGTTGTAACCTGTACCAGAAAAATAACCCTTTAGCACACCTCTAGAACCAGTACCGATACAGATGGATACCGACAGCCGCGTTTGATTTTCAACTTCGGTTGTTCCTAATCACTAAAACTAATCACTAAAATAGCGTTACTCGTTGCAGATTGGTAATCTTGAATTATATTTTTACATTTACATTTATAATATAAAATATGACATTATAATTGTAAGTTATTTGAAAACTGCATATTTGTAAAAATACGTTTATTAAAATTGATATCTGTCGCACTGTATTACTACAGAACCACAATTTATTTGATCGGTGGCTCCAGAGTTAAATAACTTGCTTTCAAAAATTGTTTAAAAAGACATTTATTTAGAAACTGCAAGTATTAACAATCGTGGGGGTTCTAAATACCTGCGTACAATATCTACAATAACAATAGAGAATCAATTAACAACTGACTTAAAAACGGTCTGATTATCTACTCCTAGACGTAAATAAATCTATTAGGGAATCATCATATCAATATCGATCCTCGACTTTCGTAAGACTAACGACTAGAATGAGTACTTGAATAACTGATCCCAAGCAAGGAGTATTGAATCAAAAAGAACTAGTCGGTACGAGTATTCAAAAGTAATCAAATTTCACACCACTACTTTCCATCAAACTTAGTCGCTAATAGAAATCCCTGAATGTATATGTACTTACCCCATATAATGCTAGATCTTTACATTTACCATCTCTATTAAAAATTTGCTTGTTTACTGATCGACAGACTTGGCCATAAAAAGTATTCCGATATTTAAAATCTGTTTTACCGGTCATCACTTTAAACGTGTACAACGAGTAATTGAAGAAAATGAAAAAGTTATCGTCTATCTTACATTTTCCTGCTACTAATAAATCTGGAAATGACAAAACTGATTAAGGCAATTTTCCATGAACTATAAGAAAACTTACCGAATATCAAGCAGATCTCGTTTAGAATGCTAAATCTTGTTTTAGGCTGAATGGAGGTAAACAAGAATTTAATTAGGTCATTTGGAATATCCAGAAGATTTCTCATTTCAACCAAATCTTTACGGAAACTCTCGTTAATTGGATAATCCTCCAACTGCAATGGAAATAACCGACGTAAATCCAAAACATTATATTAAATTTTCAGATGTTACCTTCGTATGTCCACTCATGTACACTAAAGTAGTCATGTAAAATCGGCCTACATCATGCTTATTGGACACCAAGAACCTCTCATTTAACATATGTCTCATAAAATCACTTAAACTGTAGGAAGCTAGCCTGTGTATAAATCTCATAAAACTTTCAGAATCCAGTAGTACATAACTGTCATAAATAAGCTCTTCTAAAATAGTGAGACATACTCTACTCAACACCGTATGGTCGGAAGTGACATTTTTAAAACAAAATTTGATTATATCTTCAAACTCATGACTTAGTCTGGAAAAATAATATATTTTATTAGTGGCATGTAGACTTGCCCCATCAAATTACCTACTCTGAAGAAAGAGTATAGTACATCTTGATAGCAGTTAACTGAACAAGGGGATCAGGAACTTCTAATGCTTTTCTGAACATTTTAGAAGCGGTGGGTATTTTCGGACGATCCATCATAGCCATAGTACCGAAGAAAGATATTAGCTGAATTAAAGCATCCTTCAATTTTGTTTTCAGCACTGAAATTTTACACTCTTTTTGATCGACTCAAGAGGAACAGAAGTTAGAAAACTTACATGACATAGTTCTCGGGTCATCCATTACGTTCTCAAAAATAACCAAGATTTCATTTCTTGGTGGTCTTTTCAACGCGATGCAAACTTCTGTTAAAGTCATTACTGAGCCCGCCATTAAATCATTTTGTTTCAGATCCCGATAAGCACATTCACTTATCAAAGTCAACAAAGTTACTCTTTGTTCTTCATCATTCGGCAAATGCAAAATTTCATTTAGTGTATCTATAAGGTCGAAGCTAGCCTTTATACTAGTAACGCCACATATTTGCTTGAACAAGGAATTCCACAACAACCCATGAATAATGTTAAACTTGGGTGTGTCTGATACATTATAGACACCTTTATTCAATAGAATTCTTCTATATCCGTTCAGGAGATGCCCAGCTGCATCTACACAGCAAATCTAGAATTGAGAACTTGTGGTTTACTCATTGAAGAGCATATAATTGCTACTTACATCTTCAAAATTGTCAATTATATAGTCGGTTAAAATATTATATTCCTTGTATTTCACATAATCCAATAAGCTATTTAACAGAATGCAATATCCTGGTTCTTTGCACTTGAAGTTCGATATTAGATGACATACCTGGTCGTACCTTAAACATTAACAATGTCAATATGAAATTATTAACAAGAACTTATTGACTTCGTTTAATTTTTTTCCGGACTAATAAGCCGTTGAGTAGTGAATTTGCTTCCTGACTTTTCGTGCACATAATCGAAGGCGATAACCGCAGGTGTGAACAAAATGCCAGGGAGCAATTCGAATGGCCTTTGGCTCATAAGACAGGCCATGAAAGTCTTCATAGTTTAAATAAAAACTCACTTGATTAGATGCCTACATTTAGGCAAAAACAACTCGTAATCAAATTCCTCCGACATTAACAGGTTTGAATATTGTTCTGGACCATATACTACGCCATGGATTGTAGATGAGTAAATCATGGAATTATAGAGATGCTAGAGGGAAAAATGTATCACTTTTCTTACGTCAGTAATTAATTTGCCTACCCACCTCTATAAATACTGAAGATGAGGGATCAGCATGCATGGCCATTTTGAAAAATATTCTCATAATGGCCAAACGAGCACCACACGATAATTTCTCAGAGAGTTGCAAATATAAACTATGTAGCTCTGGAAGCACATTTTTAACGCTATAAGGTGTTCCGTCTTTACACACCAGAAACAGAATCTGTGACGATAAATCTGCATCCACTTTATCTATAGAAATCAGAAACTTTGAAACTATATGCAGAATTTGTTTACTCCTCACGGGGTTTCCAGCATATTGATCATCCAAAATTCGCACAAATGCTCTCAAAATACTTGATACACGAATAGTTGCCAAATTGCCTGTGATGTTTATAATCTAAAATGAGGATAATTTGAGGAAGTCAAATAAAGAAATAATGAATCATTCACCTCAAAAACGCCATCTAATACAGCATTTTTTCGCAACAAGCAAATTTTTGCTAAAATCTCTATGCTCCTATATTGAATGCTTTTCTTCCTGTGTAATAATTTTATCACCATCTCTTTTATGCAAACTGAATATAATACATTCAATTTCGGAAAATTTCCTGGATGTGGCTGACTCAACATGTAATACAAAAGACACATTATATTTACATAATATTTTTCGTGGTTTTTCGATTCCAGATAGTTTGGAAGGCGTCGCAAAAACTCTTTATATAGCTGTTCATCTAGCATGTTAATAATATCACAGCAGTCCTGAAATAATGTATTTTAAACGACGCACACTATGACGAGTAACTTTTGCTTACCTCAAAATATTCAAAATCTGATACGCCAATTAAAGCAAACAAAGCATCGAGGAAATATTGCATTTTGTTTTTATCTTCAATTTCCACAAACATAACATTTTTAATAAATTTCTTTGATAGACATATAGCGATCTTTCGTTGACCTGGTGATATTGTTTTGCTGATATCCGTTCTCATACATCTTAACATACTTTCCATTATATACTTGACTTCTCTTGGATGCTCCTTTGCTACTATAAGGTTTTTTAAACAATTCAAGCAAACCATCGCCAAAGGGTCATCACCTGATAAGCAAGAAGCAGCATGTAATCTTTAATTCATTTTTTTATTAAAGTGAAAATTTTATTGAAATCTCTAATACAGGGTGCCCCACAAGTACATGATTAAAATGGTTCATGAACACCTTTTGCCTCAAAAGAAAACAGTCTGACTTGACTTTCATTAAGAAAAACTTCTGGGTCATAGGCAATTGATGCTCAATATTTCTCCAATAAATTATTGTGTTGTACAATAAGTATTATGTATTAGTTTTTTGTTACGTCGAGGGAATGTCCGATGGATGAAAAAAAGAAAATTAAGGAATGAAAGGATGCTAGAAGAAAAGCTTACTAGAAATAGATAAATGAAAAAAACATATAGAAGAAAAGTAGTTCAAACGATGAACAAAATGACGATTCCTTACCACATGTTTAAGTTATGGTGACTGTTCTTTCGAGTAAGATTTTCATTTTGAGGAAGACCCGATTTCCATAACTAAGACACCTATTTCGTCTCTAAAATATGGAAGTTTTGCACTTGAACAATTTAAGGGAGCAAAAAGAAGCCCAACTACCTACAAATATGTATGTTCTATAGAGAATATTGTTGATCAGAAAGTGGAAGAAGTAGGACTAAAATTTATAGATAATACAAAAAAAAACTTTGCGGTTCAGGCAAGTGATCTAAGTTTTGTTGTAGAAAACCTGATAATGGGGGTATTGCATTTCCCACAGTTAAGATGAAACGAGATACAATTTATTAGGTATTACGTTGAAAAAGTAGGTGTCAGTGTTGGAAAATTAAAGTTTATGTTATTATTTAATATTTTTTAAAAAGGATTTAATTCAATAGTTTCTAAGTATGTAATTTTAAAGTTTCTATCTTTGAATAAAAAACCTAAATTAATAATATGCTACAGACATTAAACAAAATATAAAAGAAAATTTTATTTTTATTGACATCCTGTACCTCGGAATCTATTAACTTTCGGAGTAGACAAATTTGCCTCAAACGCAATATTTTTACCTTAACAATATGTCAGTGATTTTTGTCACATTAGTTGAGGACCACCGTGTATAAATAACCGATCCACACCAATCAAGAACTAGCAAATATGCATTTGGCAATAAGAGTAACAAATTGAACGCAAAAGCTGCTGCATGGCCTGATCAAGCACGCTTTTTGCAAGGCAACTGGGTACGAAAAGTTTATTTCAGTTCCACGATTATTTGCACCTTAAAGCAAACTTGCACCCTACTGGGCAGAACGAACCCAAACCCAAATTTTATTTCCTAGTTCTGAGTCACCCTGTATTAATTTAAAGAATAGCATACATGATTACCTAATATCATATATATTCCTAGGATTTTTAAAAACACAGGTAAAATGCACGATTAGAAAAGAAATTTGAAATACTTACATTTCTTGATATCTCCTTCTATGGACCGATGCTTCAGAACATTGGCATACAGGTTTGCAGTGCCTTGGATCATCAAAAACGACACTGAACGTTCCGACACATACTTATAAATAAGCTCTAACACTTTGGTTAATTGTTCTGTTGGAATATTCTGCTTTCTTATACACTTGGTACACAGATACAACACCATGACAAACATGTTCTTTTCGAAATATAACTTCCCGATATCCGAAGGCAATAGAAGGATTTTCAAGTATAACTCTGCACTAAGTAAGGATGTTCTAATAGGAATTCTGTCGGCAGATCCCAAGCAGTAATAGATAAAAGTTTGGATATAGGCTTTCAGGTTTCCTTCAATAGTTCTCAGGTCCTCTTTCATAGCGCTCTCAAATTTGTCGAGCAGCTCTTCCAGGTAAAATTCAGTATCAACTGGATAGTGAAAGCTGTATTCAATCACACTATCAACAGAAATCAGAGACCTTCTACCAATTATAATTTCCTTCCAAATTTTAGTAACAATTGAAGGATCCACCAATTTGCTGTGGTACTGCCGGAACGTTTCAACAAAGTTCATTTTGATTGTTTATATACAAACCAGCACTTGTATTAACTAGTAATGAATTAGATTCATTTAACCTAAACGTCCAAAAGTATATCCGGATACTTTCAACACTTACTAACTTTTCACTAGAAACAAACTAAAATAACACGCCGTGTTTAGTTAGTTTCTTATTTAGATTTTTAGCAATAAACATCATAGATGAAGACAACTTGATACTTGATGATAAACATTGCATTGAAGATCACAGAGGTTATGGATTGAAATCTGACATGTAAGCCCGTTTACCCCGGCTTCTAGTAGGCGCCATGTGAACTAGCTCCAAATATCCATAAAATCTACTTTTACATGGGGAAACTTCTTTACCGATTGTCATTATGCAAATTTTTAGCGGCAGATTTGAATTCAGCTTAGCATCTCCCCCATAGGGATGGTCGGTATTTAACGCAACAGCCATAGAGAAAATAAAATTATTTTTATTATTTTACTCTGTGGTAACACGTCTTTATCTATGAAGTCCGCAATATTAGCTTCTAGTCTTTATCTATGAGTTCCAATAATGTTTCAACAATATCAAAATGTCGTATAATTGTTCTGCTCATTCAAACATTAAGTAATGCACAAAAACATTTAAGTTTTGCAAAAATCGAAATATAAATGTAGACAAAACTGAGACATAAAGTTCACAATGCTGCAATAAATGTTGCAAATTGTATGAACATCGTTCGATATAAATCAAAGTTTTTACTCGGGAACAATTAAATATTAATTTTCTTAGTTCATTTATTTGTAGCTCAAGAATTTAAGAAAAATATTAGTTTGGTTGTAATTGTACTTTTTAATCGATTTTGTGCTTTTAAACCGAATTTCTCTTAGTGACGTCTTATTCTCCTCTTATTGGCGAAAGTTGAAACCTCTCACTAACTGTTTTGCAAATATTACAAAATATTTTGCAATATAAATTAACAGTCCTCTATTTTCACAAACGCGTATCAGTTTCCACGTGCATGCGTGAATCTTAGAAAAAAGTGAAAAACTAAGCTAAACTCACCTGATTCTTCAATTAGTTACTATCCCAACTCAAATTTTTACAGTTTTCTAAATCCGAAGTTTCCGCCCTAATCATAGAAACACTAAAATTACGCAAGTGTTTTTAATTTAAAATATCGATGCGACAAAAAAAACCGTTTAATAAACACCCTAAGGAAAAAATACATTGGATTCGGATCGGGAGAACTGGGTGGCCAATTATTAGAAAAGCTTCCCTTAGTCGGTTTCTAACCAAATCGACCTGGGTTTGCTTTAAAAAACTCAAATAAAACAATCCACTTGTATATTCAACATAGATTAAAACTTTCAAGTATAAAACCAAAACCAGAAGTCATAAAATAACAATAAATGCATTCGAAAACAAAATCATTGGAATGCAAAATGTCAACCTGTTTGCCCCACCAAATTAAATATTAGATTTGTACCATTTGTATGAACCAGAATACGTATAGTTGTTCTTCTTAAGCAGTTCATCAGCTTCTTTGGGCCCTCTGCTTCCAAATTTATATGGTGTAGGTGCGATTCTTTCATTTTCTATCTGATGTAGCAAGGGTGTAAATATTCTCCAAGCTTCGCTAAGTTCATCGGACCTAACAAAATGCATTTGCGAACCACAAAACACGTCTAGAATTAACCTCTCGTAGGCGTCTGGCAATTTTACATTCTGTAAATATACAGGTTTATAATAAAGTTCACCACACTTCCATTCAAATTACTTCATATCTATGCACATAGGTAAGGTCAAGTTCAGTTTCCTCCATATCGAAGGCCATACCAGGAGTTTTCACCATTAATTTACAATATAAAGCCTCGCCTGGTTGAACTCTAATCACCAATTCGTTTCTCTTTGGTTTTCCGTCAAAAATGTCCCCAGGAACATCCTCAAACTGAATTCTTACTTCTGCTTTCCTTTCATTCAGTGCTACAAACATTATCCAGTTATTTGAATGGACATTGAATAATAAAACAATATACCTTTGCCACATTTAAGAATAAATGGAACTCCATCCCATCTCTCGTTATTTATTCTTAGTACGGCAGCTGCGTAAGTAGGCGTGATTGAGCCTTCAGGAACTGTTGGATCATCAAGGTATCCAGTTAGTGCTTCTCCCTTTCCATTGGGATCAGCCACATATTGACCCAAAACCACATCGCTAAGATGTAAAGTGTTGACACATTTTAGAACTTTTACCTAAAAATATATTGAGTTGTTCACTGGAATATTTTTTTTGTTCCATTTGGGTAAATACCTTTTCATTTCTAATGTCATCTGGATGTACAGTAGCCGGCTTTTCCATCGCTACTAAAGTTAAAATTTGTAATAAATGATTTTGCATAACATCTCTAATTATGCCGAATTCATCAAAATATCCTCCCCTTCCTTGAGTTCCAAAAGGTTCCTTAAAGGTGATTTGGATAGATGCTATATTATCTCTGTTCCATGTCGGGCCAAAAATCCTATTTCCGAATCTAAGAGTCATAAGGTTTTGAACCATTTCTTTTCCTAAGTAATGATCAATACGATAGAGTTGATGTTCATCAAATAAGCTAGATAGATGATCAGACAGTTTTTGCGAACTAGCCGAGTCTCGCCCAAATGGTTTTTCAACTATAATTCTTGTCCAGCCTCTAAAATATTCATTAAAATGAACTGTTGTTCGACAAAAAAATCGATTTGACTTACTTTTCCCCCATACAATTATTCTTGATTAGAACAGTAACATCTTCAAACACTGAAGGGGGCAAAGCCAAGTAAAACAACCGATTCGCAACGGTCCCTTTTTCGTATTGCGATATTGCTTGATTCAGTTTTTCAAAATCGCTCCGAACGTCATATTTTCCCGATATGTAATAATTTAACTTCCAAAATTCATCATACAATTTCTCTTCTGCTTTTTTTACTTTCATGTATGGCTCACATTTTGCCCTTATTTCCTCAATCGTCGTGTTACTCCTGGCATATCCAAAAAAGTGGGTGTTAGATGGTAGTAAGTTATCCCTGTATAGCCACCATAGTGTAGGGTAGATTTTTTTACGTGCTAAATCACCCTAAAAAAATATTTGAAAATTACCGAAATTTCATTCCAGATGTTGCCGACAACTTTTTCTTAAATTGAATATTGAGCCATTTTTAGATCCTATGATTAATGCTGTAATTTCATCACAGTTCTTAAACGCTTTTGCCTAATTTGTTAATGCTATTTATTAGATGTATTATATTTTCGTTTAACGTATTATTTTGAAGGAAAACGCCTTTGTCTAAGAAAGATCGCACTGAAGTTCTTGTAATGGTCGGTTCTGCAGATAACATATGCACAAGTGTGTATTTTATTTATTGAAGACAACTCATCCTTATCAAGAGTTGCAATCTTAGCTGGCCCGATTCAGAATGAAATATCGCATACATCGAAAGAACTCTTTTCAAATAGTATTGTGGTGCAACTGAATATCAAAGTAGTGCCTGAATTTGTCATCTCAGAAACGCTTGAAAATATCATTCATTCAGTAGGAATAAACCCGCAAATTCGATAGCCTGTATCTTTGATCCTCATCAATTGTTTTTAACAATTTATTAACTTCTAAAGAGGTGTAAGCTAAAATGTTGAATTTAAGAAGTCTTCGAAGATAAAAGACCGTAATCGCAAGAACGGTAGTCAAAATCGCCAGAAAAACTGCATTGAACTATTTGGTTTCATTAAAAATTCGAACTCTAAAAGGATATTAGAAAAAAACAAGAAAACGTTGTTGAATAGGCTATTTTAAAAGCTCTAGCAAAGAGTAATGATTTTTTCGGCTCCGGTCTCAAGTTCTTTGCCTTTAGATGTGAAGCAAACACTTTAATCTAAACAATATACACTATGCAAATGTATAAATTCTCGTATATTTTCGTTTGTATTTTGAAAACGGTAGAAACTATCGGAATAATCACAAGGTCTTTTTGATGGGGAGTCTCGAGGACCATCGTTTAATAATTAACTTTGATGATAAATTCCAAATCATAACAGAGCTAGAGGGGAAACTATCGCAAAAAAGTTCTTATCTACCACTGTTAACGCAATATCCATTATTTGGGTTTTATCAGAAATTTCTAATAGTTTAGAAGAGCTAGAAGGAAAATTATCAAATTTTACGGGGTCGTTGAAATTTACGACTGATATTTCGAAAACGGTTCACAATCGCTTTATCTGATATCTCCAACCTTTAAAGCGATATACATATGCAAATTTTAAAACAATATTGAATAAATTTACAAAAATCCAGCTTTTAAGTAATACATAAGTCATGCTCCCAACGTAACATGCGTTATACTTAACAATTTCGCAGATTTTTATAAAAACGACTCCAACGTGTCAGTTTTTACCTATTAGACGATACAATGAAAACGACGACGTGTTAAATAGCTATAGCGATATCTAGGTTCTGACTGTTGATGGACAGTCAGAACCTAGATATCGAGCTACAGTTGTAATGTATCATCAGGAAACCCAGACAAAAGAGTAATTTTTAAATATACCTACTTAAAACGGGGTTAACTCACAATAGGTTCCAACAAAATGGAGCGCCTCCTCTCTTTCTCAAAAACAATTTTTTAATAAATAGATTGGACGAAGGGCGTCCAATTGAGTGGCCCACCAGATCACCCGATATAACTCCGCTTGACTTTTCCTTGCTATTTGAAATTGAACGTTTATGTGAATTGACCAAATAATAAAGTGATTTCTTCGGAACATAAACCAATGGAAATAATTTAACGACTTTGATAATGTATTAGTTTAAATGGGCAACTCATTCATTCGACATTTTTTAAGTAATGTTAAATTGAAGTTATTCATATTTTATGGTTGTAATCAGAAGAAAGACGCGATGGATTGTTGTGAGGATGTTCTATCGTAGAATCCAAAATAGACGTAATATACTATATATATATATATATATATAATAAGTCTTCCGTTTAAAAATGTAGACATCATTTTCTTCTCTGAGGCCCTTTTTAGTTTTGGAAATACTAATCGACGAATGTAGCTGATTTTTCTAAGAAGTTGTTCACTACATTATAAATTATTTTCTTCTATTTAAATGCGCGAATCAGTAAAACGTAAATTAATGGGCTCCCATAAATCGTGCTCCATTGAATCCAGTTTAAATTTCCTTGCATCTATTGGCATTTTTCCAATACTATTCACTCAGTACATATTGTTACAATTATAGTACATATACACCTATTGACGATGAGTTAAAGCAATTGGTGGCATGATTTCAAATTAAGCTAATCACTAGAAATTGCTATTCTTAACGTAACCTTGTGAATCGTTTGTTTAAAAAACCATGAAGATGACCTTTGCTAAGGTCGATTTGGTACTTGATGGCATAAAGGGAACACTACTGAAAGTAACCCCGTTTTAACGACATTTACAACCTCGGTGTATAGATTTCATGAAAATTTGTTACTTTTCATTAATTTAACTCTTTTCTGGCAATATTTTTCTAGGGTATCGGTGTGTAAGAAGGTGTGGTAATTATTTTATTATTTTAAGTAATTTTTGTAAAAGAGTAAAAATGTTTAAAGATGAAATTAAAAGTTTATAGGAGAGTTTATTAGAGTTTTACTCTCACTTACCGAAGCTCCCAATGTAACAAAGATATGTGGATATTGACCATCGAAGTGGGTTCCTTCGTGATCCATATCTTTGGACTTCAAAGATTTTCTGTATAAGGCCAGACATACTTCTGAGTTGTCTACAATAGAAAATTTAGCGTCAAACAAATACACCAATGTGAAACCGTCCAATACACTAAAGAAATGGAGGTTTAACTAAATCAGTACCATCGTTGCACTCCAATAATAGTCGCGAAGACATTTTGATCGCTTATGGGAATGGTAAAAAAGGAATGATTGTTGCTATTACCGGAATGTAGCGAAAAAGTTTCTAAGACTAAATAATCAGATGACTTTCATTCTGTTTTCAATAACATGCAACACGCTTAAATTACAAGTTTGATTAGTTCAAGGTTAGGTAGTACCAGATTATATATATATTTAAAATTTCCCGCCGGTTTTCGTTGAAAACTTGAATTATAGAAAAATCCTTACCACAATTTCTCTTATGTGGTGAAAAACAAATTTCGCACTTATCGGCCATAGTACTAGAATTTGAACTAAAGAATTGTGAAATTTTGGTACCTTAGGAACCATGAGACCGTACCATGCTCATTCTCTTCTAAAAAAAACATCGCTTCTTAGGCAACTAAACATGCAGCGTATACTTAGGATTTCTATTAGAGTACCATAGTCCGAGAGCAGCTGTCCTAGGGTGGAATTTTTTATTTTCTTCATATTGAAATCCTCAAATTTATCAAAAAATATTCTCTTCTTTTACTAATTTTTACTGCTATTCGTGCCATTTCTTTATTATTCTGCGTGATGATAGTACATTATTCCTAAATATGTTTTTCTACTACTAACCTGAGAAGTCACCATTATATTTATTCCATTTCCCTAGTGAGAAGTTATATTTCTCTTCTTGGTTAATAATAATAATAGTAATAATAATAAAGTCTCTAGATAAATAATGAAAGATGTTTACGTTTTTCACTATTTTTAGTTTGCGGACCTCTCTAAGTTCAAGTGAGATTCCATCCATTTTCATTTCTAAAATCTCTAATTTTGACATTCACTAATTTTTCTCTTTTGTCAGGAGTTTTTCATAGAACTTTTACGTGTTTTCTGGAGACCAAAAAACCATATTGCGGCAGTTTGACAACTGAACGTTAGACTGTCAAATATGGTGACATTTAGATAGACAAATAGCAATTAATTGGAAATTCAAAATCTAATTAAATCAATTTAGGCAATTATCTGTGTTAGTAGTTAATTAAAGAATTCCTATATATACTTCGGTCAAGAAGGCTATTAAATACCTCGCACATTATACCTTCGGCGCTACGCGCCTCAGGATTTAAAAGTGTTTGCTATATAATAGCTCTTCTCGACTTCTCGACCCAGCGGCAGATCCAGCTTTCGAGTCAANGGGGGGGGTCAAGTAGTAGAAATTCAGTACTTTGTTGTCTATGAAATTAGAAAAATTATCGTTAGTCGTTATAAACCCAGCACAAGGTCCCTGGATCAGCTCTTGTCTCGACCTAGTAGCATATAATGCACTATTATTCAGGGTCTCCGCCGAGGTATTCGAAATACTTCGTATATGATTATATAACAGTTTTAAGCAGACATTGCTATTCTCACTTTTACTGAATTCTGAACGCTTTATAACTGACAAAAATAATTCTAATAAAAGCAAAAAGATCCCGCATATGAGCAGATTCCGTATTGCTTTTCGCAATCTCATTCTTGTTCGCATCCCATTGAATAAGTTTGTATTTTCACATGTTCCCATATGAAAAAGTCCGGTGGGTCGAGGGCTGGAGATCACGGTGGCCACGTATGGTACCACCGCGATTCTTCGAAAATGGGCCGAAACAACATCATCTAAAAAGAATATCGTTCTTTTGACTTGAAGAGGACTGCCCTAAAGTAGTAGAGCTAAAGCGTTCTTCAAAACACTGCTCAATTCCCCTCAATAAAATGTGGTGCAATATCTTCATCGTTAAATATTGCAGTCCGAACGTTTAGGGAGAAGTTTGTTTGAAAGTGGGGTTCTTGACCACACATGATCAATGTGGAAATAGTAAAATCCATCTCTTGAAAATTTTATAAATAAGTGTTTAAAAGATTATCCATATAATTCTAATTGGTTCCTGCGGTCACTAACCCAAACTAACCCAAACTATTTGTAGAAGATCCGATGGAAGACGTCTTACTGTGTCCACCAACTGCTTCTTCTTGTAAGGTTAGTACCAGCATTATTTTCAACTAGTGCAAAAACTTCACCAGCATATTTTTTTCGCCCAACTTTACGTTTACAAGTGAGTTTAGGGAACATACCCATTAAGGGAAGAGTAGATGTTTCTATTGTACGTTTGCTCATCTGGAAGACGTCGATTGGGGTATCGCTGTTGGTATTCCCTCACATTAAGACTATGGTACTACCGTTGCATTATCCATACACAAAACGTATTGTTCATTTGAACACATAAAAACGGAATCTTTTTATCATAAATAAAGCATAAGATTTATACAGGGTGTCCCACTGGGAACCGCCGCGATCGATATGTGGCAAACTGTAATTAGGAGAATTGAGAAAATTCGACAGTGTGCAGTTATTGTGGGCAAGCGGTCTAACATATTTTCAGGAAAGCCACACTTCCGGTTATACAGGAAGTAGGTATCAACTTGCTCATTTTAAATTGCACACCCTATATGTTATTACATTTTTGAATTCTACTTCAAATTCTAAATATATTTCATGTATAATATCATATACCTAAGTCTAACCGCTTTGACATATTTGAAATGTTTTGTAAAAAATAACAGTTGCAGCCACTCGAATAATTATTCATTTTTCGTAAGAAGAAATATGTATAATTATTTTAAATGACACTTCCTATATGTTATTACATTTTTGCATAGATGCGCTGTAAAATTTACCAATGGGAAATGAATGCATCCCGAGTCATATTATTGATAAGCAGATTGAATGTTTTAGAATTCAACGTTTTTGATTTAAATCTCCGAAACAATAATATAAATATATGTATAAGTTTTTTGTTATCAAAAAATCATAAAGCCCGCAATTCTTATTGATAAGCAAAATTCGACTTTTTTATTATAATTTTTAACTCTATTAATAATAGCCTGCTAATTGGAATTGAATTTTTAGCTTTAGTATTTTCAAGAAGTAAACGGAAAAACAATTATGACAATAGGTTGAACTTAAAAGTTTCGAGATATATTTGAGAATAAATTCCTTGAGAAGCGTCCAGGAAATCCTCGTAAAGGAAACGGAAACATTACACAATTTCATAGTAATTCACTAGATAATAGGTGGTTTCTCCACCAACCAAATTATTAAATAAATTAAGTTTAGAACCATAAAGCAAATTATAGCTTGTTTTTTCAAACAATTTTTTAGATACCTTATTTATTTCAAGCTGCGAGTAATTTTAGCGTGTTGTTCATTTCTTATCAAGTCGGCTTAAGTAATACATGTAATTATTTAGTGCGAGTTCCTTTTTTTCAGGTAATAATTTGCAAGTCATTGCCAATGATTTGCAACTTTTAAAAATAATATGGACTAATATTTTCGACCGCAACGAAGCAGATAGTATGAGAGAAGCAATGAAGTCATCAATATGATTTGTTGAATTTTTTTAGCATATTTTTTCACGTTGAGCTAAGAAAATGTGGTCTATTCTATAAAAATTTATAATTTTGTCAATTTTAAATTAACTTATTTTGTTCATTTGTTAAATTTTAAATTACACTTTAAATTACCGATATTTTCAGGTCATATACTTGTTTTTTCTATATTGACTTTTTGTAAGTTTCCCACTAACTTTCCATGATGGGTTTTCCAATTGTTTGTAATAATGCATGTAAATAATCAATGTTTCTTAATGCTCTCTGCTATATGCAGCGGTTTATATGAGAATAATTTTTCAAAGGCGTATAAGTAAAATCACATTTTTGTAAATCTCTTTCCCATTAATATGGCTGAGTAAAAAATGTGACAGTTTGAATCACATTTTTTATTCTTATGATCTAATAGAACAAGATATGTCGTGTTTTAGGGTCACTTAGAAAAATATAATACCTAATTTCGGATTCTGTTTTGTATATAGTTTGTATCGGTAGAGGCAGATTTAAATCCGAAAAGTTGGAATTGTAAATTTGGTACCAGCTTTCGTACTCTCAAAACCACTAATATACACACCACAGTTAACTCGAAATACTAAATTCAGCTTAATTAAATGAAACTTTCAGAGGCAATCTGTGAAACAAATTTAGGTTTTTGAAAAATGTTTAGCATCAAAATTCGCATATTTTTTTCATTTAAGCGACTTGTAAAGATTTTGACCGTTAATAGATATAAAGCTAGGATTTTTAAGTTAAATATTTTCTTACGAGAAACGAGAAAGAAATCTACGAAATTTTAGTAATATTTGATTTGCGATAGTAAATAGTGAAAATCCTACTTATGCGGTTCGAGAATATCAGATAAGGTATATATATGTACCATGTTTAGATATGTCGCTGCTTGCTGTTTTGTGGATTCAATCTTGGATTATTTCTATTTCAATTTTCAAATAAGTTGAGGAAAAATTTTGCACTATTTTTCATAAACAAGTATCCTGTAAGCGAAAATATGCATATTTCCCAAGGTAGAAGGTTTCAACTAAGTATTAAAAAAATAGGTAGAAGTTTGTCAAGCGATCCGACTTATTTTCTCAATTTTTAAGTAATAAGTTAAGTCTCATCAGTCTGCCGTGATTAAGTATTTAAATTACTTACTTGATACCGGTGCTTGGTTGGACATTTTAACAATGTTTTCTACAACTAGTCAATAATTACAGGATCACAAAAAATATTTTCAATTTTTGATTAATTGAAGCTGCTAAGAGTCAGTCTTAGAATTTAAAGGAACCACAAACAAGTATGAAGCGATTTCATTATCATACCTTTTCGCACATCTCGCGATAAAAGTTTAAGTACTACTCAACCGCAATATGACGCCTTTCGGAATTATACAGCAAAATTTGTTCTAGTAAATCTACTAGCAGTACTACACATGGAGCGGGTTCGAATGCTGATAAAGAACAAACGGTAACAAAAATTCAATACAATCGAGATTATACCGCCGAAACTTATAGTAGCTTAGGTACATAATAATAACATGACTTGCAAAAAACGACAACTATCAATTATTTAAAATAGATTAACGGTGTGCTGTACAAAATTCCTGTGAAAAATGTATAAGGATGGCTAATTGAAAAATTGGAGAACATTGTTTTCTAAACCTTGGGAATTAAAAGACTTTCGTACTTTTGCCAACAAACTAGTGTTCAAAAATTTCAGATAGTGTCACCAAACTTAACAAGTATGCTGTATTGCTTTATCTGACGGTTTAAATCAAAATCGTCAATATGATGACTTACAAATCTTATAAAAAATGTGTAAATTGCAATTAATTTGAACATTAAATTGATGGCTACAAAGATAAACCAAATATACGCAAAAATGCTCATTTTATCACTTTATATTTCACATGAAACGCTGAAGACATAGCACCACTCAGACAATACAAGTAGCTACTCTTTAGGTCCACTCTACATATACCTAGATTTTATTGAAATCCATAGTAGTTGGTATCAAATATTTGTCACTTTATAAAGATTATAAATATGGATTCTTCTAACCACTGACTAAAACGGATTATTTAAGAAAGTAAAACAAATGGACCAGAACCAGTCATTTTGGGACCACCGTTATTATCTTGACAATAGATATCCTGCTAAGTCTTCATTTTTTCATTTTAACAAAATTCATTCTCGGTTTGAATAACCTTGAATTGCTTCCCGTGGCAATTTCATTAACAGAAGAATCTGCAAATTACCACAGGATAAGTCGAGCGAGGTCAAGTCTAGAGATCTTGCTGGTCACTTTTTTCCCAGAAAGCAGTGAAGATTTATAATCTTTCATGCTTAGCTATTTTATACCTATTTCACCAATATTTTGCATTACGCTAGTAGCTAAATTTTATGCAGTTTTGGGAAAATATTTCGCGCTTCAGATTTTTCTCAGACCTTTGCAGGACGAAATGATCAACACCAAATTATTATTGGATTAATGTCAATACATCTACATAAATCATTCAAAATAAACTTTGACTTTATCATGCAATTCTAGGGTAAATGTTGCACATTTTGCAGCATGCAAGTGTTACGGCGTGTATTTTGTGGAACATAAAAAAAGGTTTGAAACAAAACAATATTGAGTAGTTGTTTATTGAGACAAAAATATACGTTCATCACAATGATAATACTATGAAATCGGAGTGTGTGTGAAAATAATAGATAACAATACTTAACTTTTGAAACTAATATTGTTGGATGTGCAACTAAAGAAAGATTGTGTGGTAGGTGAAAATAAACCTTACCTTAACAGTAAGGTGTTTTTAAAATAATGTTAAGATTGTAGTAGTAAAACATTTTAAATTATTTTTAGTGTTAGTGAGGAATAATTTATGACACACAAACTTTCTTTGGTTACTCCGAAGGTACGGTTGTTTCTGTAATTTCAAACAATAATCATAGGTACTTACTCACTAATACATTCAATCCACATTGACATGCGTACGTTTTTAAATAAATAGAGCACATTCATTAGTTAACTAAACTAAAAGGAATTAAAATAGACTTGTACGATCTTCTACACACGTGTGTCCAATTCAAGGCAACATATGTATATTTTACAACTGATTGCCCTATCCTTTAAAACATATATATGTTACCTTCGGCTCTACTACACGCTTTTTAGCGGCTAGATACATAAAGGAAAATAATACTTATCAGTAAGACAATAAAAACTGGTCCAATAAGTAGCATTAAATGTAGACTCCATCTATTAGAATTAAATCCAACATAATTTAAGAAACGCGCAATTAATTAAGAACATTTCTTAATATTGTTAAGGAGCATGCTATGAGTTTCTCATTTCATTAACTGAAAATTATTTACTAATTTCCATCAACGTCCTAGATGGTTATCATAATCATATCTGAATATGAATACCACGCTGCCATTTATGGGAACTCATATTAAATTAACAAAAAAAATGTATCTACCTATTGGTTTAACTCGATGTTTTCAATTTCAAGCTACTAATTGTCAAGATCACCGAAATATGTCTTTAGTTATCTAAGATAAAATAAGTGGATACTCGAGGAACAACCTTCTTATTTCCCTTCGATGACAATATTTTAAGTACTTCTAAAATTTGTTTTTGAAATATAGAATATGTAAACTGTATCGCACGTTTTATTGTTATGCATAATTGAAATAATATTTTGTTAAATGTTATATTAAACATTAAATTTCACGTTTGCAACATTGTCATGATAATGTGTCAAACTACACTAAATGGCAATCTAAATATATCATATATACAACATAAACACAGTCTACATTTAAAACAAAAATGTATGGAACAAAGTTCCTCCTATTAATCTACAAAAAAGACAGAGACAAAACAAAATATAATACCTCTTTAAATAATATCACAAGGTACAAAACTTAAAGTATTACACGCCCTCTAACAGGTTAAAAACTTAACACAGGAACCAAGAATAAAAACGATTATTTACATAGCCACCTACTAATAAGAGAAAGGGTCAGTATCCTCTTCCTGGACTTACATATCCCTTAAAAGTTTCAAGTAACTATTTTCCGTAATAGATGTACACCAAAAAGTCATTAGCTTTACCCTGTATAGTGTATTCAGTTGTGTAATAACCCAAATTAATAAAAGCATGCCAGGATTAGAGGGGCGGGTTTTACGATATAGTTATTTTCTTGTCTTGGCCAAAGTTAAACATTGCAATGGCACAATAAACTATAGATTTTGTAAGATATTGATATTATCAAGTTTCTTAAATTACCACATGGATAAAAACTCCTATATGGAACGGAATTACAGATTATAATAATTATTTAAATTGAATTTAAATAAGAACAAAGATAATTAAATAAATAATAAATCAGCACTTTTTTCGAATAAAACAATATTCAAATTCATTATGATTTAAAAAATGACTGATATACCATCAATTTTCTAGGCGGGGTTCGAATAATATAAAATCTGTAAAAACTATCAGCTTCCTTTCCTCTTTTTTTTTTCATTAATTAATAGTAATAAAGCTTTTTCTTAATGTACTTAAATCAGTCTTGGAAAATTGAGTCAAAACTTACAAACAGAAAGCACAATTTGTACGCAAGTCCGCAGCTTCTAAAGTAAAGTAATTTCTGAAAGTAAGCTTTGTAACTCACCTGAGAAACGTAAAAATCGCGGACCGAAGCGTGTAAAATCATTATCGTAAAACCCCTAAGAAAGAAACTAGTTTTATTTGGCAAGTAACATCAGGAAAACTGTAACTAGCTAGGTAATATTGAAGAAGCATTGCATTCTATTTCTTCAAAAAGTAAATTTACGAGTTTTATCACAAAATAATCAGGATTAAAATAAAAATTATTTTTGCAATACTTCAGGCAAAACCTACAGTAAGAGTTTAAAGCATACCAGAAGCAGTCAGAGTTTCAGAATTTATCTCAGTCTCCGGTTTCCACGGAATCAACTTGGATGCCCCGATCATGATCTGATCTTGCACAATGTAGCAGGATAGAAAATTCAGCTAAATCATCGCTGGACCTTTTAGCAGAATCACCTGTTCCGCTATCCTTGCATGATGATCTCTCCGATGCACAGTCAACGTGCAATTCTGTTAACTCTGTGCCCGGAAACGTTACCGGCTCTTTGGGCGTTCCTGATTTTCTCGTTTGGTATATTATAGCTACCCATACAATTGAAGTAAATACTGCGCAACATACTACAGTTATTATTATAATGCCCATCATGTTGCTTGTATCCAATACACCTAAACGAAAAAGGGACATGATTTAATTCATATATGGCTTGATACTTTCAATTAAATGTTCTTATTTAAGAGAACACAATTTGGGGCTGACTTGACGCTGGGCGACGTTTAGAGGAAAATATTAGATTTTTCTGTAGATCCAATAAAGTTCACCAATTGGTATATTTATCTCACATAAAATATACAGGGTGAGTTTTTTAGAAAGAAGAAAAATATCTTGTCTGTAATTTTCAATTTTCAATAATATTTTCTATAGTAGCGTATGCGTCCATTTTTTTTAATTTCTGTACCTTCACTAACTGACCCAAATGAGTGATAAATACTGTAACGCCTGTCGTGCCTTATATATAAAAATATCTTACTTGGTTTTACAACAACTCTGCTTCTACCAACTTCTTCCCCTTGAGAATTATTTAGATGGCATTCGTAAATCCCGGAATCATTGTGTACTGAATCCACAATAATTATAAGTTGGTTTTCAGCTATAAAGAAGTGTCTCTCCGTTGCCATAATCAACTCTCCATCCTATAAAACGTTTCGAGATCATTTACTAATATTTCAAAGTTAAATACTCTAAGTATTACCTTAACCCAAGTTACCGTGGGCTTCGGAACTCCTTGCGCCATACATTGAAGCACTATGGGTTCGCCAGCAGGCAATTCTCGGTCTTCCGGCCCATGGATCAGTTGGGGCCGTTGCAGTACCTTTAATAAATATAAATTTAAAAACAAATCGTTAAGTTTTGAACAAACTACCTTTAAACTGGCATTAGCTGATGCAATACCAGCTGTGTTATGGGCTGTACAACTATATACACCAGCATCACTAGGTCGAGCATCTCTAATAAAAAATACATCATCTCCCAGCAATACATGCATGCGCCTTTCTCTAGCTGCTGGAAAGTCATTGCCTCCATCTTTATGCCAAGCTACCTCAGGAGGAGGTTCTCCTGTAGCGGCACATTCCAATTTAACAGTTTGTCCTGCTTCAACCTCTACATTCTTAGGGGTTTTGATAAAAGTTGGATATACGAGAACTGAAATCGTTGACTGTTGGGAGTAGGTAATCCCATAACTATTGCTCACTACACACTGGTACTTCCCAGCATGCGAATGCTCAACAGAAAACAACTTTAATTCAGACACCGTTTCAACCGATTTTCCATCTTGATCTAAATTGGAGTTAACAATTACATTGGAATTCACAAGCTCAACATTGTCTTTTTTCCAGACAAAGGTCAAATTACTATTTGAATTGGATCTAGCTTTGCAATTTAGTGTTACACTTTCGCCCTTTAGTGCCATTATTTCCAATGCGGGCTCTTCAGTCAACCTAGGCTTTAGAACCTCATCTGGGCGAAAGGAAAACCACATTGTTATTACTTTAGGAAACTGCGAAAGAATCATACTAACCACATGTTAAATTGCTCATCGATATATTGGTTATAGATTGACCATGGAGCCATTGTGGATAGGCACAAAACGCTTTAACTTCCAACTTTTTGCCACTAAGCCATTCAAGAAACCATATCAAATTGCAGTCGCATAACATGCTTTGCGTATTTATTGTCAATTGCTAAAATTGTATGTATACACGTAAATACGCATTCAAAAACATCAAAAGACGTTTTATTCCAACGCAATTGCAATTCTGCCCATGTTATTTACCTTCAAGGCAGGAACTTTGCTGAAAGTATTATTATGGATCGATGTAATATTGTTTCTATCTAGATTAATGAGACTGACATTCTTCAATCCCAAAAAAGCATCAGAGTTTATCGATTTAATGTTATTTCCTATTAGATGGAATTTAACCAATTCTCCTAGACCTTGAAATACTCCTTTGGCATCTTCAATAGTCCATGATATTTTATTGTAATTAAAATGCCTGAAAATATTGCCAATTTTTCAATCTCTAACTAATGTGCATTTAGCATATACTTACAATATTCTTAATTTTGGAAGTTGTTCAAATGCGTGATCCATAATAATAGCTATGTCATTGTTATTTAAAACAAGTTTTTGTAAGCTACTTAAGCTTTTAAACGTGTACTCTTTAATTGAATTCAATTTATTAAACGACAGATCCCTAAAAGAAATAACCGTGTTTAATTAAAATCAAGTTTGAATAAAAAAAAACTACTGTGACTTACAAATTAGTCAATGTACTGCAAAACTCCCAAGCATCATCATGTATTTGACTAATTCTATTATGACTTAAAGATAACTCTTTTAAGGACTCCAATCCATAAAGCCATCCTTTTGTGATTACATTAATATGATTCTTATCCAACATTCTGTGAAACAGATAGCCAAATTTGAGATTCATTTTTAATAACATTTACATTGTAGTTATAACAGAAAAAGTATTTGAATGTTGATTGAAAAATAGCCAGTCAAACAAAAAATATGTTAATGACTATTACTCAAACAGCATTGCGTGTGCTAACTGATTATACAAACACTTTATTAAGTGAAATCGTAAAAAAATAATTAATATGAAAATGACGGAAAACACGTGTAATGAATTAAAATTAAAAACCCCACCCTATTTAATAATGCTGTTTGAGCTTCTCTTCAGTATCTTTTATACGCCAATATTTTTGAATTGGTATTGTAATCCTTATCAATAACATAATCATTTTTGTGTGATCAAGTAATAAAACACATATTATCTGATAAAAAGCTTACATTAATCCCTTAGTTCATCATGCACTGACAAATAATGTTATCGTCGAGTTCCGTATTAATAAGTAACATACATAACACAAATAATATATATATAAGAATACTTACAGTTTTTCTATTCGTTTCAAGCCATAGAAAGCTCCATCTTTGAGAGTGTCGATTTCATTTCTTTTCAGGCTCAAGACTCGTAGATTTTTTAAATTTTGAAATGTCAAAGCTTCTATTTGTGTAAGGTTGTTTCGGTTGATTTCCCTGTAAATTTAATATTATTTCTAAGTACTAAGAATACGTAAGACAAGATGTGTTTTAACCCCTCAGTAATGTATCAACTTCTCGTCTTTTATTGTTAAGTAAATAGTAAAATGGCAAAATAAGTTTTAGCTGTACGTAACGAAATTGGACTTATTCAAGCAATAGGAATATGTATTGCCTAATTGTCATACAAGGACTATTTTGGAAATCCCAAATAAAAGCAATCACATTAATCCAGATTGCTTCTTCAATAATACATATCTATAAACATGTTCAAAGAAGACATTTTCCTAAAACGTATTTATTATTTTATTCCCAGTAAATTCTACAGATAGGAGAGTTGAAGTGGCGAAAGCGAAAGGGAGGGAGATTTCCCTTAGCAAAGCATCGAAACAAGTTCATACAAACATGGGTCCGCAAGTGCCGTTTCCGAGAGACAGGGCGATCCTTACGTTTTCTTGTATAAAACGCTTAACCGATCAAATTATCGGTTTATTGACGGAATAATCCTAGGTCTTTGCACATTAGATTTATCCTGAATGTCAACGGGTGTGTCCAGAGGAGTAACTTGATTTCTTGCGGTTTTTATTTATTTGTTCAGAAAATCCCACTAAAAATCTTAATTTTTTCTGCGACTTAATTTTGGAATCTGGCTGCGTTTTGGATCAAAAATTACAAAATCATACCAGCATTTACAAACACATACACAAAACATGAACTTACAATGTCTGTCTATCAAAAGGTCACAGGTAGTCAAATATCCTGAAATATATCGCATTTTACGTTAGTATCTATTGTAAAGATTGGTTTCCTAACAAAGTAGGTGCGTTTATTTTAAAACGTATTTAATTATTTCAATATTTAGTTTTGAATCAACAATCACAATTTGGATTGTGAATTTCGACCATATGAATCATAGTGAAGATTATGCGCTACTAATAGTCCAACATTTTCTGTAAAGCAAAAATGTTATTATTTACCAATGATTTTAACTAAATCTTGTAAAATTATATAGACTTTTAATATGAATTTGATATGGCTGCGTTCTTAAATCGAGAATATGTCGGTACTAATTTTACTTATAGATACTGTGACGGAAATGCAAGAGCGACAGTGCAGGAATATCAGTGGATGTTTTCTACTAGAAGAATATTTAATAAGAAAGTATTCATCAATGTGCACCGTCAAAGCTGCTGCAGAACGTCCCCACAGAGCAAGAACTTGAAGAACAGGAAGCGATTCTTAACATAATCCAAAATAGTCTAGCGTACGAAGAATATTTAATCGTGTGCATGTTAGTGGAATGAAAATGTGGAGAATCTTACACAATTTTGGTTTCAACCCTTATCACATGCAATCAGTTTAAAATTTACATCCTGCAGCCCATGCTGCACGTATCAGATTTTGTCGTTGCATTTTACACCAACAGCTTTGTGGACAAATTCTGTTTACGAATTAAGCCACGATTACCAGAGATGGAATTACGAAAACCAGAAATTCACTTGAAAAGCTTTTGAACCCACGGAAACACACTTTGAACGCCGCTTTTCGGTGTGGCTTCCTTATTTTGAAATAAATGTAAGAACAGATCTAAATTTTCAATATTAATTATCAACTTTCAAACACGTAAAAATGCACTGGTAGCCGCGACGCTCGCTTATGCGGCATATCGGCTGCATGTTTATCGGCTTGGAAAACGACCTTTGTTGTACTTTACAAGTGGAAGACTATTATTTTTATTTTTCTAATTATGAAAATCAGCCATCACACTTACTTTCACTTGACAGGCTATGAATTTTTTTTCTCTTGTAAATAAATGTAGTTTGTTGTGGAATACAGATGGAAGACGATACTTTTTACAGATTTTAGGTCCAAATCAATGAGTAGAGTAAGTTTCATACGAAGGGCTGAGTTTTTTTTTATTCATTTTTGGCGAGAATCGCAACCCTCCTGCAAGCCCATCTACCACTGGAATGGAAGTCGATGATTTTATTGTTAGATATCATTTCAATAATCTATGGTCAAAAAATAAAATGAAAGGAAATGGTGTCGTCAAATGTCGCTGCCTCCCCTACTATTAGAAGAGCCGGGAAGCAGCGAGGGAACATGTTGAATCAAAACTTTAAACTTGTGTTAGTAATAAAACACTACATTATTCCGCATGCTCTTTACTTTATTCTTCATGCAGCCGTAAAATGAATATTACTCTATATACTATACTTACTCCTCAACAATTGAGTTTTGGCAAAACGTATAATTTTTTACTATAAGTATATACGTATAAATATATTTATAGTACAAATAAACTGAAGAGCCGGTTTTAGATACTATGGGGTCTCCAGCGAATTATTATCTGGGCTCCTACCTTCACGTTTATCAGACGATTAATTCATACGTATTTAACGATTCCCTAAATAATCGTAAAGAATATAATTTTTATACACGACTAGGTACCTACGTATACATTAAAATATTTTATCACTGCTTTCGCACATTTTAAAAATCAAAGCCTATTAATGTTTAAACAAATAAATAAACATACAAATTTAACAAAAATCAACATAGGTAGGTAACTAAAACTAAAGCATAAGAGGCTAGGTGTAGGTACATATCCTACGCAATGCTCAAATAAGCTTTTTTGGCCATAGAATAATATCATACACACCCAGGGTTCATACTTGCATATTTTATTATAGCTTTACAAGCTATTAAAAAAGTAAATCAAACAAAATAAACCCGCGTAGGTAAATGAAACATTAGCAGTTGTGACGATACAATGTATGATAACTTGACTGATATTAATTATAATGCATTGAACAACAAAATTCCTTTTGGATTCTCGATTGGAGTTCCTTGTCCATAGGGCCTCATTCACATTCATAATAACAAATGCTATATTACCGGTATAGAGCTGTCGGTTCATCTGTATATTTTTAACGTAAATAAAAAGCTACATTTGGAACTTTCCTCAATAATATTCGATCAAACTGCTTGCGTCATTTGATATCGTTATTAACTTTATATAAAAATGCCGCTTCGTTTATTTCAGATAAACATGGTGGTACTCTCTATTAAGATAAAACAAGAACTAATTTATTAACTGTATTCGTTTTTAGTACTTTTAAATTTCCATAAACAAAATACAGTACTTAAACGAATTACTTTGTCTTAACAAAATAATGTTCATATTTTCTGAAATTACAGCATAGTAAGTAATCATCAATGTGAATTCATTTATAATGATTCAATAAATCTTGCTTTAATTTGATTAATCACATGTTAATGTTCTGTTTGGTATCATGCTGCATAAATAAACTTAATGATACATCTGCGATTCCAAACAAAAAATAATAAACATTGTATGACAACTGGAATGTTTCTCCCCTTATCTTCGATAACATTGGTCAATTGTACCTTGTATTATATTTTTATTTTTTATAGTTTCACCTGTTTTATTTAGGTTTAAATTTAGTATCCAATTAATTAAAGGGTAAATATGTGCTTTACACCTATAGAAAAAATGTCAATTTCTACCACCGGGTAATTATTAATTAATTTATTCCTAATTAATGATCATTTGAGTAAAATATAAGACATTATCGAGGCGATCTCGTGTCTCACAAAAGACACTGATAATGAGACACTATAGGATATTAATGATATTACTTACAGGCGATGTGTCCATTGTGGGATGTGCTTGGGAACAACTTTTAACCTTAGAGAGTCGCAGTCTATATACGTATCTAAACAACGACAGTCCTGGACACACATGGACTTTGCGAAACTCATTGAACTAGACAATAAAACCATGTATGAAACCCAAAAACAAACACCCACCATTTTGGAGAAACACAATTATAAATCATAGTTCGCTACTTTGCATCGTTCGGATGCCAAGACCGCGGCATTTTATCGTATTTTTCATTACTTTTCGTATAGTCAAGCCCATCAAAACTCGCAATTCATTAACATTTCCTTAGTAAATGATGAAAAATGTATTATTTTTAACATACTTGTTACATGACGCTTTATGACAAACATCTATTTACATTTCACATTAATTACCTGTTGGGGATTTTTGGTTTTTCAATTTTATAACGTTTGATCAATCAAGTTGGCGGCCTTGTCTCAAACACAATGGAAGTGACACGAGTGCTAACGATAAAATAACCGTTGTAAAACGTTTTGTGAAAGAAAAATCGTATAATTTGGCTTATTACTGTGATATCCTTCAGGAAGTCTGATATTTAGGTAGTTTTGTATAATTTTTATGTTATATAAATGAAAGGTTCCAAAATGTGCCACAAAAACGTCCAAAACGAGTGGAACAATAACGTTTTTTTTATCTAGGTTTCTTGTGGATTGCAATTGATATATCTCAATAAAACCTGGTATCCAATATTCATTCAGTTATTAATAAAACACAATTTTTTCGTGCTGTTTTCCTTTTTAACTATAAATTCATTAATTCTTTAAATTAGCTCTTTGGATCAAATTTTTAAATTTATATTACAACTTAACTTTATGGTTGCACTTGTTGCAGTCCGATAAATTAATAAAGTGACCCTCAGAAGTCAATAGGGAGCAGATGAACAAAAAAGATATTTCACATCTTGTCTATTTTTTTTTATTTTTTAGATGCTTTTAATAATATCAAAAATATATGCATAGGAAATAAAAATTAAAATAACAATAATACTTTATTCATAACAAAATCATTAAAAATAATGACAAATGGAGAGTCCGGAAAAGGAAGAGAATTATCCAACTTGGAATGCGTAGAAATGCAAATGGGTTGTTTATACATAAAACGTGTGCTTTTTATACATTAACGTTTATTATACATGAAAAGAATAACGATAAAATTTTTCAGTGAAAAATGTATTTACTTGCATACAAGCAACCAAGACAGGAAAAATAATATTAATACACAGTGATAAGCGTGTTAAATTGTTTTATTTGTTGAGACTGAACAGAAAGGAATGAAAACCTTTTTCTCGGAGTTTTCACTTATTTTGCGAGCAACATTGCAATTAACGGAACACACTCCAAATGTCAATAGTCAAGGCGCCTGATGATTTCTGACGAGTGTGACACTGTGACGACCCATGTGTCTACAGGAATGTCATTTTATATTTTTTGTCTATCAAAATTTAAGCAAAAAAGGAATATTCAATCCTCATAGTTTTAAAGTAGTTTTGCATATTGTTTATCGTCAGATTTTCGAATTTTGTGAAATAGTTTGTGTGGTTTGACAAAGTGTTTTTAGTAGTTACATAAAACAATAATCGTTGGTGGCTGTCTGAGCTCACAAAACCATTGTTTATGAAGGAGTAGTTGGCAATTTTTTTTTGGTTTTTCACTTGCAGTTAAAGAGGTATTTTGCAAAAAACCAATTTAGTTGATGTTTAATGTTAAGTTCAAGTTCCAATATCAATGTTTGCCAACTTGTTTTGGTGATTCGATATTTTTGTTTTGTCATTCCATTTCAATATGGCCGATAGAGCGTACGTCTAATTGTGCAATTTACTCATGGGAATGTACAATGCCAATTTTACATACATTTTAACGGTAAAGTAGTCTTGTGAAGTCTTTGAAGTATTAATAAATATAACAAACGATCTGAGTAAGTTCTATTCAGTTCCGTCATAATAACCATATATATTATTAAGTTAACAGATAAATAATAATACGCTCCTTTGTAGTTAGCATTAAAGGTTCCAGGTTCCACTTCTGAAATATTTTATCAGCTCAAAAAGTAATTAAGCTCTCCAAAAGAATGCTTTATTTTTGTTACCAATCGCAATATGACTTAACGTTTAGCTAGTACCATATACATATACAGTTAACCATTCAATGCAAGTATGCGATTAAGCTCACCAGTATTATTAGCCCTTTTTTCTGTTTATAGAGGAAAATGCCCAAGTAAGAACAGCCAACATGAAGATTGACAGGTCACGGGTGCGAAAAAGCACTTCGGATGTGCCTATTGAATGCTTGCAGCTGATTTACAGACTTCAGCAATGTTCTCGTACCGAATTACTGGAAGAACTATCGAAGATTCACTCATGGACATTCGGCAAGTGTGAACTACTTCATTGGGCACAAGTTTTGGATATTTTTGATCGCATTTTGCTCAATGCTGCTGAGAGAAATGAAGACAATAAATGGGCTCTAAAGTGTGATAGTTTTAGTGGCAAGGTAAGTGGCATTAATATTTTAATTCCAGAAATCGCACTATAAGCTCCCTGTTAGAATCAGTATATGAAATTACATTTTATCCTGAACAGGAATATGTTGTTGCTGGGAATTCTATTCTTTTAGTATCTTTTTTTAGTAAGTAGTTACGTTTTTCTTGAATCGATTTATAAATAAGTACATATATTACACTATTAAGGAATACATAGCAGTTATGTTGTAATCCTTTTGTGCTTGTTTATACTGATTATCTGCATATTCCAAATTTGAAATATTGCATATTTTTGCTGTGTATCTACGTATCGTTGAAAAGTTGTATATTGAACAGTGATTTTTATTTTCTCCAAAGCTATGCGAGATACGAGAAAAACTAAAAAAACCAGAAATTTGTATTGCATGTTCCCCCTCCGACTAAGAAAGAAAATTGTAAAAGATGTCTGATGCTAGTTTTTTTTCATTAGTTGGCCAGTTTCTAACTCGAGTCGCGACTTTTTTATATTATATTTTTTAGCATAGGTTCCCACTGTTGTAAATACCACTGCCAAATTTCAACAATAGAGACAAAGATTATTTCCGAAAGCCCGTTCTTTTTTATTTCAGTATATTGAAAAAAGAATAATTTCCGGACCTATATGTAGATACACTTTTCCCACTTACAAGCATTCAAAGAATTTCCCGAAGTTCGCGTACGTACTTTAGTAACACCATATATAAAAACATATCGGAGCAGTATCAGAAAAATGAACACAACTAGAAGTAAAATATCGGATTATTAATCAAAGAAAAGAAGAACGTTATTATTGAGTTCCATTGCCATATTGTTGAGATTATAGTTTGATGTGTTGACAAGATTAGTTTTTTTCTTAACAGTTATATCCCATTGGTTGCGAACATTGTATCGATGGATACCTACTGTTAAATTAAATTAAAATTTCATATTATTAAATATGTTGTTTTACGGATCAAAAGTTTCTGCAGTGCGATATATTTGTTATAGACATTGCTTTGTTTCGTATCAGTTAGAATTCATTAATAGCTTTGGCATATTCTACGGTGGCGTGCTGCAAAATTCAAGACGTGCTGTGTTTAATGCGTGGTTCAATAGTCGCGTTGTGTACATATATAGATTTAGTCTTCATTCTGGTCATAAAACTCAACAAAAATTTTCTCCATACCCTTGTATTTTCAATTCTGAACCCAATTCAACTCCTAAGTATTTAATTTGTTCATTGCCCTCTTTTCTATTGTTATTATTCTTAGTATATATCGCATTATTACTCGCCGTTGACAAATATAATTTTTTCTAATCAAACAAGATTTACTTTAAAACCATTAGGAATTAATTAACAAAGAATCAATTGAAGAGAGTTCCGGAGACAATTTTGTACTAAGGACCTTTTACATGTTTACATAGAAAAAAAATTTGTTCCCATTTAAAGGGGTTAAAAGTAATAAATCTACCAGTCTAAGATTATTATATTTCTTTGGAAATTTTTGTAGTCGTCTTTGTGCTGATTCGCCGTGTTTGTTGGTCAGCGATCGAAAGTGTTCTGTCCTCTTAAATCATTAAGAAACTGAAATAATTCAGTTTCTTGCGATCTGATTAATATGCATACCTAACGTCAGTTTTTTATAGATCGTTCATTCTTCAAGTACTGGAAATATAAACAAATTCGCCAATATTATTATTGAGGACAGAGTTCATAATACAACCGAGGAAAGCTCTTTATTATGGTCTCTGATAGAATCACTTCCAGATTGGTTAACCAACCCTTGGATAGAAATTGGTTAAAATAATTTTGATCATCAAAGATCATAATATATTAAATAAATATATCGTATTTAAGTAAATCTTAATTATCGAAATAAAAAAACGTTTAAAAACTGTAAAATCTTACGGATCCTTACATGGAGGGGTAGGGGGTTGAAAAATTGTCCGATTTTATCTTACGTAATTTAGGCACGGCTCCTTAGGTATTTGGATGTGTACGAGCTGTGTTTATTGTGTCCTAGTCATGGACCAAATATTTTATTCCAAATTCTTAAATAAGTTTTTAACACATTCACTAAAGCTTCAGCAGACTGATACGTTAACGGTCTGCTTCTGCTTGCAACTACAATTATATAATCGCTATAGCAATCGCTGTAGTCAAAGTCAATAAAGTAAACGATACTATTTACTAAGAAACGGTACTATTTACTAAGAAAGTGAATAATTTGTGGGCTTGTATAAACGCTAATTTCACGCAAGACCGGAAAAATATAACTGTCAATTGAATGAAGTAAAAATAAACAGTAATTTAATTCAAAAAAGCAGAACAAACAAATCATAATCAATTCAATAATCATTTAAGGTCACGAAAAAAAATGAACTGTAGAAATACGTACACGATGGCAATTTATTGGACGTTTTGCATATTTACATTTAGAACTAAATACTAAAAATGTGAGATTCCTTGTACCCATCAAATAATTTCTTGTCAGTTAAGACGGATTTCGAAAAATAGAATTGGTCCAACAAGTAACAATCTGGCAAAGTGGAAGATAAATATTCTTTCGGTCTTTCCACCGTTTTATTGGATTCATTGTTCTCTCTAAAATTGGTTTCTCCAAATATTTTCGACTTTTCCAACCCTTGCTAATTTGGGTTTCTTTTTGCTAGATATGCAGGGTGTCCCAGTTTTTATTATCGGGACTTCATGTATGGTTAGAAAACAGAAGTAACAGAAACAAATTTTAAGTTGCACAAATTCAATGTTTTGATGATTTCGTCTTGTATTCTTAAAATCAATAAACGCTGCGTCCAGTAGTTTAGTTAAAACTGCTTTAACAGTTCGAATATAAAAAAACACAAACTAATTTTAACAATTTTGAACAGCCTGTATACCAAAAGAAAAACATACAGGCAGTGGACTTATGTTTAGATGACCACCGTTTTTTTTTCTAAGCGTACCTGAAGTCTTTATCATAAAAACTGGGACACCCTATAGAATGCTGCTTAGTCATATCACAATCCACGTTGCGTAAAATCTTGATTTCGAAAAAAAATTATTACACTCATTTTTTGTCGTACATAGGTACATGATTTTGCTACTATAGTGTTTGATTTAAACTTCTCTATACCTGAAGATTTATGTAGCTTAGTTCTTTCGCTGTTCGCGATTCCTGGCTGATGGAAATGCGTGGATCTTAGACCGAGTGTGACGATTTAAAATAAAATTTAAATAATATAGTAAGAGTAAAAAGCTAAAAATAGCCGATTTCGGCTTCGGAGCAGAAACGAATTGATGAAATAAAAATATGCGAGGCATGCCGCAAAAAGATCTGCCGGGCGACGCTCGCGCGCTGCTGATTCAATCTGTGCAGTCTTATGTATTTGGATGAATTATTTTTAGCCCAACGATATTGTTAATAAGAAAATTCTTTCATGGGGTGATCTTTCAGAAGAGATCGTGCAAATTCCATTATAATCAAACAATTGTTTGATGATGGTTTTGATTATTCCTAAAGTGGGACTCGAGTTAACATTGCGGTCAGCGAGGAACGTTTATAATCAATAAAAAGTTCTTCCGAGCTACGAAAGAAATTGATTCGAACGAGATATGGACGCGATAGGATGGCGCTGGATGGGCATATTACGAAATATAGTATCGATTTTAATTAACCTGTTAACGGCCACACAGGTTTTGAGATTTGAGCCTTTACGTGTCGTCAAACAGTTCCTCTATTTTATTGTTGCTTAGACAGCTGAAAATTGGACTGAAAGGATTCCATATGGAACAGCCGCAATAAATTTTTGACATAAAAAGTATATTTTTTCAGCAGTTACTTTAGTTTCTTTTCCTAGTGATCCTAAAACGGCATCCTTTACATCCAATTGTCACACGCAAAGATATTTCAATTATTTAACTTCAGTTCATTGTATATTAAAGCGTAAACGTTGTGAATGTGTATTACAAAATAATCTAAATTTTCTCATATATATTATGGAAAACGAGTTTTTGGATGCTATAAATCTGTGATACACTGTATGCAGTGTGAAGGCCCAGCATCGAAATATCGTAAATTGAAACTGGTTGATAAAAAGAAAACATTTACATATTAATAAAAACGAAATTTTCGAATCTCAATACAGTTAAATTTCCGCGTTGTTATCCAAGCTGGTGCAAAACCCACTACATTTCTCCCCAAGCAACTAACGACTCGACGTTTCGTTTTCAAATCGCGGTATTATTTTCGAAATCCAGTCGCTGTTTTCAGTCTGAATCCAACAATGTCTATATAACATTTTAACATTAAGTTATGCTTTGATCAGTTTTTTGACAAATCTTCAGATAATTCCAAACACGGATACAAATTGTCCACACATTGACAAACAAATATTTACTAATTAACTAGCATCTTATCTATTTGAGAATATTAACGTAACACTTTAAATTAATAACTAAGAACTTTTACAATAACAAATCCAAAAGTAATTTAATAGAATCTAAATGTATAACCAATGGTCAAAAGTGTTACCTATTTATTGAGTACCGAGGTAAATATGAATTTAGAACCGCATTTTCATAAGTATTTTTTGATTGTTTTTTAGGACAAATTGTTGCTAATATGCATACTGAGATTCACCAGTTTGTTGATAGAGCATTCATTTTCACGACATCTGTACAACTCAATGGAGCACTTACTGGTATTGCTAATGTCTAACGAGATGAATGTTGTGCTAGAAGTCTTAAATCTATTGTATATGTTTTCCAAACGCAGTAATTTTATTAGCCGTCTTAAGACTGAAGAGAAAGAATGTCTTTTATCTCGATTGCTATATTTAGCAGAGGTATACATTCTTAAAAATCGAAATTTGGAGTATATTTAATAAGTACGTTTTAGCATTGGGGAGGTAAAGAAAATGGTTTTGGCCTAGCTGGCTGCTGTGATCCAAAGAAAGAAATTCCTAGTTCTGCTACTACTCTACATGTCGAATTTCATAAAGAAGATTCACCGAAATCACCAACCAAACGAGACTCAGCTGAAAGTACAACCAAAGGGGGGACTAAACCAAATTTACACATTATTCACATAGAGCATATAGACAAACTTAACAAAACTCCAGCGGAAATAATGAAGTCCTTGATAAGTATGTATTACGTGCCTCCCGAAAAAGAGATGTGGCTCTACACACATGTGAGATTGGCCACTCATTTTGCTAACTATGAGAAAAGACTTAAATGCGTTCAAGCCAGACTTCAGGCTCTTTCTGTTTTGGTTTATTCAAGTACCTTACAAGAGTCTCCATCGAACTTACTTTATAATGGAATATTAGAAGAATTAGTGGAAGTTGTGGAATTACAAGATCCCCAATTAACGGACATCAGATGTGCAGCTTTAAGAACTCTAACAGCTATTATTCATCTCGACAGAAATCCCCAGTTTCCTCACAACAGAAGACCAGGTGCTAGATTGAACAGCATTATTGACGTAACTGGTGCTAGTCAATATCACGGATTCTTGCCTACTTTGGTCAGAAATTGTATAGCTTCATTAACTAGCCAGCAGGATTTTGGTCAGGCGGCTTTCAAAAATATGAAACTCCAAGATGAACCGGGTTCAAACGAGACTACTAGCGATGTCGAAATGCCGAACATTTCTCCAACTTTGGCACCAAATACAGGAGCATCTTTTGGAATGGACATCGCATCAAGAGACCCTCCTACACTGGATCAAATTATCAGCACAGAATCGAATAAGTTCCCAGTGAGCTTAACGACTGCATTGTTCTCATTTTTATATCATCTGGCAAGCTATGACGTGGGCGGCGAAGCTTTGGTGTCCTGTGGAATGATGGAATCACTTTTACAAGTTATCAACTGGCAAGGTTATGAACTTGACCATATTACGGTAGTAAAACGCTTTTGTTTCCGCTATGCTATAGTTTACGGCGAATTTTTTTACAGTTTGTTACCCGAGCCGTCAGAGTTATAGACCTCATTACTAATATAGACATGCAAGCATTTCAAGCCCATGGAGGCTTAAATAGTTTTATTAACAGACTGGAAGTCGAAGTTAACTTCTGCAAGAAAGAACAGATGTATGTTGTCAAAGCGAATCTTGTGGAGCAGAATTTTGAGGATATAAACACACAAGGAACATCAGAAGAACCTACAACAACGGTCGAATTAGAATCTGTTGCTGAAAATACAGGGAAAACTTGCTTACCCCAAAGAGCAGCATTATTAAAATCTCTGTTGAATTTTTTAAAGAAAGCGTTCCAAGTGAGTGTCAAATTGACTTCTTAAAACCGGATGATCATTGTTGGCGATCTCGACTAGTTATTGACTGACTTTAACGGTTGTTTTCAGGATTCGGCATTTGCAGAAAGCATTAGGCATTTAATGGAAGGCCCACTTCCTTCAGCATTGAAAAACATAATTGCAAACGCAGAATATTATGGCCCATCGTTATTTCTATTGGCAACTGACGTCGTAACTGTTTATGTGTATCAGGAACCTGCGTTATTATCAGCTCTTCAAGACAATGGACTGACAAATGTTGTTCTTCATGCTTTACTTGTGAAAGAGGTAATTTTAAAATGTCAAACTTGTTGCCTAAAAAAGCAGTGCTGATATTTTCCAGCAATTAAAATAATTGACCATAATAACATGACAAAAATGACAAATTTATTGTCATTGACAAAAAAAATTTATTTGAGTATTTTGCTCCAAAATAAATTGAAAAAATGGAAATTGGTCCTTTGAAAGGACCAAATTTCAAAGACCCTTAATTTGAGGCAAAATATCAAAATATTCTTTTTTTGTCAGAACTTATCTATTATTGACATTGTTTGTTCAGGTACCAGCAACGAGAGAGGTATTGGGATCACTTCCTAACGTATTTAGCGCTCTCTGTTTGAATGCCCGTGGTTTGGAATCATTTGCCAAACACAAACCGTTTGAAAAACTTTTCTACATTCTTCTTTCGCCTGCTTACTTGCCAGCTATGCGCAGGAGGCGAAGTTCAGAAGCAGCTACAGACACAGCTACTAATTTGGGAAATGCTATGGACGAGTTAATGAGGCATCAGCCTAGTCTACGGCAGGACGCAACCTTAGCGATCATTAGCCTATTAGAAGAATTAGTTTATGAAGGGACTGATCCGAAATATGTTTGCTGGAGACCACACACTCGTACGGAACCAGTTGCAATTAGACTAGGCAGAACTGCACCTACTGAAGGTTCATCAGATGAGGAAGAGGAAGAAGAGGATGAAACATCAACTAGTTCTCAAAATGCTAATGCACAAACTCAAACTGAAAGTGGAGCTAGTACTTCTCAAGCTCCTGTTGGCACTGAAAGACAACCCATTGCTTTAATAGATTACGTGCTGAATGCTATGAAGTTTATTGATGCCATATTGAGTAACAACTCGACAGACGATCATTGTCGAGAATTTGTACAGAAAGGCGGGTTGAAGCCTCTTCTTCGACTACTAGGATTGTCCAATTTGCCTGCTGACTGTCCGGTCACAAATCCAGCGCAAGCTGTCGCCACAGTGTGCAAGAGTATATTAAACTTAGCACACGAACCATTTCTTTTCCAAGAGGGCTTGCAACAACTCAGCGAAGTTTTGGATCGTTTAAAACCTCTGTGCGCACCAACAGAAGAGAGTAAGACCACATTGGGCAGTTCTAGACTTTTAATGGAGCTGGCAAGCGCACCTGATCCCACTACCGCCTTTAGTTCAGCTCAGGCAACGCCCTTATTACATGCGATGTGCGCCGCACATGGTTACGTGCTAATGTTTGTACATGTTTGCCGCACAGGTCAGCAAGAAATTCGAAGCTTGTCGCTGCAACACTGGGGGAAAAAAGAAGGAGCGAAAGTTTTGAAAGGTACCGTTGGAAATTGTTTTGTTTTTATTTATAAGCAATTTGTTATGTTTATGTTATAGGACTTGCCGAACTGTATACCGCTTTGGTTTGGGAGAGCACCCTTCTATTAGCTTACTGTAGTGATGATTTGATTCCTTCCGAATGCGATTTCACGAGAGAGAGCATAGAAAAGCTTAATCAGTTTTTCGATAGAGTAAGTATGATTGTGTCAAATAGACTTTTCAGAGTCAAATCAAATTTATATCATAGGGGGTATGGGGTTGGGGATATCGTAAACCTTCACGATGAGAAATAAGTTCACATAGCTGGATTTCACTGGAAAAGAGAAAGATGATTTTCTATACTATTGTTGAATGGACGATTAAATATTTATACTACATACGCTATAACTTTGGTCGCACGTCGTCAGTGACGAAATTTGACTACCAACATTACATTACAATTATGCATGAAATTTGTGTGATAAGTCGAATCGAATGTTTTTGTTGTGTTTTGGGCATTGGAGAACCTCAAGCCATCATAAAATGAGAAAGACCTTTAGAAAACTACCTAATTTAAAGCGATGTTATGTATTTATGTTCATCTTTAAAGTTATTAGGTTGGTGAAAGTTATAATGCTGCCGACTCGATTGTAGATTTATTGGAATTTTTTTAATGACATGACACAAATAACAAAAGATAATTAAATAAATGTTTTTGATAAATGCTCAAAATAACGACTTTATTTTTACAGGAGTTCGGTTTTATCTTTTGAACCTTACTATTTGGTACATGATATATTATTTGAAAGGGATTTTGACAATATTTTAGTTTATTTGCTAATACATACCGTGTTCTGTTTAAAAACAAATGACTTTTTTCGATTTTGGAATCTAGCGATAGATCTACTCGTTTTACGCGACCCTGTATAATGCAAAGATTTCTCCATATAAAAATAATACACAGTAGCTTGTGTGCTTCACCCAAAATTTCAAGTTTTACTATGTAATACAGATATCGCAGTTTTAAACATTAAATTCTAATTGAACTAAGTCTTGAACGAAAAAATTAGAAAATAATTAATTACTCGAAAACCGTTTGAGATGGTTGTAGAAGAGTAGTAGAGAAAAACTTTTTGGCGTAGCAAAGTTTTTGATCCTTGTTGGTATAAGCGACAGTGCTGTATTCCTGAATTTATTTTAAAATATAAAAGTATCCACCAAGTACCAAATTTTCAGATCAATTCAAACTCGCGTTTTCTGTGTACGACTAACATGCCAACAACTGTTAGCCGCTCTGTATAAATAAAATGAGACTCCGATAAAAAAAACCTTAACAATCGCCCTAAACGTCTTTTAGCTTGCACTTGTTTAGTGCAAAAATCACTAATAGGAAGATTTCGTGAATGTAAAAAGCGACTTTCAGTATTTTTTGTTTCATTTCATTGATTGAAGAATTTGTATCCTTATTATAATAACTTTAAAATTTGAAAGAATGATTAAAAAAAATTAATTACTTGGTTAAAAGGAAATGCTAATTTGGTTCAATTATTGCAATTCTCTAGTGCGAGACAACACAAGGCGTTGCATCAGACACATGTACTCATCCTTCTTCGGTAGATCCATTAGGTGCAGGAAATGCACCAATGGAAGTTGATGGAAGTGAATCCTCCAAGCCGGACGTCAGAAACCTAAAGTACATAAAACCGCTTTTGGGGGCATCTTCCAGGTTGGGCCGGACATTAGCAGAGTTATTTGGACTCCTCGTTAAATTATGTGTTGGATCTCCAGTTAGACAACGCCGGGGTCAAAACAATGCAGCTGCGCATCCTACACCATCCGTCCATGCGAGAAAGGTAAGTGATATTGAATTATGATTGACTTTTGCCGTGAATTTATTACTCAGTGATATGCAATTTTCAAAATTTTATTACTCGACAAAATGTGATGTTACTACCACGAATTCTGTATGAAATTGTAGATACAAGGTGTTTCATGAGGAGGAGGTATTATCTTAACCACGTATTCTACGTCCGCAAATAACCCTAGTTTGCTTTATAAACGATGGCCCAAAGATGGCTCGTTACGGATTTACAGTGTGATCGTTTTTGATTTAAAAATGGCACGCCACTGTATTTTTTAATTATTACAAATACTTTTCAAATTGGATTTTCTTGCTACGACAAGCCGTTATGATTTTAAAGTAAGATTTGCGGTAGATGGGCCAAATTGGACATATTTAAATGGGAACCATCGTTTGTATTGGAATAGATAAAAACTTGGCTCATCTCATAAAAAAGCCGATAGGTGTATGGAGCGCGAAGGTTTAGTTTTTGAACACTTGTAATTCTGTATTTTTATTGATAGTAAAAGAACCTACTTTTCAAAATATTTAAATATTGTTATCTTCTTTAGACACGGAGCCTACAAGAAGGCGTGGGCCAGTAAATGAAAAATTAATAATTTTAGCAAGACACTGGATCAGTTTTTATCTACTCTAATACAAACGGTGGTTCCCATTTAAATGTGTTCATTTTGGCCCACCTACCACATATCTTACTTTAGAATATTACCCACTTGTCGTAGAAAAAAAAATCAAAATATATGTTTTTTTATTGTAAAACATGCGTCTTCCGTAATCGTTAAAATATCGATGTGCGATTTGACAAAAATTGTCATTTTCCATTTTTTAAATTACATTTCAGCAGCCTGTCAATCCGTAACGAAGCATCTTTGGGCGATCGTTTATAAAGCAAGCTAGGGTTATTTCCGAACATCGAATACGTGGCTAAAATAATGCCCCGTCCGCACGTATTTTATACATGTACCTTGTATATGTTAGACATTTTAATACGACTTGTACCAGAGATTAGTAGACTACTAATCTGTGTTTGTACTAGACAAAATCTAATATTACGAAAAATATTGCATATAAAATGAGCTCCGGGAGGCAGGGGTCCTTTTGACCTAGTCATTTCATGTCGGCTGCTATTAACAATAAAAGTAGATGCTATATAACTAATGATGAAAAGTGCCGTCAGCTGGTCCAATAGCGGTGGAAGCGAAGCGAGTGTGGGATGCTGAGGAACATGTCGAGAAAAGTTTTTTCCAAAACCGTTTTAGACAACCTGATTTTTTTTCATGAATTAAAGACGACAGATAATACATACAAAAATGGTCAGCTGGGCGTGTGATCGTGACGTAAGGAAAATAAAGGAAATCACATCATTTTTTTTAAATATTTTTTTTGATTTTATTTGATGATTTTAATAACATTTGAATATGTAATATGAAAATGACAATCAGCTGCATTTATATTGGGGAAACGACCGTCAGCCCAAGCAAGAATGTATGATTGCGCTCATATATCTCTATGACGCGCGGAATTTTCAATGGTCCGACTGACGACTTTTTCCCCAACGAGCAATCGGCTGACGAATATTTTAACATTTCTATTTATGAGTACTATAACGTTTATAAATTTCAAACTGCCCGTCAATAATCCACCGAAGGTATATATTATATGAAGTCTCCACTACAAAGGTATTTAGAACTGATCAGGCTAGTTAGAACTGATTTCGATATTGTGGAAGATGATATTTGGAACCGAGTGGTACTCATTTTAATAAGGCAATGCATTCGAAATATCCAGCCTAAACGATTGCCCGAGGATTTAAGTACTGACTTCTTGATAAAAGCAGAATGCGAAGTTTCACAAAAACTAATCAATTTTTATTGTAAAATTATCTCTACTAAATATATCCGATAAAAGTTAGTAAAAATATTGCGAGAACAGCAAAATCTTTTTCCGAAAATTTGATCTGCGCTGTTAGTCACAGCAGCAGTGAGTTTGGGAGAAAAAACATTAAAATCGATCGAAATCCGAAAGTTGAACCTGAACCTGACGAATTTTTTGGTCCAACATTTTTATTTCAAAAATAATTTTCCTTTAAAAATATTTTCTTTTCTCGTGAAAATACATGCCAAAATGTGTGGGTTTGTGAAAAAACAGAAAACTGTTAAATTTTGGAAAGTTTTGTCCAAAATTCGACTTGAAATCAAAAAACTTCCATTCGCTCACCTTATTGTTCAATTTAGAGAAAAAGTGGATCCCCAGTTTTTTATGCCATTTTATCATTCAGTGGGGTGCTTGGAATGAGTCAATTGATTTTGGTTTTCCAGATATTTTCAGTTTTCTTGGAGCAGCGTTTTTTGCAATTTCTCCGAAACCTTTGTTGCGATAAACTTCAAGTCAAGTAGCCTAAAATGATTCAAAACACTTTTTACTTTACTGCTCCATGTGGTGCTATAGCACCCACGCCTGTGGGTGCGCCAGCCAGCCACCTTCAATGTCGTCAGTCGAAGCTTATTTATCGGTATGGATAAAATCTAGCGGCATCAAAACACTATTCAAAATAGACTCCTGCCTCCCGGACTATTACGTCAGTTTGTCTGATTAAAGGACGCTTGATTTAAGTTAAGCAAACTATGACGGTTTGTTATAACGGTTTGCTCTGTTCATTTTAGGTGGCACTTGCTTTAAATGCGCTTCTTGCAAAAGGATTAGACTGTGATACTCTCCCGCCTTGTCCAACACCGAAATGTCGTCTCACATTTCTAATTTGTAGTGTAGGTTTTACAAGTCCTATGTTATTTGATGAGCGACGTTACCCCTATTATTTGATGCTGAAGAAGTTTATTAGTATGGGAGGTCAAGCTACGTTTTTCAAGACATTTCGATGGGCATTGCAAGGCGATGGAAAGATCCCCAGAGATGTAAATTCTTTACCAGACGGTACTTTAGGATTTTTTGATGCTTGGCTAACTTTACTGGAAAAGATGGTCAACCCTAAAGCAATTTTGGAAAGTCCTCATCTAATTTCAAATAGATCAGATGCAGCATATAATTTTGATCCTTTGAAATATTTGATACAGATCCATCGGCTTGCCTTTTACAGCATCGACAGATTGTGGGCTAATACACCCATTACTTCATATGGCAGTCGTATTACTGAAACTATATTAACTATTCTCAAGCACATTTACTGGGGCGAGAAAGTAATTAAAGAAAAATTGAAACAGGAAAATTTGAGGAACGACCAAGCGGCGTCGTCCAGCAATGGGCCAGTTACATTTCGGGACAATGATGACAATCTACGACAATTGATTGATATGGGATTTACTCGAGACCATGTGATAGAGGCACTGTTGCATTCGACTACTTTGGAACAGGCTACAGATTATCTGCTAACAATTCCGTTACAGTCCCGAGCAACTACTTCTAATATGGATGTCGAAACAGCAGAAGATGATCAAGTGATGCAAGCTGTGGCTATATCTCTTGATAGCAATAGCAGTCTGGATAATCACCATGCAATTGTTGAAGAATTGAAGACCTTATTGGATGATTTTGCCGAAACTGCACTGAATATGTGCCTTGAGCTTCTTAACAAAATGCCGGAGTTGGTTCATAAAACTTGTGAATTGTTAGTGACAATTATGAAACGCAATGGAAAAGTATATAGAGATGGCCTGCTCGAAACAATAGTAACAAACATTCTTGAAAATGCCAACATTATTGCTAACATCACTCTTCAGGCGCCAGCAAATAAACCTTCGTACAACATCATCGTGGACACGGAGGCTTCAAAGCGTTTGGCTAATTACACTCACCTTTTTATCTTATTTTACGAAGTAGCTTCATATTATGAAATGAGGCTGCCGTTTATGGCCATATATGGAACTCCTTTGGTAGATCTAGTAATCCAATTAATTCAACAAGCCGAATATCTAAGGAGAGACGTATTGCTGAACGATTCGAAAGAATTCCCCGAGCCGAAATGGTTGGCATCTTGTTTACTACTCATTGATGCATATTCCAAAGTAGCTAATCGTACAGATCGAAAATGCAAAATGCATATTAGCACAAATAGAGTCTGGCGATGGTATGATCTGGTCACTGGTAGATGGACGCACTATTCAGCAGAAAATAATAAAATTATTAATGAAGCATATTGGGCAGGAGAACAGAGTGTGAGAGTTACATGTTTAAGAAAGCGGTACACAATTACTTTCCCGAATATGCTGCAAATGAATGATGAAACTGGAAATAACAGACCAATTGCAATGACATTGTTATCATTAACACATCCAAGCTGTACTAATATTAGTAAAGAACCTCCTGAAGATCCTCTATTTGTAGAACTCACTAGTAAGGAGAGAGCGCGATGTATTCCGGTACCTCCTTTATCTAAAGCTCAAATAAAAACAGTGTTGAAGTGTTGCGTCAGCTTGTTGCATATGCCATTGGGACGTGATTTGTTGCATTCAATTTTACAAGTTTGCGTAAGATTTACCAGAGATTTTGAAATGGCAAAAGTATTTGTCGCTGCCGGAGGTATTAAGTGCCTGTTACAGCTTAGGCACATTCCAGATTTTGGAGGATTTGGAGTGATTGCTACTATTTTAATCCGGCATGCATTGGAAGAGCCGAATACTTTAGCTTACGCTCTGGAGAAGGTAATTAGAGGAAGAGCTTTGTGCGCCATTCCCCCTCCTTATAGAGACTTGCTATATCTATCCAGACAACTGGGGGCTGCGGTAACTCGAGATCCAAATGCATTTTTCCAAGTGGCAAATAATGTTTTGAGAGTCGACGTTTCTGTCTCTAAACCTGGAGACAGTCTAGACGCTGCTTTCCCGCTGAAAGCAGAACCCCCAACCCGAACTAAAGCTCCGCCTTTAGAAGATCCAATTTCAATTCAAGTGGTATACGATCTATTGGATGCTCTTTTAAAACCGCTTGTAGACAAAACAAAAGAAGATACCGATATAGATCGGAAAGAACTTAAGAAATGTTACGTAGACGCTACGGCTGGAGCCGAAAGCCTCTCAGCTTTCAATCTGCCTGCTACTTCAACGGCCAACACTGACGGTAAAAAGGAAGGAGCCAAGGCTACAGCACCAACAACTGATAAAAAAGACGATAAGACTGTTGTCAAACCGATGCTTCCCAAGTCAGTTATTTTGAAAATTTTGGCTGACGCTGTTGTTTCATATGGACCAATCGCCAAATTGGTAACGGAATACAACTATAAAGCAAACTGCGTCGAAATGATTAAAGAAGATACCTCAGCATTAGCTTTTATTTTCGATAAAATCCTTCCAGAAACAGAAAACATTTCTGATTCTGACTGCGCTACAATGTGTCGAATGCTAATTGCTGCGTTAGCGTCAGCTAACCATTCTCCAGACGCTCAACTGCTCCTTGTCAGTGAAGTAAAAGCCGCTTTAAGTAGGGCTGTGGCTTTACCAGAATCTTCAGAGAAGCACAGTCAAATTCAGCATATTTGTGGAATTATTTCTACTATGATTGATAATTGTCCTATGCCCCCTAGAAATCCGAATAATGTGAGTTCCCTCAACAATATCATCAAGGTAAAGTATTGTGATTTTATTTTCATTCCTCGTTTTTAATGGCGCTAAACTGATTTTTCAGATTTTGATTCGACGAGGACTATTTAACGATTTAGCGAAAATAACACATTATCTTGATCTATCATCACCGTATACTTCTTTTACTGCCAACGCTGCACTAAAACCTTTAGAGTCACTCTCCAGAACAATTAATCAGCCTGGTCCCAACACAACCGTCGCCAAAGGAAGAAAGGTATTTTCCAAATTAGGTGTAATTATATTTTTTGGCTTATATAAAATTAGAAGTTGATATAATGAATATTATTTATGTCATTTTAGCCTAGCACGACAGCACCAGGAGATACATCAACTGGATCAAGTACTCAAACAGAACAATCTAATAGGTTGGAAGAGGAGGACTCGGAGAATGTTGAAGATGCTCAGTCCGAAACCAACACTGAACGAAACGAGGCTGAAGGCGAACGTGATAGATTAGAAGAAATCATGGAACAAATTTTAGATGGTGCAACTGAAAGAGTACGCAGTTCAACAATGGAAATCGATGACGTGGGACCTTTGGGCTACGACCCAGAGAGAGATCCTACGGTATTGGTCAAGCGTTTTTAAATTGTGTATTTTTTCGTAATATAATGACCAAATCCGAGAAGGTTTCATTTTTATATTAAATTTTTTTGAGTCTTGTAGGAAGAACTAATGAGTACTGATTCTGGTGAATCTGATTCTAATCCATCAGATGATAATGATGAAGATGGAAATAATGATGATGATGATGGAGTTGACGTTGATATGGACGACAATGATGATAACGATGATAATAATTACGATGACGACGACAATAATGAAGGAGACCGAAGAGGAAGAGGTGAGTGAAGTTTTTCATATTTAAACATCAGCTCATTGTTTTTTGCCTCACTGCTGCTAGGACGATTGAGAGGTTTGTTCATTTCCTATATTGTTATACACGAAATTAACTAGTTTTTTCACTTTTGTTCCATTTTCATCATTTTTTTTTGTTTACTCTCATCGTGACGTTACACTTCTACATTTTATTGGATATTTACATTCCATGACTCGAAACTTTCTCTAGATAAATTGATATTGTGCTATACAGAAAAGAAACATCGTTGATCGATTTAAACAAAAAGTATTATTTGTTTATGTTGACTGACTGCTCATTTGATATGATCCCATATTAGACATTTTGAACAAACTTCGGTACTTATATCGAACAGTGACGAGGTACAGAACGTTTCTCTTGCAGATTCCGAGCTACTAGAAGAATCTTCCGGTTTGTTCAGAGTAGCAACCAATGATAGAGAGGAAGATGTACTCATGATTCATTATGACGGCGAAAATGAGGCCGCTTTACCTAGAATGATTAGATGGAATGAAAATGGTTATGCAGTTCCAATGTTGGATGACAATTCCGGTGACCACGGTGAGTTATTTTAATTGTCTATGTTTTTAAGTTATTTTTAAATAATTTTGCTCTTTCAGCCATCATTCACCCGCTTTTATTATCAAGAAATGGGGGTGAGACTAACACAAACACCGTATCTAGGACACAACGTACCACTCAACATAGACCTCGACGCTATCAATATTTACTAAATCCGAGAAATCCGAACCCGCCTGTAATCCTGCAAAGGTATGTTGCTTCCACATGTAAAGTAGGCAAAGCTAAGTTTTGTTTATCAGGTTATTAGGTACTCATGATCCGCATGCGATGGCAAACATGATGACTGCAAATAATATACTTGCGGCACCTGCAGATATTGCTCGGGAACAAGCCAGGGTGGTTATTATGGATAATTTTGGAATTCTACCATCAAATGAAGAACAAATTGATTTTGTTGATCAGTCTGGTTATCTTTTTGGGCCCGGATTAGCTGCAACACTTAGTCACGTACCACCAGTGGTGCACTGGTGGAATATGGAATCAAAGCTTCTTGATTTAGAATCAGTCTTCGATTGCACTTCATGGATCTGCAATCTTTTGATGCCAAATTTGCTAAAACATAGGAATGAGGATATGAAAGTGAAGAAAGCTAAAGAGGAAGAAGAAAGAGCCAAAAAGCGAAAAGGAAAAACCGATATACTTAAACCTTTAAATGATGCGAAAGACGCTAAATGGCATTTGTTACCAGACAGATCAGATCCCCTTGATCCCGATGACCATCAGCTTATGTTGTTTAATTATACACACGACGGTGAAAATGATCAAAACAGCAGAGGTAAATAAAAATAAATCTTACATGTAATCAATGTAATAAAATATTTGAAAACATTATTTCAGAGAGAATGGATAGCGGAGAAACTAATCAGGAAACAACGTTAACCAGCGGGCAAGAAAATGTTCCGCCAGACAGAGATTCAATTGTAGTCATCGGTGTGCCATCGCAAAGAACGACGCTAGTTATAAACTATCCCAGTGATTCCAGTTCAGGCGATTCGTCCAATAGAGGTAATAACATCCGTACTATTTATATCTTTCTTCAAGTTTTGGTGACTCCTATAGTTTCAATGCCGTTTTATTGTTTGATTCCGTATTTACATATCTGCCGAAATACATTTTCAAGAATATTTCATAATTTATAATACACATTTTATAGGGTGACGATAAATAGATTTTCCATTTTTTTCAAATTGAGTTCCTTCCTAAACATTACATTTTATTAAAATTGTTATTTTAGATTTGAGTTAAAAGATTTTCCATTCCATATTAAGTGCAAATTTGTTTGAGTTTAAAAACATAAAACAGTGTTTTATGTTTAACTTAAACTTTTTCCCAATACGAAATAACCTTTATTAACTGTTGTATTTGTAAAATATTGTGTTGCAAAAGCACATTGCTCTAATGATTCAGTACTATAAGCCTAATTATTTTAAAGTTATACTAATAAAATCGTTGATTTTGCAATTAAAAATGCCAATAGACTTTGTATAGTATGTATAGTACGTACAAGCTACTTTGTAAATTACGCTGTTAATGCGGAAATAACTTTTAAGACGATGGTGAAGGAGGTGCTGACTCGCAGCCAGATGTTCGTGTAGACGTTACTGATGTTTTGGTGGAACATAGCCGGGAAGGTAAGCTACTAGCCTTATATTATATATTTCTGTGTGTGTGTTATCCAGTACTTATAGTTCAACCAGTTTCAGACGATGAAACTGATATCGATATTCGATTAATATTTTTACTTGCAAGTCTTTGCACACCTAATAGCAACTTTAGAGGCTTTTGTTCATTGTAAGGTAAACTGCGGATGCTAAGCTTAAGTAGGCATTTTTAACGTTGTTTTGTTTTGGTTGATATTAGATTCGTTTGACGATATCAATATCGATATTAACGCTGTAGCTTCATACCTTGCGAGTACTTCAACTCAAAGTATTTTCAGTACAGGTAAATAAGTGGCTGGTGAGGATTTTAAAATTTGGATCAATGTTTAGACTTGATGTCATTTGATTTGTGGCTGTATGAGGATGATTCAGAAAGAGCAACCATTTTATCTGCTAAATAGCTGAAATCTTCTGTCCGGTGGAATCGCATTCATAGGTGGTGCATGCCGCAAAAGAAACTTCAAAATCGTCACTACTCTTTCGTCTTGCGTCAAAGTTGATAGTTGCACGTGGTCGATTGTATATCCAGAAGCGCATGCTGCAGGTGTTATTTGATCATATTGATTTTTCTAATGAGAATCCAAAGTAACAGTTATTTGCCATTTTTGAGGTCGACTGGATTTTGCAAAATGTTTTTCAGTGACTTACAAATTCCTCAATCCAGGAGCTATGCCATTTGACGACTTTTATGGTAGCAAACTATTGATCAATGTTCTTTGCTCTCCCTGCTTAATGGGAGATTTATTAATGCGAAATATCTGTGTAGTTGTTTTTGTGCTTTTGTTTTCTTTTCATGCCTTTTCGCTCTTTTCAATCATTTTATTTGAGAAAGTTTTTTGAGCTTTTCGTGTGGCTATACTAAGCTACCTTCTGAATAAATGATGGAAGTGAATTCCTATATTGATCGGAGTTGGTATATGAGGATCCCGAGAAATGTACACAATATTTTAAAATTTATGGAAAGTTGTATTTTTGTTGGAATAAAGAAAATCTTCACTAAAATGTGAAGTTTTCGAGTCGCATGAAGTATTTAATTTTAGAAAGGAATTGTGATCTCCAACAGTTGTACCTTTTTATTAATAGATGCCCGCCCACGCCATCTCAATAATCCAGAAGATACGCAATTTTGATTTTAGTAGTTAGTTATCATATGGGTGCTTCTGTCGTTTGAGTCCCTCCAAATTTTTAGTTTTTTTTTTTACCTTAAAAAACACTTAAGCACTTTCAGCGAAACTCAAACGGCACAAGCACTTATCATATGTGCCTTATTATAATTTATGACTGGTATTTTTGTCATAGTTCTTCTAAATATTGAGTATAAATTACTTCAGATTCACCGAATGATTCCAATTCAATTAATCCTGGAGGAAATAGTCAAAGTGAGATGGTGATTACTCCTTTAAGAATTAACTTCAGAAGTGAACCAAGTGCAGAAAGTCAATCCAATCTTAGTGAATCAAGTCAAAATATCGCTACAGCACAAACTCAGACCACTTCAGCAGATGCCATTGAAAGAGCCGACGACAGCAATAGTAGAGCTGATTCGGAAAATAGGTAAATTTTACCAATTTAAGATTCATTCTTAGTCTAATTGTTTGGTTTTCATGATTTAGTGAAAGTGACTATTTTCCAAGTGAAATGTCATTATCGGCATTCTTTCCGAACCCAAGAATTGGTGAATTTAACACATCTAGACGTGTTGGATTTCCAAGAGAGGGTGACGATCAAGAATCAGATGATACTTCGAGATTTCGCCGAAGTCCTGGTTCTTTGCAAGCTATTTTTGAGGAAGCAATTAATCAGCATATCGAAGATTATGCTTCAAATAGGGATCGAGATGGAGCACCAGTCGAAGGTGCTTCAAGTGGTAGTTCTTCTGAACAACAAAGCCAATCCGAAGATGCACGAATTGCAAATGACGCCTCTAGTTCTACAAATACCTCGCAAGGTACACTAATTTGATAGTTTACAGTTTCATAAGTTCAATAATAAACAAAATCTATTCGATTAGTGGAAAATAGAGAATCAACCGAAGGCGTTTCCGAACCTGAGCCAGTTGCAGGACCTACAAATGCAGGTCCCAGTACTGCCACTGAAGAAGATGATATCCCCGAAGGAGTGGATCCATCATTCTTAGAAGCTCTTCCTCCGGAGATCAGACGAGAAGTGCTTGAACAGCATAGGATCCTATGCCTGCAACAGCGTCTTGCAAATAGATCAGCAGAAACTACGAGTACCGCCGCTGCTAGTGCGGAAGCTTCAAATTCGAATGAAGTTCCTCAAGAAGTGAGCCCTGAGTTTTTAGCAGCTTTACCGCCGGCTCTTCAAGAAGAAGTATTAACACAACAAAGATTAGAGCAACAAAGACAAGCTGCCGCTAGAGCTCCTCCCAATGAACCGTTCGATGCACAGTCATTTTTCCAAACGTTACCGCCATCACTTCGCACCATGGTAATTAACATATACTTACAAGTTTATTGGTGATAATTATAATTTCTTTGCTTATAGATTCTCTCTGATATGGAGGACTCGCAGATGTCAGCATTACCTCCTGAGCTGGCAGCTGAAGCTCAAAACTTACGGCGTGATTGGTATGCTAGAAATAGGCAAATTGCTCAAGAACGATTCCTGCAAAGTAACCTGCCAACTATTATTAGGCATAGCAGGGGAGGCCGTCAAAGTCACAGACCAATCACTTTTCAAAGAGGAGGCTGGAGTCAATGGAGCAGAGAGTTTATATCTAGCACGTCGGTACGAAGCACCAATAGTCAAGTAAGACATGCTTATTTACCACCTCTAACAGTACATATTCAAGGAATTTGTTCATATTTAGATGAGAATAAGAGGTCGACAATTGTTAGATCACGAGGGAATCTCTTGTTTGCTAGTTCTGCTATTTACCGATGAACCTCATCTCAATAAATTACGACTACATAGAGTTATACGGAATTTGTGCTATCACGCTCCTACGAGAGAGTGGATAATCAACGCTTTACTTGCGGTTATTGATAAGAGTGTACATGCGAAACCAGACGAAACATCTACTAGGCCTTCAAGAAAGGTAAGACTTCAAATTCATTTTATTTCAAAGTAATATTTTGCAGTTTTTTTTTTGAGAAAATATTGGGTTTAATTAATTAGCTCTGTTATATGACGACATAAAATGCCACAAGTAAATTTGTCTATTGTTAAGGTGCGTCCACATCAGTAAATTTGTGTGTCGAATGATGAATTTTGAATTCGACGAAATTATTTACGGCGCAAATTTGCGTTCTTCACTTTTGTTTTGACATAAATAAAATGGTTACGATCCATTTTCGCTGAAACCATGTCTGTTAATACGGCGAGGTCGGAAAAGCAAACCGTTGCTGCAACGCTGCAAAATTAGAAGACCATAGAAAGTTTGACGCAAGTTTGTCATTTCGAAGTAATAATAATGTTTTAATAGTTAAGGGAAGATTCTCATTATTAATCCGTTGTAGATAGTTCATGATTAAATACGCCGCACACTTCTTTTTTTAAAGTGGAGAAGAAATGATGAATGCACCACACACAAATTAACTTCCAATATCAATACCCGCACATAAAATTAAAACCACTAGTGCACATCCGTGTCACAGCGTTTGTCGCAAATTTCTTTGAAGTATGCTAAAAAATCGAAAGCACCATGAATAGTGTGTGTTGTATCTGACGAAAATATTTGTGAGCTTCTTTGTGCCGCATATAGTCGTAGCATATAAAAAACAACGAGCACCAGCTCTTGATGTGGACGCACTTTTAGAACAGAAAAGTGGTACATCTCGTTCTATCTTCCTTCAAATGTTATACTTATTGAGTAGGAAAAGCTGCCGCGATTGACCGGTATAAAGGTCGTTTACAAATACATTTGCAGAATGATGCTTTCAGGTACCCCGTGCAGGTCCGCTTACCAGCAAACTTCAAACAGATACTCGTCATCTAAATACTGGAGGACATTGGCTGACTATTCGAATGGAAGCAGCACTTGGCTGTGCTGCTAATGTGTTTTTAGTAAGCAAGGGCCCTGGTAAAAAAGCGGATAGGCTCAGTGGAAGCCAGGCTATAGGAATTCATCCCCAAGCAGCGCCTGTAGTGTGCCGCAATACGCTAGATTTATTTACAGCATTAGCAAAAGCTTTTCCATCATGCCTTCTTCCCATCAGGCTATTTAGAGAAGATACACTAGATCGAAGTTCAATTTCACCGGTGAAGTTAAATGCCCCTGGTCAGCCCGATTTTTGGGACATTTTGCTTAAGCTGGATTCTGCGGGCGCCAAAAAGGGAAAGAGCATTGCAAAGTCGTCAATGGGATCAACTGCTACTGAAAGCGAGAGTATTTCTTTCGATAACACTGTGTTTGGACGATTATTGAATATGTTAGGATCACCAGTGGTTAATAGAAATACGCAACTGACAGATAATTTACTGAAGCTACTTTCTGTCACCACTTCTGGAATGCCGGAATTGGTTAAACCACACAGACTAAAGAAACAAAGTAGCGGTGACCCAAGTGTAATTTTGACGAGCCAGCCTCCCATAAATGCCTTGACACTTGCAGTTAACGTAATAACTTATAAAAACTGCTCAGAAGAAGGTCTAGAATTTATTACTAATCTGTTGCTAAATCTGGCCAGCTCATCGCAAGAAATGAGCTATTTGATCCTTAGGCTTTTACTGAATGGGGCTATTGAAATCGGATTAATCGTAGAAAGTCAAATACAAAGCATGCTCGGCGATCTGCAAGATCTGAAAACCTTGTTGAAGAAGAAAATAGATGATAAAGATAAAGACAGTGGGCCGTCAACATCAAAAGGAGTCTTACACAACAGATTCACTAATGAGCAGGTGATAGTAACTGCATCAACTAAAGTTAAGGCCGCTTGTGAACTTCAGTTACCTTCAATGGTTCCATTAACGTCAAAATCGTCGAGCCAGCTGTTCTTTTTGCGAGTTCTCAGAGTTATTGTGCAAATTCGAAACTCAATCAAGCACAATTTAAAACGCAGTGAGTATCCGTTATTAAATTCACTCTTTCTGAAGTTGAATACTATAAATTCGGTATTTCCAAAAACATTTTTTTTTCCAAAGATAATCTAGAAGGTGGACTTCCGGCTCTTAGCGATCAACTTTGTCGATTAGAGAGCCTATGGGAGACGTTAAGTCTTTGTCTTTTGGAGTTGGAACACGCTCCAGATCATCATGCGGTATTGGTGTTACAACCGGCTGTGGAGGCATTCTTTTTGGTTCATTCACCACAGCAAGGATCTGTCGCTTACAAGGGAGTGGAGAAAGAGACACCTAACGCTACTGCAGAAGGTGGAGAACCGCAAAATCCACCAGAATCTGTGCCCGCACCTGCTGCAAGTGCTGATCGGTTAGGTGAAAGGATCTGGTTTAATCTTGCCGAGGTAATAACGTCGGTAAGTTTATTTATATAATAAGATTTTGAAACATTATTGATATACAGGCTGTTTTTTGAGCAAACGAAGAAGCATTATTTATGGCAATAATCGTATTGTTTTCATAATCGAGAGTTTTTGTGTTCTTATTATACAGGATGTACCAAATTAAGTGCGCACCGGAGATAGCGCGTGGGTTTAAATGCAGAGTTGTATATTTTTTAGCCGGTTGAATTGATGGTAAAAATCACCTATTTTGAAATTAAACCCCTTGTATATTGGTACACAAAATTGTAGCCAATTTAATTCTACACAAAAAATTTCAGTACCATTTTTTTCTAAAACACAAGTTTTTAAAGTATTAAATACTGTACTTCTAACAACCTAAGCGGATAATAGATTGAAAATGTCTTAAAACTAACTATGAACTCAAAAATAACATGTAATAATTAAAATTGAAGATGTTTATAGAAGGTCTTCAAAAATACCCCCTCCTGATTAATACATTTTAAAGTGAGCTTTTTACAGAGTTCAGTTCTTTTACGTTTTACTAATGAAGTAATCTCAGGGGGATCGCGCCTGAAAACATAGATATCGACGTTTTAACGGTAAAATTTCTCTCATGTTATGAGCTGGAGCACCGTCTTGTCGAAAGAATATTTAGAATTTTTTTGCTTAATTAACTTCCACAAAAAAAATAAAAAAATTGCCTTAGTAACTCGCTATCGCGCTAACCAGTTATTGTTCCTTGGTAAATCCCGCTATTTTCACGCTTATTATGCCAAACCATACCTTAACGGTAAAATGTATGTGTGGGTGACGGGTGTTCATTAGAAATACAATTTCCTTGCTCTGATAGTGAACATTTTTCTTTTTAAACATGCCTTGGTTGGAAAAATTTGACTCATCACTCCACAAAAATCGTCGTTTGGCATTTGATACATTTATTAACCATCGACAAAATTCCAGGCTTCTCTCGGAATCCCCCGCATGAAGCTGTTGAACTGGTTTACATTTGTATGCAACATACTTGAATTTTTTTAAGATTCGCCTAATTGTAAATAAGTAAATGTCGCTTTCTCTTCTTAAATCTCTCACATATTCTTTTTTTCGGTTTGTTTATTTCCAGTATTAACTGTCCTTCTTCGTTTTATTTCAAAAGTGTTGTTGTTTTGCCGAATTTTTCAATAGTGACAACTCTGGTGCCCGTTCTGAAGAAAAAGAACTGCAGTTCAATATATTTTTTCTCATGTTATATTTTCGTCTTTTCATGCGTTTTATGTCTAAACCTGACATTTTCATGCTGTTTGCCAATATATTTAACAAAACATTTTTATTATTTAGCCCGTTCAGGAGGAATCATCTCGAACTAGTTTTGATTTTGAACATCGGCAAATCGAACAGCGTGTGGTTACACCCGAGCAGCAAAAGTTTCTTGCATTCGCTGAGAAACATCGTACGGTACTCAATCAGATACTGAGGCAAAGTACGGCTCATTTAGCAGATGGGCCGTTTGCTGTATTGGTTGATCATACAAGGATTCTGGACTTTGATATCAAGCGCCGCTACTTCCGTACTGAACTGGAGCGAATGGATCATGGAATTCGCAGAGAGGAAACTGCTGTCCACGTTCGTCGTAGTAATGTGTTTGAAGATTCTTTTAGAGAATTATTTAGAAGAGCACCAGAAGAATGGAAAAATAGATTCTATATTGTATTTGAAGGTGACAAAACGATGAGTATAATTTTATTAAATCTACAAATTTTTTCAATTTTTTCAGATGAGGAAGGTCAAGATGCAGGTGGGCTTTTAAGAGAATGGTATGTTATTATTTCGAGAGACATATTTAATCCAATGTACGCGCTGTTTACGGTCTCGCCAGGAGATAGAGTGACATACATGATAAATTCTGCCAGTCACTATAATTCTAACCATCTATGTTACTACAAGTTTGTTGGGAGAGTGATTGGTGAGTGAGGCAGCTTTTAATTTTTTTTTTAATACTAACAAAAATATGTTTTAGCTAAAGCGATATACGATAATAAATTACTAGAGTGCTACTTTACTAGATCATTCTATAAGCACATTTTGGGAATACCAGTCAAATATACAGATATGGAGAGTGAAGATTACAGCTTTTACAGAGGCCTTGTGTATCTAATGGAGAATAACATTAATCACTTGGGCCTAGATTTAACATTCAGCACCGAAATTAGTGAATTCGGAGTCACCGAAACAAGGGATCTAATTCCAAATGGCAGACATATTCCAGTCAGTGAGGAAAATAAAATGGAATACGTGCGACTGGTCTGTCAAATGAAGATGACTGGAGCTATTAAACAACAGTAAGTTGGAAGTTTTCTAGTTAATTTTTTTCATTGTCGCTCAATGCTTTTTTGCAGATTAACGGCTTTCTTAGAAGGATTTTATGATATCATTCCAATGCGTTTGATTTCAATATTTAATGAGCAAGAGCTGGAATTGCTTATTTCTGGTTTACCAAATGTAGATATCGACGATCTTAAAGCCAATACGGAATATCACAAGTATCAGTCTAACTCGTTACAGGTAAGAAAATCATATATCTTACTGATCTACTAATAACTGTACTTTTTCTTTAACTATTTCAGATTCAGTGGTTCTGGCGCGCTCTAAGATCTTTTGATCAAGCTGACAGAGCGAAATTCCTCCAATTTGTCACAGGAACATCGAAAGTACCTTTACAAGGGTTTAGTGCTCTTGAGGGTATGAACGGTGTTCAAAAATTCCAGATTCATCGTGATGATCGGTCCACAGATCGGTTGCCTTCCGCGCATACTTGGTAAGGTTTTGTTTTTTAATAATAATAAATTTCATGAAATGTTCGATAATTTTTTAGTTTGTAGGGATTTGTTTGAAAATTCTAATTATGTTCATTGGTAATTTTTTTCCTTCTGTGCAATGAAAGTCATATTGTACTTGCCAAGAAAATAAGTTTATGGCTGCCCTTCCGTTATTCGATGGTGGCTAATTCAATAATTTGTTGCAGTTTTAACCAATTAGATCTACCAGTATACGAGACATACGACAAATTGAGGGCCTATCTGCTGAAAGCTATCCATGAATGTTCCGAGGGTTTTGGCTTCGCTTAAATAAACCTTTAATGTTATTTAAGACTGATCTGTTAGATTGTTTATACATATATCATTCTCTAGTATAGTCTTGATGTGTACATAAACTCTATCTAAAGATTGCGCTAGTTGGTGCAGACTAGGAAGATAACTGCTAACTATAATGTTAAGTGTACAGAGAATGTAAAGTCGATATTAAATTTTTCGGTTTAAAATTCTGTATTTAACGTAACATGTTTCTTGTAGTTTATTGTATTAATTGTATATTTCTCACTAAGGTTGCAATTGTAACTGTGTAAAGAAAGGGCCCATAAGGCAATTCGAGTGTGATACTGATTTTGTTTAGTTAGATTCTCTGCTAAATATTGTAATTACCGGAATTTTAGTATTGTTTAGTGTTAGTTAAAAAATCATTCTCTATTGTATCAATCCGAAGATTTATACTTCGTTGTGATTTAAATTCGTGTTTGTTTACATTATTTTTTATAATACTATATAAGCTGTAACTTGTACGAATACATTAAAATCTGTAAGAAATGGTATCAACAAATAAAGATTTACGTTTCACAAATATTTTTTATTTCGTCCCTAGAAATATTTTTTTATTTCAGGTTTGAATGTCGTTAATTTTACGAACACGCAAATAATGTCACTGCAACAATAAATAGTACATGCATTTTTACCGGATACCAAACAGCAGTAGATATCCTTTATAAAATAAAACTTCGATCGAATTAACCTCGGGAAATTATTGAGAATTTTTTAACCGCATCACCTTGGGCCGCCCGCTTCCTCCATCTTCTTACAGAAAAAACAGCTCAAGTGCATTTCAGCTTTGACTTAATCGTTGCATTTAGTTTCCTGATTGAGTCATTGTCTGATCAACAACCATCTTGCCTTGTTATGTACTTATTTGTGTACGAAATTATTACGAACTTATAAGGATTAAGTCATGGGTGTAGGTTATTCAATAATTCCAGCCTCGTGATTGTTTTAATAGCGAATTTTTGTTTCAATACAATCAGAAATTACAGTGTTACGGCAAGTTTGTGTAAAATGCGTTTGGAATTTTACTGTTTACGATTTTCTTGTAATTTTTTTTTATAAACGGCGACAAGCTGATTTGACCCAAATAACATTGAATTATGAGCTAATAAACAAACATCGTACTGAAATTAGGCAGGATCATTTATGAGCATTTTTGATGATTTGGAAAAAGTATTCATATTTATTTTGAGATTCTTTGGCACTGTTGTGTGTTCTCGTATTCGAATACTTTCAATGCGTCCTACTTGCTTTTAGTTACTACATTTTCTAAGCATTTTACTTGAAGCACATTAAACGCTGATAAAATAATAAAAGTCCAAAGAGTGTTTAATAATAGCAAGTCAATATATGAGTCAAAAAATATCTCACTCAAACATGAGTTTGGGAACATTCATTGCCAAACTACAGAATGTTAAGGTTCGAATCTAGACTATTTCACGTTTTTTGAGATGTTTGTGAAGTTTTCTCCACTCTTAGACAGATCTTTCTAGACAAATTAACTTATATTATGGAGTATATGAAGCAGGGTTAAACATATAAAAGGTTCTCATTAGTGCTCCATATTGTTATGTTAAATTTACAATTTTAATTATTTGGACTTTGTAGACACGTAAGCAAAATATGACAATCCTGAAAACTACCTCTCTCAATAGAGCGTGAACGCAATAAATATTTATTACATTCCTAAAATTTACACAGAAGTGGAAATGCCGAAGTTCAAGAAGGCTCTGATTAATCGCTAAAACATTTTTAACTGTTTATTGTTAATCGGATTTATCAAAAGTTCCTAACTTTTATGAAGGTAGAAGTGACACTTTCAATTTTCAGAGTCTTAGAAGTTTAGGAGTTTCCATCTCGGAAGCAATTGGAAATATTTCAACAATCACTAGAACCGTTTCAATAGAGAATCTCAAGAGCTCTTTGCCTAATTAGGTTTAAATTGAAATTGCTAACCTTTATAAAGTTAGAAGACTAGAAAAATATAAAATTTAGAAAATCCGGTGAATTTTTATTAGAACATTCGCAAGATTTGTTGTTCAAGTTATTGCTGTAATCCTACGTTTTGCCGATAAAAATTGCAGACATTCTCAGATGGTGTATAATTTCTGAGCCATTTCACTTTGTCTATTTAATTTGTGCTTGAAAATACAAAACTTGTCTTCAACATTGATATCAAAAGAGCATTTTACTTTGTAATCAAGAGATAAATGCCTGGAGAAAAGTAAGATAAATGGAAAAAATGAAAAATTATTCCTTGATAATGCTTTTAGTATTTAAACCTTTAAATCCCTCCTAAAATATCAACACTTGATATTATATGGCTCTTCAACAGCATAATTGACATTGAACCAATCGGTCGGAGATATAGTTGCTTGAACTGTGAAAAATAATGAGCATATAAGAGCCTTTCGTAATATCATTAATGCCATAACTGATTACAAAAATCGAAGGTTTACGGTTGTTTTTTTGTTACAAAGTAAATGGCAAAAGGTTATCTTGATAACATATTTACGATGGGATTAGTTGAATAATTCATCTCGTGCTTCATTTAACTGCGTCATAATTTTTTCTTAACCTACCCGAATATATTTTGAATCAAGACGTCCGAATTTCATTGCTAATGTTCAAGTTTGAAACGTTTTGTTTTCTCTTTATATTCCCTTTAAATAAAGCTTGCTAATATTAATATTTTTAAATAGTTGAATTATTAGGAAGATAGAAACATGTTTCTGTTCTGAAGACAAAGTTGTTATTGGAATTTTTTTTGAAAAATGTAAAGATCCTAACTGAAATTTGTTTTAAAAATTATAATTTTTCTGTCGTACGCACGAGCCCTACTGAATCACCTTTGAGAATGATAGCTACACATACATAGGAATTTTTCCAACTGATCCAGACGTTTGAATAAAGTGGTGATAATGCACAAAATTTTAAATGAAAACTTGACTTTTTGAGGAAAGCCGGCCAAAATATATAATAGATAAATTGCAAAACTATATATGAATTAAATCATCTGAAAAATCTTATTAAAGACAGACGATTAAATTATGTTACCATATCAGGATACTTTGACGAATGTTCAGCTTTACGTGCTGAAGAATCCGGATTGTCATGGATTGCAAAACGTAAGTTTGTCGAATTTATTTATATTTTTTTATAAACAAATAAATGTCTTTTGTCTAATAGTAAATGTCCAAACAAATCTATAAATAAAAAAGACTGTTTAACCGACACAATTCCTATTATCTTTGGAGCCATTGTAATCAACACATAGTTAAGCAACGATAATTTCGAAAACGTCGGAAATTCAATTCAATTGCTATAAGAAATTGTATTTTCTTTCTTAGTTAAACATATATTGTGCAAATGTATGTTAAGCACAGAAATTAATTGAGGTAAAAAATTGAATATTTAAAAGTCTCCAAGTTTTTAAATTTTTTCTCTATTTTTTGAACAATTGCTTTACGACAAAGGATTCCGATTTCGGTTTTCATCAACGGAACTTTCTTATGGCCTTTTCGTTTTCCAGACAGTTTTAGAATGTTTTATTGCAATAAAAAAAATATGTGTTCTTTCATAGTTTCGGTATTCTTTAGGAGCAAATTTGGCCCAGTTTCGAGACTCCTGCTTACCGTTTTTCTCGTCAGTAACTTCTTCCGTTTTTTGATCAATTGCTAAACCTTGTCAATCAGTATAAAATGAGACTCTGATGCAATAAATATAGGAATAATGTATATGTTCGTAAGAATTTTTTTTAGACCAGCGAACTGGGCTTTAAAGTAAATCTGGCTTTCTCCCCTTAATTTATTTTGCAATGGAATTATTTCAGTTGTTAGCTACTTTTACTCCGAGATAAACATATAAACTACAATATGTTCTTGCTGTTTCGTTTCCTAGTTTTTCTGGTCAAGCTCATGTATTTTGTTCCGTTTAAATTACTTTTAGGCCCAATTTAAATATTCTACAAAGAATTAACGAGTTATGTGTTCCAAGTCCTGCTCATCTTCGAACAGGACGATTTGGTGTAATCATTTAATTTTTGATCAATCTTCTTTCAGTTTCTAATGCTATAGTTATATTTTTAGTTTTAGAACAAGGCTGATGAGAGGCAAGTAAAGTTTAAGTACTTTAAATATTGAAAAAGCATTGAGAATTGGGTTAGTACTACTGTTTTAATATAGCTGTTTAATAGGGTCCACATTATTAAAATTTATAGGGTTTCTAATTGATAGTTTCAATACTGTTTTTCGAGTTACTGTGTCATGTGTTTGAGAAATCCCCAATTAATATCTGCATTTTATTACTATGAGCAGTTTTTTTGGCGTCGCCTGTGTTTTTGAGGAGATATTCACGATACAAAATCGGCCAGCTGAACCCTGCTTGTTCTTTCAAATGTTCTTATTTTCCTTCGATCGATCTTGAATACTTTGCCATATAATATGCTCAGCAGTTTTGATGAAAAAATACCGGTTAACACTTTAAAAAATGATGGAAACAGGGAAAAATCTAAACATCTGTTGAAATTCTGTATAATTTGTTAGATAGAAGAAAAGGGGTTGGCTAAAAAGTATAAATAAACGCAATGAGCATGAAGGCAGAAGCTGATCAAACATCCGGTTTTTATTGAGCAATAAATCTATCTGAGAGTTTGTATCTATTTTCTGATAGACTATTTTGATTGAACACTTTTTGCCAGGCGCTTTTTAATATTTTCACTCTTTATCTAAAAGCAAATTTTAGTTATGAGAATAATCCTTACTTGTATTTATATGTAACTTTGAAACCCTTTCATAAGAACGGTAATGTTTTTCTATTTCTATACTTTGTCATCTTTTCTCTAAGAGGCAATTGAATGTTCTTATAGGTCAATACTCTTATTCTCCACTATTTTAGTTTCATTTTGTCATTAATTTTAGAGACTTTGAAAACATTTGTGAACTTCTCTTAAGAGAAAATGTTTAGAATCTGCTCTTAAACTGTTTTGTGAAAAAATAAAAAAAACTGAACAACACAACAACAAGTCCTTTTTGCTAAACTTTGAAGTTGTGAAAATGTTCAAAAAACGTTTGTCATTTTAGAGAAGTTGATATTTTTTTAAATTTAAACTGTACACTTGAATTTCAAGAGAAATGAAAATTTACAATAATATACGGTAATAAGTAAAAAAATCGATTTAAATGGTTTCTATAATATCAATGGTAAATAAGTAGGTACATCAAAATATCTAGTTTTAAATGATAAGAATCTATTATTTAATTACCCATAAACGGTTTTCGTTGATTGGCCGAGAAAATAATAAACCTCAACGTCATGACGCGAATAAAATCGTAAAAACACAATTGTATAATAGATTCTAAAGGAGAATTTCAAGCTCACGTGCGAAATGCGAAGGGGCACATGTTTGGAGCGTACGTCGGCCAATCTCTTGCGTAACTGCAACGTGAAGAATAATTATTTTCATTACCCACTACACCTACAAAATGTTGCGTTTAATATAGTGCGATCCTATTCACATTGAA